GGAGCCGAGCCCGGTTTGGGGTTTTCCAGGACAGGCATTGGGAACTTAAAAACTTTGGCCATATCCCGCAGCTATGAACAACAGCAATCAATTTTCACATGCCGGCGAACAAATGTGCCGCACCAGGATGTCCCACAGCCAAAAAGGAGGGGGCCTAGAAGGGGGATTTTCCAGGGGGGTTGCAGAAGGGGGAGTGTCCAAATAGGGGGGTGCAAAAGAGGGACTTACCCAAAAGAAGTAGTTTAAAATTATAATGCCGCATAGCGTGAAAGAGCCATCATCAGATCAGATGCTGGACCATCATCCAGGCAGGAACAAACATCACAGAGGACACCCACAGTGGGAGAGAGAGAGCCCTCTGGGCAGAGATGAGGCTCAGGAAATCACGGTCACACAAATTAAAACCAAATACTAATTAACGCTTTCTTATGCAAATTACAAAAGGGGGGTTCCCCTTTTCTCAGCAGGCGCTTAACATAAGTTCAGAATTCTTGAAATCTTAATGGCATTCCATTGAAAAGTTATTGAGTCGTGAGATAATTTTTAGATTTTGTGGGAAATTCTTTAACAAAATTAATGCTACGCTTTGGAAAAATAAAAATAAAATAAATACTACAAAGATAAATGATAATTTCAAACAAAAACATTTACGGCTGCTACACAAATTTCTATATTTTAAAAGAATAGAAAATAAAATAAATGAAATGATATATATAAAAACAGAGAGAAAATAAAATAACATGAAATAAAATTACACTAAATTTGGTCGCTTGAAAATAATATTGATGCTATTTGAAACCCTTTTAAAGTTTCCTAAAGGTAAATTCCTAGTGATTTCTGAAGCATTCTAGATTGTATTATAAGCTATTAAAATGCCAGAATAAAAGACATATATTTTAGATTAAAAATGTAATTCCAGCTTATTGATATGGTAAACAATATTTTAAAGATCAAAATGTAATTATTTGGCTTCCCAAAAATATTCACGATTTATTTAATACGTTAAGACATAACAACCTATTTCATTTAACATATTTCCCTTTCCTCTACCTATTTCTGCATAAGTTCCTTGGGAAGCCTAAATTTCAAGTTACCTAAATTAAACATTACTTAATTAAAACCCTTTCAAATTTAATTAAATAAAATCACAGCTCATTTCTGTCGAAATTCACGCTCTCATCTCCATGTCAAAGGATCCCAAAAACTCCCTACATTTGTCCCTTGGCAGTAGTTTAGCGATGACGCTTGACGCCCGGCTAGCTGCCATATTTGCCAAACGCTTCACATCGCCATCGCAATCGAGATAGATAGATGGATAGATACAAAGATAGATAGATAGATGGATGGGACGACTATATATACCCCCTACTTTATCGAAGGGGCGCGTGGCCATCGCTGAACGTTGATTAATTTCTCGTTTTTACGCCATTTTCTATTTGTCTTGTGCGGTAATTACGACAAGTCCTTGGAGGAGGATACCCGAGATACTCTCGTCCAACTTCCTGCCGCGTGTCCAAGACAAACACGAAAATTCCACCAGTTCCACCGTACCCACTCCGTTCCGGTCCGCTCCGGCGGACAGACTGCTTCCGGTAATTGAATCAAATGAAGCAGCATTAGTATTAGCTTCTTATGGTCGGTCTCGTTCGGCGGCTGCCCCCCTCCTATGCTCCGGCATAACTCTGTTTATTTTTGTAAATTAATTTTTAATTTAATGTACGTGTGGTGGGCGAGTCGACGCGACGCGCTAGTTTCACGCCACGATGACTGGAAGCCACCGGAAGTGGGGGCGTGGCCAAGGACAAGGCGGTACAGCTGACCGCCCACCCAAAAGCAAACACCGGCGAAAGCAAAAGGAAAACAAAAGTGGAAAGCCAAGAGGAGTGTTTTGGGAGTTTTCATGTGGAAATTTGTATGCTCTTATTAGGTAATAATTAATATTTTCCAAAGGTATATGTAATGATTTTAATTTTAAATACAGTATAAATGTAAATTGTACAGTACATCTTTTTAAATCAATAACTATAATAATTCTAAAAACTAAAATATTGAAAAAAGGTCTTATGAAATGTGATAATTAGACATAAAGCAATCTTATAAATATATAGTAATTATTTCAAAATAAGAGGCTTGTAACTCAAGGAAGGAATCATTTCCGACCCTATAAATCCTGTATATTCTTAATCAGAATCAATCAAAAAATTGTCCTATGAAAATATAATTTCAAAGAATGCCAATACTTTAAGCTTAACTACGATCGATTTCCAATTAGATCCTATAATATATTGTAAACCAGTAGTAATCTGCCTTTCTGATTATTATATTGATTTTATATTTAAACCAAATCAACTACAAGTTAAAGTTCCTATCTCCGAACAAGTACATTTTTATTTATATTTAATAAATCTACAATATATACATAACTTTCCCTCTTATTTTTTGCTCATAAAATAATTAAATTTTCCTAATATTCCCTATAACACAATATCAATATTATAGATTATCAACTTGCTACACAAATTTGAATAAAATTCCCCACTTCCCTGCCATATCTAATCGCTTTACCAACTCTAGATACCCTAAAAACCAAACAAGAGCAACTCAGCTCCCAAAGAAACAAAAAATCTGCCCAGGACCCGTAGATGAAGTAAATAGTCCTGGACCCTCGGCCCCCTCCCCAGCTCCACACTCAAATATAAAGTAGGAAAAGCAGTTTTCAGCTGGTCAGCAGGCTGTCGAAAAATAAAAGTAAAACAAAGTGAGGGGAGCTGGAGCTGGAGCTCTCCTAAAATACAGTATAAAGCGAAAAGACGACGAAATACTTTTTCAAGATAAACGGAAACAAGCCAAGATGGAATTAATTTTCCGCTTTGAACAAACAAGCGGATGTAAATAAAAAAAAAAATAAAAAAAACCAAGCAACACAACAACAAAAAAATGAACCAGGAACCAGCACGAGCAGCAGCAACCTAGAAAAACCAGCGAAGACATCGCCGTCAAAGTCAAAGGCAGGAGGAGGTCCTGCAGGATGTGCTGGAAGCTTAGGCCAAAAGAGGGGAGTTGCCGGGATGGGGGGAGGGTTGGCGGGAAGCTGGGCAGGGGAGCTGCGATGTCTGCCAAGTTTAGCAAGTTTAGTCTGGACACGGGCTGGACCAGCGTTATGTGCTGTTAATGACTGTACAAGAAGTTTAATTGTACGACTGTTTACACGGAGAGAAGTAATGTGGAAAGTCTTTGATTATTTAAATATTATTTTATTTATTTTTGTTATTAAATTATTTGTTAATTTTAAAAGCTTCTAAGTGTGAAGAACTTGCTCTTTTTCTTGGGATTGTGTTTGTTTAATAAGCTAATCTTGAAACAATTTATTTAGATCTTATGGTTATTAAAGTATTATAACAATTTCGGATTTAATTAGGGTTTTAAAAAACTTTGAAGGTGCTTTAAATTATAAAGTAAATTACTTCAAGTGTAGAGTTTCATTTAAGTTTCTTTTACTTTTTATGAAATATAATTTTGTAGCAAAGTTTTAGATTCGTTTTTAGAAGATTTTAAATAACTAGTGATTTTTGTAGACCTTTAATATAGGAACTTTAAGACATCGTAGACCTTTAATATAGGAACTTTAAGACTCTTTCCTCTATTAATTCCAAATCCTTAAGAACTTCTCATAGTTAAACCTCTATTTTCTCTCGGTGTTCAGGGAAAACTATGAGGAAAAACGTTCTGCTGTGTGCGTGTGTGGAAATGGAAATGGAGGTGACTCCCCTATGGGCGTGCGGTAATGCTACACACACGCTTATTGACAAATTGCAATTTAAATAGACAGCAATAAGTTAAACAGACGCACACATTCAAAACATTAAAATGGGGCGGCTAAAAGGGGGGCGATGGCCAAAAACACGCCATGTCTAATTAGTTTAGCATGGGGAGCTCAGGGGGGCATCGGCCGAGATGCTAGAGATGAGCAATAATTAGGCAAAAAGTTAATGCGATGGGGGAATTACATACAATGCATTTAGACATGAGCAAAGGATGGCTGGCAAAAACAAGGCGACATAAATTAGGGAGGCCAATGTCCTGGCTAAGTGATAAATTGTGATTAGTTTTGGGAACATAAATACTCATTTTCGCCCTGTAGCAATGCGTAATTATTATAATTTATTAATTTAAAACTTTGTATACTTATAAATGATGACAATTCCTAGTGGATTTTTAATTTCAAACCTTGTATCATTATAAATAATCAGAATTCCTATTGGATTTAAAATCCCCCTTTTATACCCTAAAAAGTATGCTACAAAACTTTAAGACCTACAAAGGCAATTGCGTTTTTGTTATAAAACATGTTTCTTGCGATCTTTTAGAGACATTTTCATTTGATTTAAAGTTTATTATATTTTCTTTCTATATTTTCCTAATTGTTTTTATAGTTCTATTTTAAATCTATTAAAAATTATAGCTACAAATAGATCTATATCTCATCTCTATATCCGCAACTAAATACATTAAGACGTTTTTACGACTTAAGGCTCGAACACTACTACCCATACCACTGAGCCCCCTTCATTACCATTTGTGCCTTCTTGCCAGTATTTTGGCACAATAGTTACCATCTCATCGAATCGGGATGGAAACCGAATCCGTATTCGAATCCGAATCCTAGGTGGTTTTCCTTTCTTGTTTGTGTGTGGCAAATATTGATGGAAACATTTACGCACACACGCACACAATTAAACACGTTTACAGACGCTGATAAGCAGCACACACCAACACACACACACACACTGAAAATAGAGATGAATAGAGGGTAAGTAGTAATTGATGAGTTTCCTTTTATGGGGAACATCAATCATACGCACTGTTCGCCAGCGATTTGCAGCCAGGTTAAATAAACAACTCCTACTATTCTTACTTCCATCTTTATTTGCCAAATCATTTCGAAAATTCTATCTAAGATATACTATAATGTACTATATAGTATTTTGTATTTATTCAAATCTCAAGTTTCGGTATTCTTGATGGCAGCTGTAGAAGAAGGCACTGTGTTGTGTGGCGTTGTGGCAACCGGCAGACTCTGTCTCTTGATCCAGCATAGAATATTCACCCAAATTAGACCACAAACTCCCATATATATAACCCGAAATCGGGGCGCCACCAAAGTAAAGTTCAAGGCCTGCGCTGGCAACCAGAAAATGCAAGAACGCACAAAAGTCGGCACAAACTTTTCGCGCAATTCCAAGAAAGTATCCTCCGAGCCCTCCATTAAGGACATGCCTGGAAAGAATTCATTTTAAAGTGAGTTTTATTATATTTTGTTGGTTATGGTTTGTTGGAAAGGAAATTAATTAATTCATTAGTTATAATATTTTATATAAAGCTTAAAGATTGTATATAAAGTGACTTCATAACATATTAATGATTCTATTTTGGGTCAAAAAAGTTTCATTTATAAATGTTTTGTATATTTGAAATTTTATTATCTAACATTTTTATATTATTTATATTTTTATTGTTTATATATCCAACTATTTTAAATTTCTTAAATAACATAATAATTTTTAACTCACCTGCATAAAAGACAGTTAATAAATAAGGTGTTAAAACAAACTGATCTAATACCAGTTTTTTAACAATAATCACCTTGGTAGTACCAGGAAATGTACGATCTAGCCATTTGTACCTAAGAAAAGTGTTGCAATTTTAATGTTAAATATATTGCTTAATTATTATGAATATTTTTTTAATAATCGCAAAAGCAGGCAAGATGATTAGGAGCTAGTAATGTATATATATATATATATATGAATGTGTTTATATGTGTTATAATGTTTATATAAAATATAATTAGTTTTTGTCTTGTTGTTAAACATAAAATTGTGTATATCCTGGTGTCTACAAATCCTTGTGTGTTTAGTATATAATTTATCCTTGTGTCTTGGTGTTTAATATATAATTTCTTCTGTATAGTATCCTTTTGTATTTGTTTTTAAATGATTTTTTCTTTCTGCTTTCCTTCATAATTCATTCTACCTTCACTTACATTTTTTACCCATTTTGTTAGACGTGCACATATGCCCCAAGAAAAATGCTCAGTGCAGTTGGCGTGCTTTTCTCGATAGCTTTTCAGTGGCGGAAAAGCTTTGTGCTCTGATGGGGGCTGAGTTGGTGCTGCTAAAGAGAAAACGTGAAGAGAGAGAGTGTGTGGAGAAAGTGAGAGAGAGTAATGGACATCATGCTCTTGACTTTTGCGACACGTGCTGGCGAAGCTTTTACGGGATTGTAAACAAATTGATAAAAGTCGAAAACAACAACAGAAGCGTACGACGAAGCAATTGAGGAAATGCAAAGAATGGTTAAATGGCGAGCATGTAAGTAATTGTGTGAGTGTGTGTGTAAATTGACTGGTCCACCCATGTGTGTTAGTATGTATGTATGTACACACAGCTGCGGTCAAGGCAATAGCTTTAGGTAAACAAAATAAAGTGATCTTAATAAGAGGTATTGAATGAGGTCAATATTAGGTCATAAACATTAGCTAAGCATTCTAAATTATTTTCTTATAAATAAAATCATAATGAAATAATTGTAATTATGCTAAAGCTTCAAATTTTTTTTCTAGATTTTTTAAAAGTATTTATATCTAATTTTTAAAGCATCTTAAGAAATTTAAGATTTAAATACTACAGGAAAATATGAAAATAATTAAAGGAAAATAGATAAAAAAGACCTAAATGAATTATTTTGTACCTTAAATACTATAACATAGCTACTATAAATTTAAATTTAATATTAAGTTCAATTGTTTGTTAAATAGCTACTTTCAAACAATTTAAATAACTGAAAATGCAAAAAATGCTATATTTCAAAGCTAAATGACTAATAAAAATTAATAAAATGAATTAAAAATAAACAATACTTGTCTGCAAATATCACTGCTATTATTTTGACCTTAGCTGTTCCCATTTATACATATATACAGATTCATTAAACTGGTGTTGGGCACAAACCAAAAGTAAAGTGTTGGGGCATAGGCCGCGGTGCCCATCACAGCGTATCTTCCTATTGTTGCATAATCGATATCTTCACGTTCGGCAGTCGACTACGAGATACATAAATCACTTTAGATACTCTATATATTCCTCAGATATATCTTTATTTACAAGAAGATTAAATTAAACTTACAGGCAGCCAACGTTTCGAAACAAATTGTTGGGAATATTCGGCGCCCACGTAAAGGCTCCCATAGATGGCGCTATTGGTCACAAAAGGATAACGACGGAATAATGTACGGACTCCAGATATTAGGCGAGACATTCTCTTCCTATATTTGGTTTAAATTCGTTGTAATTTAATTACTTTTTTTGTTTATTTATATACAAATAAAGTATATTTCTTTGTTTGCGGCCAGCCGCCAGCGTTGTCAAAGCTTTACTGCGGGAATTTTCCAAAACTATGGCTCAGGCTGTGTTACAAAAGACAATCATTGACTAGCGGCGACCTCCGGAAAGAGAGGTACTATATATGCATAGAAAGAGAGGGCAAGCCACCAAAGAGATATAAAAGAGAAGTACGGGGAGTTAGCTAAGAGAAAACTTGATTGTTTACGTTTTCTAAATGCAAGTCCAAGATTTATGACTTGCGTTGATTAGGAAAAGCTTGAAAATGTATTTAATTTGTCGGAGATATCTGTGGAGTGGCTTATCAGGTTATATAGATAAGATTTGTCCATATGCTTGGGTATCAGTTGGCAACAAAAATATATAACAAGACAGGAAGCTAACGTATACCATTGCAGATTGAAATTCGGTCACTAGGAATTAAAACAATACAAATTTTATATATTTATGTTAAAATATAATAAAGTTATACCTGCTTTCAATTCATTCACCTTTACATTTTATATTTTTATTTATTTTTTTTATTTTATTTATTAAGAGTATTACATTCACCGTTTTGCGTTTTCCTATATTTTTAAAGATCGTTTGTATGGGAGCTATAGATATAGCAGTCCAATTTTTATTAAATTTTATAGTTAGTAGTTTAGTTAGTAACTGATCATACATACTTACTGGTCCTTGATTCTTACTGATCATAGTTACTTACTGCTCATAGATACTTACTGTTCAGAGTTACTTACTGATCAGAGTTAAATTAAATATCAGCTCGCTGCTTCTCTCTGCCTCTCCCCCTCTCTCGCTAAGTTAGTGGCTCTATGTTAATCTCTAGAGGCAACTCCTCTCCCGCCTACTCACACTCACTTTCTCTGCTCCTCTCTTTCCTCGGGGACTATAAATAGAGGCGCTAAGGGCCCGCGCGCCTCAGTCTGTCCTAGGGGTACCTAGTGTTAACATCTCAAGTGATAGTGATAGTGACTACCTTTCGATCCCAAAAATATGACGTGGCCAATGCAATACATCTGGATGACCAGGAAGAAGCTCACTTGGATAAAGTCACCCAATCTTGGTCACTACACTGGAAGGAAGTAAACAATGACGTGTCCTTTACTGCGGTAAGTCTTAACCATGACATTTATATTATGTATGAAGAAGCTATTGGCGGTATCAGACCTAGGTATAGAATTTAGACTGGTCCCCTTTACATACTTACTGGTCATAGATACTTACTGTTCAGAGTTACTGAAGTTCCATTTACTGGTCATAGATACTCACTGATCGTCATAGATACTCATTGATCAAAGTTAATTACTGGTCATAGATACTTACTGTTCAGAGTTACTTACTGCTCATAGTTACTTGCGGATCATAGTTAATTAATGTTCATTGATACTTAATGATCATAGTTATATAATGTTCATTGATACTTACTGATCATAGTTACTTAATGTTCTTTGATACTTAATAATCATAGTTAATTACTAGTCATAGATACTTACTGTTCAGAGTTACTTAATGTTCATTGATACTTACTGATCAATCAATCATATGCACTGATTCCCAACACGTTCTAACATCCCCGGAACGAAGTGACTGCTGCCGGCCACGTCTCAGAAATGTGTTGTGTTACAAAAGTTGCAAGTCATTGTTTATTAGTGTTTAAAGTTAGTAACTGATCATACATACTTACTGGTCATTGATTCTTACTGATCATAGTTACTTACTGGTCATAGATACTTGCTGTTCAGAGTTACTTAATGCTCATTGATATTAACTGATCAGAGTTAAATTAAATATCAGCTCGCTGCGCCTCTCTGCCTCTCCCCCTCTCTCGCTGTGTTAGTCGCTCTATGCTAATCTCTAGAGGCAACTCCTCTCCCGCCCACTCGCACTCACTGTCTCTGCTCCTCTCTTTCCTCGGGGACTATAAATAGAGGCGCTAAGGGCCCGCGCGCCTCAGTCTGTCCTAGGGGTACCTAGTGTTAACATCTCAAGTGATAGTGATAGTGATTACCTTTCGATCCCAAAAATATGACGTGGCCAATGCAACACATCTGGATGACCAGGAAGAAGCTCACTTGGATAAAGTCACCCAATCTTGGTCACTACACTAGAAGGAAGTAAACAATGACGTGTCCTTTACTGCGGTAAGTCTTAACCATGACATTTATATTATGTATGAAGAAGCTATTGGTGGTATCAGACCAGGTATAGAATTTAGACTTTGGTCCCCTTTACATACTTACTGGTCATAGATACTTACTGTTCAGAGTTACTTAAGTTCATTGATACTTACTGATCATAGTTATTTACTGGTCATAGATACTTATTGGTCATAGATACTCACTGATCGTCATAGATACTCATTGATCAAAGTTAATTACTGGTCATAGATACTTACTGTTCAGAGTTACTTACGGATCATAGTTACTTAATGTTCATTGATACTTACTGATCATAGTTTCTTAATGTTCTTTGATACTTACTAATCATAGTTACTTAATGTTCATTGGTACTTACTGATCATAGTTAATTACTGGTCATAGATACTTAATGTTCAGAGTTACTTAATGTTCATTGATACTTACTGATCATAGTGCATATGATTCCCAACGCGTTCTAACATCCCCGGAACGAAGTGACTGCTGCCGGCCACGTCTCAGAAATGTGTTGTGTTACAAAAGTTGCAAGTCATTGCTTATTAGTGTTCAAAGTTAGTAACTCATCTTATATACTTACTAGACATAGATGGATAGATACTTACTGTTCAGAGTTACTTAGTTTTTATTGATACTTACTGTTCAGAGTTACTTACTGTTCATAGATACTTACTGACCATGGTCATACTGACTGATCATAGTTACTGACTGTTCAGAGGATCTTCCTGTTGAAAGATACTTACTAATCCTCTACCTTTAACGTCCGTTTCTCTGGCAGTTACATTATATAGTAATCCGATTTTCATAAAACTAAAAAGGATTATAATGTATAATTTGTTCTAGCTATTATGCTATAGTTTAATAATACTTCTTCAACATTTTAATTTAATTTGTACATCCCCTAAAGTACTATTAAAACAAAAGAAGTACAACTTTACCCACTCTCCATGTGAAATCAATATCGATAAACATTCATTGAGGCAAACTCGTAAAACCCAGACCGCACAGTAACTTCCTACTTTTGAGCACCTTGCCTTTGCCTTTGCCTTGCCTACGAAATTACCTCAATCAAGTTTAAAATACAAATCCACCCGGCAGTCCTACCTTAATCAAGGACACATGCAGCTCAGTCAGCATAAAATACAAAAAAAAAAAACACAGAAGCGGCGGCGGGGAAAAACAACAAAACTTTTGCCCATAAAAATGCAATAAGTGTATCAGGTCCTGGAAACCCTTTTTGGCTAATGGCAATTTACGCACGACTAACAAACACCAGAGGGAACCTGCCTTGGAAACATATGCCAAAGGACCTCCTGCAAGAAGCCGGGAAGCTGGGAAAACGACAACTTTGATTGAGTGCCGGGCAAACTGAAGGCAAAGGTGTTAAAACTGAAACCAATTTAAAAAGTTCTGCGAAACCATATGGAAAGTGAGCCTGAGAAGTGGTCGCAACTTTCGACTAGAGATGTGAGTAAACTGTGCAAAAAATTGTATCTACATATATCTATATTAATAAAAGAAATATAAATAATTTTAAAAATTACAAAACAACATATAAGACTAAAAAATTAACAACAGAAATACCTAAAATATTGAATCCTTTATGATCAATATTTTTTAATATAACATTTTGACAAATTAAAGTTTAAAAACTCGTTTCAAGCTTCTGACTATAAGTAAAACCCCTGCGAGGGTATACAAAGTTGTAGGAAGTGTAATTATATATTTGCTTTGACATACATATCGTTCCCTAATATTTCTCCAAGTGTAATGCCTAGTAGGCAGACTGTCAAACAAGCCACGCACACAACGCCGCACACACCTGACTTTTTTTCAGACAGAGCCAGGTGAGAGAGCAAGAGCTAAAGACGGAGACGGAGACTGCGACAGCGACAGAGACAGAGACAAGGACAGCGGCAGGACAAAGACGACGGCATCAACGGCTGGGAAAGGACCAAGGATGAAGCTAAGCGACATCCTGAAAAGCGTGAGCAAGAGACTGCGCCTTGGGCAAACCACAAACTGTTCCACTCCTATCTCGGATCCGATCTCCTCGACAACCACCACCACCACCACCACCACTACCACCAGTAGTGGTTTCCCCAGTACCAGTCCTTTTACCAATCCCAGTTTCTTTTTCCCCACCTCGGATTCGGCCACCCTGCTGATTTCCTCCGAGGACGAGGAGGAGCCCACTCCAGGAGAGAGTCTTTTGGCCTTGGCCGCTGCACGGCTGAGCAGGAGGGAGCTAAATCCTTACCAGCAGATTGTCGAGCAGATTCTGCGGAAGGTAAGCCAGTTGGAGCACACCATTTACGAGGATCATCAGAACGAGTTCAGGCTGCGAATGGCCTTGGAAAGGCAAACGGAACGGGTGCAGGAACTGTCCTTCTCGTTGGACACGGAGAAGAAGCGCAATGGACGCCTGGTGCAGTTGCTCCATGGAATCGATACCTCTGGAGGTGAGGGAAGCGAACCGGAAGAGAGGTTTATCAGGCGATCTCCTGTGAAGCCTGGCGGGGATTTGTACGATTCCATTAGTCCACTGCTCATGCAACAACGGTGAGTCCTTGGATATCCTTATATTCTTAGTTTCTTTACTATTCCTAACAGCTACGATGAGCTCTCGGTTTCCCATCGCCAAAGCTGCCGGCAGCTGGCAAAGAAGGAAAAGGCTCTGAAAATCCTAAAGTCCGAAACGGAGGAGCTGCAATCCAAATACGAGCAACTCTTTGACGAATATCGGACTGAGCAACGTCGCTTTGAGATGCTGTGCTCACGCTACATGGAAGCCCAGATGAAAAAGAAGCAACAGATCTACAACCTGAAGAATACCCTGGGTCATGCCAGTGAGTGCATCTACCATGCCCAGGTGGCCATCGATGAGTGCTGTCAGCGGAATAAATCCCAAAGCATATCGCCGAAAAACCTAGAGAACTTCAACAAAAACCTAAGTGATTTTATGAACGCCTTGCGAAATTGCTGTTGCCTGCAAAAGGTTCACGAATTGCAGCATCAGCAGCAACAGCAGCTTCGTCAGAAAGAGCCTTCTCTGGAAGTGAAAGAGATTAAATATACCCAAATTCCATCGGATGATAAAACCTCGCCTGGCACCCAGCAATCTTCGAAGCAAAGTCATCGCAGTCGCAGACGACAAAGGAATGCAAATCGTTGATGGTTCACTTTCGAGTTACTCATTAGCATTAGGTTACTTGTGAAATCCCTTGAACCCTTAAAATTTCTTTTTTAAGTCACAGAAAAAAGTGAAAATATGTTTGCACAAAAATATTAAAAAAAAAATAAACAATAAACAGGGATTTCTTTTTTATTTAACCATAAATCAAATTTTAAAGTTATATTTTAACTTTATATGAACCCTTGTGACAGTCTTCGGTAAAACTTAAAGACAAATAAGTAGCCTTTGAAACTTAACTTTGCATTAATGTATATCCGATTAGTCGGTCTCCGATTCATTGGAAAAAACATATCTAAATATAGAAATATTGTCTAAAAAATTAAAGAAAACCGAGTTATGAAAAACCCCTACAATAATGTCGGAATTGAAACGTAATCGTGCATCTACGGGCAGCGCTGAGAGCAAGATTGAGGCGATGATTCGCGAGTCCGATTTACAAGAAGACCTGGCCAACACTGAGGTGCAGCCAGCTTCAGATGTCACCATCTATAATGCCTACAGCATGGGCCCGGCTTTTGGAAAGAAATTCCCGTTGCCATATATTGTGTATATTTTAAATGAAATAATGCAACAGAAGTTGGTCAACAAGGTCTACACTGCGGAGGAGGCTGCGAAGTGGACTCGCGAGATCGCTGATACAGTCAACCTCAAGTTTAAAGGACGCGGTGTCTTTCCACGATTCAAGCATGTGGTGAATGTGATGCTCTACCAGCAAACCGGAGCGGGATGCTTTTACGGCGCTCGAGCTATCTGGGACCCATTATCCGATGACTTTGGGAGCTATACCTTTGACGGCGGCAGTTTCGTGTGCATTGCCACTGTATTTGGTTGTTATCAATATTGAGTTGCAATGAAAAACATTTAAATAAATCTAAGAATTGCATAAAGACTATATTATTATTATAGAAAAGAAAGCTTGAAGCGGAGTCTTTTGTGTAATTAAAGCGAATTCTAAATCAGATGAAGTTCCCTAAAAATAACGCCCAATATTTGAATTTCAGTGTTGCCCCTGCTACCGTTAGTCAAAAGTATGACCGCACCACTGGCTTCTGCCAGTCAGCTGACCGCAGCACAAGTTGGCAGCCCTGCCACTCGCACATGTTGTTTATTTCCAATTTTTTATTGAAATCGTTTAACTGCGTCGCAAGAAACACAAATAAATGCTAACAGGATGAAGGTTAAGATGATTAGTCGCAATCCGGACAATTATGTCCGGGAAACCAAGGAGCAGCAGCACAAGAGTAAGTGGAATATACGCTCTGAAGCACAGAATTTAATTAGCAATGCCTTTCAGTGCCTCGAAACTACGATCCCTCGCTGCATCCCTTGGAGGGTCCACGGGAATATGTGCGGGCGTTAAATGCCACCAAATTGGACCGAGTGTTTGCCAAACCCTTTGTGGCCAACTTAAGTGGCCATCGGGATGGTGTGGCATGCTTTGGCAAGCATCCCAAGCTACTATCTAGCCTGGCAACCGGCGCTTATGACGGGGAGGTGCGTATTTGGGATCTGGCTAATCGCACCAGCATCCGCCACTTTGTGGCTCACGATGGCTTCGTCCGGGGCATTGCCTACACCCGAAACGGGGATCAGATCTTCACCGTGGGCGATGACAAGACCATCAAGGTTTGGAAGGGCCAAGCACCGGAAATTGGCGAAGATGAGGAGCCCGTGAACACCATACTCAGTAGGTACGGCCTGCATGGCATCTCGCACAATCGAAAGGACAATAAGTTCGCCACCTGCGGCGAGGTGTGTGCGATTTGGGATGAAGAGCACAACGATCCGTTGAAGACGCTGAAATGGGGCGTAGACACTCTGCATACCATCTCCTACAATCCAGTCGAAACTGATATCCTAGCTTGCTGTGCCAGCGATCGAAGCATTATCCTGTACGACCAACGTGAAGCACAGCCCCTGCGAAAGGTGGTACTTACAATGAAGAGCAACAAATTGGCCTGGAATCCAATGGAGGCGTTCAACTTTACGGTGGCTAATGAGGATTGCAAGTGAGTTAGATATTATTTAGAATTATTTTATGGCTTCTAAAACTCTTTCCCCCTTGCAGTCTCTATACCTTTGACACCCGCAAATTGCAAACGCCTTTGAAGGTTCACTTCGATCATGTTTCTGCCGTCACCGATGTGGACTACTCGCCCACGGGCAAGGAATTCGTCTCCGCCAGCTACGACAAGACTGTTCGCATTTACAATGCCCATCATAGTCACTCTAGGGATATTTATCACACCAAACGTATGCAACATGTTGTCTGTGTGGCCTGGTCATTGGACAATCGATATGTCTTCTCCGGCTCCGACGAAATGAACGTGCGCATGTGGAAGGCGAAGGCCTCCGAGAAACTGGGCGTGATACGACCACGCGAGCGTGTCAACTTCAATTACCAGGAGGCTCTCAAGCAAAAGTATGCCGCCCATCCGCAGATCAAGCGCATTGCTCGGCATCGCCAGGTGCCACGGCATGTGCTCAATGCCCAGAAGAAGATGCGTACGGTCAAGGAGAAGGAGCAGGTCAAGGAGGCCAATGTGCGCAAGCACTCCAAAAAGGGCAAGGTGCCCTATGTCAGTGAAAAGAAGAAGCATGTCCTCAAGGAGGAGGTCTAGATGGGACTGTTTAAAAACACTAGTTTAAATAAGTATGAATAATAAAACATATTGATTTTTGTAAGTATAATTTAAATTATTCTTTCTGATTTTAATTTTTCTTGTTTTTGGCTTTGATATTGCAAATGCATTTGGCATTTTAAAGTTCAGCAATTCACAGCATTATTTATAAATTTTATTTATCAGTCTTATAATATTTCCAAATTATTTGAAATTTTATGTTTTCGGATCCGATAAGCTCCTTGGCGCGATAACGATAACGACGACGTGTCTTTTGGAAGCATTTCCGATTATAAAAGGTGGACAGCCCCACCGATTGGGGCTCAGTCGCTTTGTTGTTACGGCAGTTGCCAGTCGGTTGTTAGTTTTTTGTTTTTCGTTGTTCATTTGTTTATACACTCGCGCGGCACCGCCCCACCCCCCCGAAACCCCCAGCACGGAACTCGTTTGATTTGCCCCATTAAAATCCAGAGATAATAACATTATGGAAGCTCTAGGAGATCTCTTGGCGCCTCACAGCGAACTTATTGCCAAGGTAGCCGGCACAATCACTACCCTGCAATTCCTGTCCGGTGTGGCGCTGATGAACGACATCCGTAAGAAGGGCAGCAGCGATGTTTATCCCGTGGGTCCATTTCTGGGCGGAGTGGTGCTGTAAGTATCCCGGTTCTCGTAATGCTTCACTGCATCACGCACGAAAAAAAAAATAAAACTTAGAAACAATAGCTAGGCAGGCGGCGCATCTGTGGGGAATTGATTAAATTTTTGAACTGTCGCCATGACGCCACAGAATCGGCTCTTTTTTCAAGGCCGCCCCCCACTGAATCGGTTTTGCACTCGATTCAATAAGAAAACAATGGGGGAAGGGGTTACATCACTTCGATGGCAAAAATAACCGCCGTTTCGATCACCTTTTTGGCCGTTACATTTTGAAAGAAATATATATTTCTTTATGTTTGATATCTCTTAACCTTGTCGTCGTCATCGGGAATCTTTTCGGTTGCTTATCGACGTACGTCCTATACTAACACGTACCTCTTATCTGGAGTGTCTAGGAATAATATAATTGCTACACTCTATGAATGTTGATCCATAGGGGAGAGGCAGCTAAGCTAATCGTTTATGAGACAGGACAGACAGATGATAGGCTGGCCGACGACGACGACTCGCCTCTGCCACGTGCTCGGCATAAGTCCGGGGGTTCTGATTCTTTGGGGGTGGCTTTCAGTGATGAGTATCCAAGCTGTACCTAGGAATTATCTTGCTGTTATTATATATCTAGTATGGGATTAAACTACTCGTACTAACTATAGATAAAGAGGGTTTTGAAGGGATCTTACTAAGATTATTAGGAGCTTTTTCTAACATTAAATACTACAAAAAAATGTATGTAAACTAGATAAAATATTTAAACAAGTTGCTTAGGTTATAACCTATACACTTGCTCCCATGAATAATTCATTTCATCATATACACGACATAATTATTGAATTGGAAATTATTATATATCTTTATCTAATATCTATTTTGCCTTAAATATACCCATTACTAGTGAGAAAATTGCTCCTTTAAATTATATACTAAAGAACACAGTTCTCAATCACCTATAGTATTTATTTTTAATTCACAACTCTTTCTATTTTTTAAATGTACAAATTGCCTTGTTTACTAACAAAACCTAGAACACTTAATACCATTTAATACATTTTCAAGCACAATGTTTAAGCAAACATATTCCTAATCTCAAACACAAATGTGTACATTGCACAATGTACAATTATTGTGCCATGTCATGGTCCCTATGTCATCACTATTGGCCATTCAGGGGGTGGGCTGGGTGGATAACCGGAAGGTGTTAACTTGGACTGTGTCAAGTGTAAGGACCCACAGACATGCAAGCGAACGAAGCAACAGTTTGTTTCGCTAAATGAATTCAATTTTGAAGGTGTGGAGGTCAAGGGCAATATAGTATTCCGGGGCGACCGGCCAGTTTTGTGTGTTAATTTCCCACGAATCACGGAATGTATTTCACCATTGTAGTGGGATCCATGATAAGCAGACCGATGGTATCGCTAAATATTTTTTTGTTTTCCAGTATTTATATTCTTATCAATAGTTACGTGGACGATGATTTGTATATATAACACACAATCTTTTGGCTGGCTGGTGTATCCCCAAAAACCCGTTTGACTCAGCATGTTTGTACTTAAAGAAATGTAGAACTCTAGATACCTTAATTAATTAATCAAAACGGGTTTTTCTAATGACCCTGCAGTGTAAAATATTCTATAAAATGGTAGGTAGTTAGTCTCTTGAGGTCAAAACTTGTTCAATTTCTCTTTGAAAATTGTGTATCTATTTGTAGAACTTGTTTCATTCTACTTTTACTGGAATTGATTATGATTTTCTAAATAAAACGGGTTCTGTATTAGAAACGTTGGTTTTTAAATGAAAACGTCTCTTTGAATGTACTACAATTGACAGTTTGTTGTTCAGTTGTTTTTCCTATCTAAATTCTAGTTTCTATATTAAGTTAAAAAGCCACACAAAACCCTAATCAAATCCTTTCTTTACTTTCCAGGACCGTTCTCAGCTTAAAGCTGGCTTACATCATGAACGATGCCGCCATGATCAACACCAATCTAATTGGTTTGGTCATTAATTTTGTTTTCCTTTTCGGTTTCTATTACTACGCTTCCAGTGGGAACAGGGTAAATATTTGGAAGCAAATCGGTTACTCCTCGGTCTTCCTGTTGGCCACCACGGCCTATGCCAACTTCGAGGATCCCGCCAAGATTGAATTCCGCCTGGGTATGCTGATCACCGGCATTCTGGTTTGGTTGGTGGGCTCTCCACTTCTGCACCTTCCGAAAATCATTGAGAAGAAGAGCACTGAGGGCATGCCTTTCCCCATTATCCTGGCTGGTAACCTGGTTGCCACATCCTGGATGCTGTATGCCATCTCCATCAAGAATACTGTTATGGTGGTAAGTTAACTTAATTATTAATGTGTCTTCTAGTTGAAAAGGAAGTCTAGCTATCCTTTGTCATAACTTTTAAGCCTCGGAAGACGAATCCTACTAATAAATCTCTATTTTATAGCTCCAGAATCTACTCCTGCTTGTCTTGGGCGGCATTCAGCTGTCCATGTTCGCCATTTACCCCAACAAGCCGGCTGCCAAAAAGCCCAAGGACAGCAAGAAGGATAAATAAATGAAATCGATTGCTTCTATGATAACTAATACACAAAAAAGGACAAATAATGGGTTGCTGCAACCACATTACAAATTAATAAGTTAGTTAGGCTCGAGGAATAATCAAATTATTGCTTGAATTTACACACTAAACAATCGCCACAAGAAACCTAAACTTTGAGCTAATATATAGACGAATTATGTATTTTTCTATATAAGAAATATTTTCTTAGAACAAATCCAGCTAACTGTGTCGCTAGCTAACCTAGAGAATTGTTACTACATATATCGACTATTAATTGTATATATAACTACTTACATACTTGCAATTTTTGACAATAATTCAAATCTTCCAAAATGCGTACGTATTTATAAAGTCAACATAATTAATTATTAATTAAAGACATAAAAAAGAAACTGTTACAAATGCGAGAGAGTGAGTTTCATATTAGGCCACTGGCACTGTGGAGTTGTAGTGGGCGCCCAGTTGATAAATGTGACGGTGATAACAGATGACCAGTGGTGCTCCACCGAACTCCTCCTGGCCCAGAAGGGTTGGCGCACCCTCCGCTTGGATAACTTCAATGGGAACCTTGAGGAGTGAGGATATGGCCTTAAGTTCAATGTGTCCGCCCCAGGCGTGTGTCTTGGCTATATCCTGGCAGTACTGTTCGAATTGTTCATCGTTAAGCAGCTCACCCGTTTCCGGGTGGGTCATGTAGCAGATGAGGCTATCCTTGTGGGCCCGCACATAGTTGGCCGTCTCCTGCCTCAGCTCCAGAACACTGTGACCTGGAAGAGCGTTTACAATGAGCTGATGCTTGATGGATTGATACAAACAGTCGCCATCGGAGGCAATGTTATGCAGTGACAGTTGGCGGCTCGACAGTTTCGCTGTTATTTGCTGGAGCTCGATTAGTTTGGGCGAAGGCTGATTGGCGGCGTTCTGCAGCTCCACTTTGATTTCAGCCTCGCGTTCCCTCGCCTCCTTGGCCTTCTTATCCCTTCGCTTCTGAGCCTTGGACACGCGCTGATTGGGAGGATGATCTGGCTCTTCTCCCTGCTCTTCGGTTTCCTCCTCATTATGGACAGACTTTGCCGGCTTCTCCTCTACTTGCTGCTTGACTTCTGCTGGTGGCGCACTGGCTTCTCCCGATTGAAGTTCCGCTTTGTGGCGCTGCTCCAGCTCACCTTCCAGGCGGGCCATCTCCTCCAGAAACTCCTTTCGTTTGTTTTTATTGTTTTTCGGGGCATTCTTCTTCATGGCCTGCAGCTTGGCTTGCAGTTCTTTCCGTTCCCGGCGATGGCGGGCGCCTATATCCTCCAGATTCACATCCTCCAGGCGGGCCTCTAGATCATGGATTCCTTCGTCTTCACTGCCCATTTTAGTTTATTTAATTATTTTAAAGAAAACTAAGTTTTTAGTTGATTTTGACCACAATTCAGTTAGAGCAGGCACAGCGCTGATATCAACATCGATGACATACAGTGCTAGATTTGATGATTTTCTTTCATCGATAGCAATATTGGCCCGGCACTATCGATTGTTATTTAAAGTTTATCCTTTATATTTGAAATTCAAATGTATGTTTTGGAAAAACAACAATAATCAAGATCAGATAGAATTAAATAAAATAGAAGAAAAAGTCTGTAGAGGAAATAATTGATTAAAAATGCAGGGTATTATGATTTTAGTAAGAAAACATGAAACAGTCTTCTTGTAATTTAAAAAGTCACTTTTTAGAATAGAAAAAATTAATTAAAGTCCTGGAATATATATCCCAAATGTCCCCCCAATAATACAAAAATATGATTTTAATAACATGCTTTTTTTATTATTTATGCTAAACATATAAACGATTTAGAGCGATAAACAACTATATTATGCGCTGCCAGTAGTGAGAAATCGGCTCAACCAATTCCTGACTTTGATACAACTTAAAACTTATCTAAATTGACAAAAAGGAAAATAGAATTTTCACTTTCTAATATATATATATATTGTAAATATATATATATATATATATATATTTACAAGCAAAACTTTAAAAGACTTGATTGCTGACAGAAAATGTATGACTAATTTGTATGGTAATTGAAATATGAATGATTTTTTAAAAACTGGCAAGCAAGCAGGCAAACCACCAGATATTCTCTTCTTACAGCCCTACAACATTTTATAAATCGTACTATTTACAATTGGCCAGCGTCGGGGCAATGACTCTTAATTTTAATCCATTTACACAATATTCAAACACAAGAGGCAACTAAAAACATGGCTTTGTTGCCATATTAGAGGCATCCCAAACATCCGTACATCCAAAAAGGTGATATTTACTTAGCCCCTAAACGACATCTACGCACAATGTCTCCTTCCTCTCATCTATATAGATACAACTAGTGAAGGCTAGGAATCAGCGACAAACCCATGTTTACAGGCTCTTTGTGATATTTTGGAACAGGCGGCGACCCCACCATGACTCCAAATCGAAGGGCTTAAAATCCTGTAGCGCAGGACTAGGAGGCTCAACCCAAACAGTCGCTGTGTGTTGTGAGTTTGCCATGATGCTGTCCACAGGACTGGCGGCGCTGTCGTTGTTGTTGGCATCCGCCACTACTTTCTCGGCGGGCTTAGCAGATGAGCTGGCATCGTAGGGATTCTGTGCCACTAGCATGTTCCAGGCTGTTATAATTAAGGACTTTTATTAGTTTATTCTATCTTACTCTTAAAGAAACGCAGACTTACAGTCATTTATGTAACGAATAATCTCCTCATGCTGCGGCGTTATCACCTCATCCTCGATCAGCTTGGTCGGTGCTATCCGCTTGGAGGCGAAGCTCTGCTGGAACACTGGACGCGGTATGCTGCATTCATGAAAATTAAATAAAAGGTATTATAGTACATATTATAATGACAACGCCCGACTGAATTTCAACGAGGAAGTCGCCTCATTTATGCAAAGTAAGCAGTCGAGAAAGGTGGGGGAAATTGGGTTCGACAACTTCCTACTCAGTTCTGGAAATTTTAAATATATTACAATTCTGACCACGTGTAAATATTCATTAATCATTAATCTAATTCAGTTGTGAAATAATTTGTACTTGTTGTCTAGTTTTACATTTTAACAATTTCTTTATATTTCACAAATATTTTCCCAGCTAACTAGTATCTTTGCATTACAATGTCGTCCTGCAATAAATTATAGTTAAAATAAAAGCCGAATTGTGATATTAATCTGAAGCTATAACCTTCCCGGCCTTGAAGCTGATAGCGAAGCTAGCATTAATGATAGCTGACTATCTATTGATTGACAAGGCATTGGTAGACCGATAACCGCATTTGTAGCCCTTTGGGAATCATTGGTTGTATGATTTATAAAAATTAATTTTAATTATTCTATGTCAAACCAATGTGCTAATAGTTTTCAAAATGTTCTGTTTAATTTTTGTGAAAGGTGTGACATAACGATCGCAAAACTGAAATGTGTTGATTGATTTCGTCACAACAAATCTATACACATCATCTTTGTATTTTTGTTGGTGCTCTAAATAGGTTTCATTCTGATTTTTATACCCTTGCTCAGGGTATTATATTTTAGTCAAAAGAATGGAAATGCAGTGAAAGAGTAATTTCCAACCCTAGAAAAGCTATCCGAATGAAAATTAATGTATTTTTGGCTAAGTTATGATGGATTTTGTCTGCAAGAGTATATTAGTTTGGGTTTCCCAAAGATAGTTTCCTTTCTAGTTGCTTTCTAGCATTGAAACTAATTAGCATTGATTATAAAGTTCTATAAGCATGATTTATCAACATGATTGTTGGGATTTATCTTCCTAATAATAAAAAATTGATAGTATAGTCATACATCCAGCAAGTTAAGAAAACTAATTATAAAACAAGAGGGTAGGGATCCAGAACCTACATCTTAAGCTTCCTTCAACTATTCATAGATCTACTTAGCTTTATAGCTTCCTCATAACATCTATGCTAAGTGCTCTCTACTCCCAAGTGCCCCACATCTCAAGTTTTTCCTCGCTTACATCTCCCCCCAAAGTCGTGACGTAACGATCGGTCGTCAGTGGAAAAGTCAATGCCTTTCAAAATCAGAATTTAAATGAAAATGGAACCGATAACCGACGCGACGTCTGCCTGCCTGCCTCTGACCCACGTGTTCTCCTAGCTAGCGTCTCCTAGGGAGCAATTAGCATGGCGGTGCTAGGTCGCCGCGGATTCCTGCGATAAAATGTCAAAGATAAGACGAGGGTCGCTAGCCCCGCCACTTTCCCCCCCTGCCACCACCACACACTTTCCACACACATGTGCTGCTGGCTGTTTGCATAAGCGGCCAAAGATTCAAATTTGGACGATGCCCTTACTTGTTGTGCTCCTCGGGGCTGTTCAGATCGAAGCTGCCATTCCTCCGGCCACTCTCCTTGATGCTCTCGAACTTTTCAAAGTTTTGCGCCAGGCCTGTAAAAAACGATGAAAAGTATGATGAAAATTATCAGCATGCAGTGGAAAATGCCGGCAAAACAAAAAGTTAACAGCGCCAGAGAGCAAGAGCGGTGACCTACAGAGAGAGAGAGAGAGAGGGAGAGAGATAGAGGGACCGCCGAGAGAGCGCGCTGGCAAATGTTGTGACATAACAGCTGGGCCATGTTGCCTCTCTGCAAGGGTTTTATTTTGTGTGCCTTCTCGAATAATTAAATGTTAAATTGTTACATGTTTGTTGCTGCACTTACCGCGACGTGATTTAGCAACAATTTTGCTGGGTCCCTTGTTGATCGTGTACATTGTTGTTGTTGTCCTTCCTGATTCCTTACGTTTTGTGTACAGCTTGTGTTGAGGCTGCTGCTCCTGGTACTACCACTCTGCTGATGATGTTTTTCTTCTGGCAACGAAATACTATTTTGCTATTTTGGCGACTGCCGTGCTATGTTTTTAGCTTTCCCCACTTTGTCACACCTGACGTATATATCTGAGGGCTTGTTGTTGTTGTTGCAGTTGTTCTTGGGCAATCATATGATCAGTAGTGGCTCCCGCCGTCTCCTCGCCTCCTTCTTCTCGTCTGTCCGCCGGTCATCGTTTTTAGCGGTTACACAATACACAGTTAGCTCTGATTTTGTTCTTTTCCATCCGCACTCGCCGAATCAATTGATTTCATTCACTGGTTTAGTGTCTCGCAAGCACAATCACAATCACACTCAATTGCTCCTGGATGGGTTGGCGTTTTATAACGTTCTGTGCGGCAGCGGCCGGAGCTCCAATGCAAGTGCTCCATTCGAATCGAAATAAAGAAAAGTTAACAGGCGCCATCTGTTAACTCGTTTATGCGGCACACTTTGCGATCTTCAGCAAGTCGGGATGTTAGTTTCCTTGCAATTCCGATCTGGACTCTTCATTTATTCTTTTTATATAAGCATGCATATTTTCTTTTACTTGGCTTACTACACATTTGATGTCAGTGCTTAGATAATGCCTTTGTTCCAATTGATGTGCCACAAATCATAAATTAATTTTCCGCATAAACGAATTAACCGATACACGTGCAGAGAAACCATATGTTTCTGCAAGTGTGTACACACGCTCGGAGGCAGGAATTCTGCTTACTAGCGCGCGTAAATTTGATTTTTTTTACCAATTTTAAAATACTTTAATTGCTTTGTGCAAAATTGTTTTTTCCGAAATCAGACAATTTTAATGCATACTTTCCAAATATATTTTGTGCAATTTATGACCGTTTTCCTTGCATTGCAGTTTTCTACCTGCGCGCATAATTTTGAACGCATTAAAAAGGGATTAGCAGGGCTTTCGGCGGAAAATTTAATTACGAGCAGGTAACGCCATAAAATGACAGATGCGGGGAAAGATTAGCAAAGTACTTTCCACACTGAGTTTTATGTCATAGTCCTCAAATTGCGCACCCATCAAGGATATATAAATAGTGCCAAGAGCTAAATGGAAGTCAGTAGCAAACCGTCAACGTCAAGCATAGTAATAACTTCTTGATCAAGCAAAAGTGTTTAGAAAAATATATAATCATGTCTACTACCACCAACGAAGCCACCCAATTACTGCAGCGTCTGAGCAGCCTGAAAATTGTGGAAACTCCCAAGGACCAGAAGGAAGTCGCTACTCGAGAATGCTACTCCCTGGACAGCAAGCATTTTCAACGGGCCCCCACCACCCCATCTAGCGGCGGACCCGGAAAGTTTGACACCGATTTAAAGAAGCGGCGCAAAATCAAGCGCAACAACCGTATCCACACCTACGAGGCTGACAAACACTTCACCAAAGCCCGCAAATCTTTAAACTTTTAATCACAACAGGCCCCGATGTAATCAACATAGTCATAAGTTGCCTTTTGATTTCAAATCATATACCTTTACTATTTTTTCCCCTTACAATAAATAATATTTGCAATATAAAAACGGTGTGCATCTATTCTCTGGTTACAATTATGAAGACTATGTTTTGATTGTGGTAACACTGCTTTTGCTGGTAAGTGTGCCAGCCCTGGTAAAGGTCCTGGAAGTCCTGTTTATCGAATATATTTTACAGCTTGCAGCTCTGGCTGATAGCTGTTCCTGTGGCAAAGAGGCGACTTTGGATTGCGGATGCACAAAACATCCATAAGAATCCCAAAAATAAGTACATAGTTTAATTTAGAAAACACAAAAATTAAGTTTAAAATCATAATCGATATATCGTTCTATATAAAAACATCGATATTTTTGGAGCTGTATTGAAGCCCTTGTCAACAGCTGTTTTGTGGAAGCGGTCGCAAAAACCCAAACAAAAGTTTTAATATTTCACAAATTCATTTAAAGAACATAAAATTAAATCATTATTAAAAGATGGCAGAGACGGCGGCAACCAACGAGGGCAATTCCAACAGCAGTGAAGCAGGTAAATGTCAAATAATCGCTAATAGCAAAACCTTAAGTTTCATCCTATACAACGACTGGCCATATGGGTCTTTTGTATTTTATTTAGTTATTTATATTTAGCCAAATTTATGTAAACAATGATTAATATGTTTTTGTAATTACCCACCAGCTCTCTCAGAACAGCAAGAGCCGACGCCTGAATATATTCAACGTAAGATTTACTTTCTTGTGGATCACCTACGAAAGTTCCATGCAGAGCTCCCAGAGTAAGATATTTACTTACTTAAAACAACATTTTAACACATAGGTATTAAAACCAATTACTTTACAGAAACCTTCAGACCCGTATATCCTACGATTTACTCACAGAACTCGCAAATTGTGTGCTAAACGAAGGCATTTTTGTCATTGTCACAGCTCTAATGGAATTGCAACATGAGACGGAAAGACATTTGATTAAAATGCGAATGCAGGTAGAGAACGAATACGATATTGAGGTGGCGGGATGGAAAAGCAAGATCAAGGATCCCGAAGAGCTGGAACACATACTGGGTCTTATTAAAATCAAGCACACTAAGAAGCTACTTGAATCGGACAAAAAGATTATTAATATTCTAGATCAAAAGGTGAAATATTGCACTGTTAATGCCAATCTCGTTTGAGATAATGAATATTAATTATAATGCACCTTTAATCACATCTCAGGTTAATGACCAACAATCCACTTTACAAAAGGCCGGCGTACCGGGTTTTTATGTCACCGAAAATCCCAAAGAGATCAAAATACAAATGTTCCTTCTGGACTTTATTCTCCGCTTGAGTAGTCTGAAATACGAACCGAACAAATAACCATTAATGGTTAATCCAGAGACCACAAAAGACTGCACTTGACATGTATAAATAAGAATATTTAAAGTAAATTAAATCAAATTATTAACCCTGATCGAATCTCTTCCATCTGTGTGTTACGAAGAAAAAAACCTGTAGCGCTGCGCAGTTTTCGATTGCCGAAGAATACCGAGCGGAAGAAAGAGCGACGGGGCCTGCCACCCGAAAGAGAAGAGGGGAGAATTGATAACGATAGTAGCTCGGCTCTCTCCCTCTCACTATCACTCTCTAGCGTAGTAGAAAGTAGAGGGAGAGGCGGCGCTATAAATTGGAGCGATCCGTCTGCAGATGCATTCAGTCGTGCTTAGAATTTCCAAAGCAACACACTACAACTAAAAAAAGAAAACATGTCTCTGACTATTACACAAAGTGTTTCGTATCCTGAGCTCAAGGATCTGGTGAGTAGAGTTGCTCCTGATAAGTGTGATTTACTATAGGATCCTGTACATCCTTTAAAAGTGATTAATACTTGTATCCCTAAAAGTGCCTTAGCTGAAATAATAAAATAATTTATATAGCTAATATTTAATAAGCAAATTCAACTCAAACATTAAATTCACATTACCTAATTGGCTGCTTAAAGTTTCTTGAACTTAATACAAGGTCAAATGGCCAATTTTGTTGCTTTATGTGCGCTTACTCATAAAAGCCAGTTTCCGTCATTTAATGTTTGAGAATAATTTAAGCCCATCAATGCTGAGCGCACACACACCTTTGTTGGCGGAATGCGATTTGTTTTGGCCAGCTTTAGTTGCTTCCCAACAGCTGAGCCGTTTACACGAAATGTTCGCGCGTTTGTTTCGTAATTTCAAGGCAAGTTTTTAAAAGCATATAATCAGCATAATTTTAAGTGTTTTAAAAAACATTTTACCAAATGTTTTAGTTTTGTTGTGATATAAACAATTGAAAGCTCTTCCAGCAGCTACTTTTACTTTTCTTCCCCCGTTTTGCTATTGACCTTGATTTTGAAATTGATTTTGCAATTGTATCTGTGATAAAGAGAGTAAACTTAAGTCAGCTGTTTAAAGAGAACTGCACTTGCTGCAGAGAGTGTTAAGAGTTTTCAAAGAAGAGTGTGTGGGAGAGTGAATGCAAGCGGCATTATATTTTTTTCACACAACGAACAAAGCCACCAAACAAAAAATACCTTTAAAATAATTAAAAATATCTCTTTTTTCGGAATATTTATTTGTTTAAAATGCGCTGCTTGCCGGGCTATGGTTATGGCCTTACATTTCTGTTTCTGGTGTGGTTTAAAATTACCAAAATATTGTCATTAAATCAGTTTCAAACTTTTTACTCATACGTCATCGTTTTCTTCTTCTTCGTCTTACAGAGCACCGTTCGCAATGAACAAAAAGAGCTGAATATTTTGCCGGTTCACGATGTGAATGTGAGCAAAGCAACGGCCACCTTTGGCATGGGCTGCTTCTGGGGGCAGAGTCCTTGTATGGAGCCACCCGTGGAGTCCTTCGCACCACCGTGGGATATGCCGGCGGTAGCTCCGATTTGCCAACGTACCGTAAAATGTAAGAGTCCGGAAGGAGGGCATTAATCATCCTAACACGCGCATTTCTTTTTCTTTCTCCCCCATCGTCATCACCACCATTCCTCCACCTGCAATCCCACACTTCGATCCGGTAACTAATCCAACGAATCTCAACAGGGGCGATCACACGGAAGTGCTAGAGATTGACTATGATCCCTCGATTATTAGCTTCAAGGAGCTGCTGGATTTGTTCTGGAACAACCATGAATACGGTCTGACCACACCAATTAAGAGGCAGTATGCCTCTCTGATCCTGTACCATGACGAGGAGCAAAAGCAAGTGGCAGAGGCTTCCAAGCTGGAGGAGCAGGAGCGTCGGGCGCCGGAGGTTATCACCACTGAGATTGCCTCCAAGGAGAACTTTTTCCCAGCCGAGGCGTAAGTTTAAACTATTTCCAAATGAATACATCAGGATACTAAACCTCTCCTTTTTCCAGGTACCATCAAAAGTACCGCCTGCAGGGCCACAAGGACCTGGTCTCCTCGTTGAATCTGAATTCCAAGCTGCTGCAAACTAGTTATGTGGCCACCAAGCTTAATGGCTATCTAGCCGGCGTCGGAGGCGTTGAGCAGTTCAAGGCGGAGGTGGAGACCATGGGATTGACCCCCACTCAGCGCCAGTACTGCAACTACCATGTGGAGCAGAACGAGGGTCAGGGTCTCTACTGCTGACATGGTCGCATGTGCATAGATGTTAAGCGTAGATCTTACACTTAGGGGGGGTAAATTCATTTTAATTTGTTTGCTTGTTCAAAACAAAGTGTGTATTATGTAGATTTTAAGTGGTTAAAACAAAATATATAAATGCTTATATATTATTTTAATAATAAATCATATCTCAGTGACTTCATAAGCTTTTTTACTTCTCAAGTTTCTTTATTTTGCTTAAGAATATTATATTTTAAAGCAAGTATGGGCCCTGAAATCTCTTAAAATCAAATCAAGAACAAACTTGAACTTCTGAGCACCTAAATATAAAATATATTTTTAAATTAACGCTATAAAGTTGATAATAACTTCTGAGCATCTAAATATACATTATTCAACTTGATCCATCTCATTTTCCAAAAAAAATCAGCTTTTGATAAGACAGACTAATCTCTCTGGGATGATAAACAGCTTGCAAGTCATATTAAGTTCCTGTCCCACAAGGATCCTGCCTTATCAGTAGTAAATACAGCTCTGATAATGATTTTGCTCGGTCATCTGTTTATTTAACTTTAATGAGTTTGCATTGCTGTCACAAGAAACTCATCAAAATTCTGGTGAAATATGAGCAGTATGGGTGTTTTAATTAGGTTAATGTTATGTTACATATATGTTTAAAAAACAATGTTTTCTAGACCTTGAAACCTAATCAAATATATCGTTATTTCAGCATTAGTTTTTCTTTTTGTGCTTTAAAATTTTGCAAAGACTAAAATATATTTAATTCAAGGACGGAACCAATAAAGTGACTGACCTCTTGAAAACTTTAGCACTATTTATTTTCGTATATTTCGTGATATTTGTTTGTTTAGTTGAATCGTTGAATCGTTGAAATCTATAAAGCTGACAGCCTATCAACAGCTTAGATCTAATCTTAAACGGTTCCGACGGTGGTTTTCTAACTAATTTTAAGGTCTATAAATTAATTGCGTGACTAGTGACTAGCATAAATTGATCAGAAAATAGAAAGAAATGCACCTAGTCATAGTCAGTGATCTGATTAGGAGGGAAATGCCTCAAGTGGTTAATATATATTTAGTTAATTTCATTAGATCAGCAGTAAAACTATAAATAAATTTGAGATATCACTGAGATCTTGGGATAATTGGGGGATATTGAATGTTTACGATAAATATGTAATTATGATTATATATGTGAAATAACATAATAAGGTTATATTATAAGGTTTCTTGTTAATGTTAATGCCATAAAAATGATATATTTATTATAATAAAATAGTATTAAGTCCTTATTTATTTATTTAGAAACATTAAGCTTAAAGTTATAAACTAAAGCTACACGTGGTGGCACTCATAGCTACTTAGGCTTTTAGGCGATCAAACCTTTTTTTTTAAGTAACACAAAGTTATATACGTATTTTTCTGTTGTCCCAACACTGTATAAAGATATAGATAGTATATATCCCAGACCTTCAACCCAAAACTTTGTGGATTTGACCGCTCTTTATTATTTTTGATTAGGAGAGAGTGCGTCAGACCACTCTCTCTTTTCCTTATTCTTCTTTCCATCACTCTATAATTTCGAGCTCTCTCTTTATCCCCCACTCAGCAATCATACACACACTCTCTCTCTCTCTTGCTGGCCCCCCTTTTGAGCTCCCCAATCGCCCCCACCCTCTCCTTTCTCCCACTAAGGCAAGCCGGTTGGCCGCATGTTTGGCGATAAGTCAAAGTGATCGAGCGAAAATAGCGAAGCATTTTTTGTTTACAGCCAGCTGAAGATTTAAAATGATTTTTGTTAAATCTTTTCTATATGAAAGGATCCAGAGAATAGGCTTAAACCCAGTCCATCCATAGTCCTTGAAGTGAAGTATCTGATTCTGAAAGAATCAATAAAATCGGGGCATCCCCTGGGGAGTGAGAAACTCGATCGGTTTAAGGGGCTTCTAAAAGAGGTATTAACTTCATTTTCAATCAGTATATAGCTCTGACCCTGATCTACCCACTGACCAAATTTGATTAGAAAATAACCAATAATTTGATCCTGGCGAATTTTACAAGATTTTACGTTATAAGCTAGCCAAGGAAAGAAGCAGAGACAGACCCGCCATAGACATAACAAACACTTAAAGCAAAGCGATCTCACGCTTTCTTTGTATGGGTCGGCACGAGTTGATAATGCTACTATATCAGGGGGGCATCGGTAGAGGGGAGTGGGAGGTGTACCCACTAATCGTATCAATGAGTTGAAGAGAGTGTCGGGCATTCGCGTGCACATGGATTGCACAAGATCACTCTACAAGGGGAAAAAGGGAAAGGTCATGGGGGCATCCTCTGTCCTACAATTATTGATCTGGAAGGGAGACAAAGGTGGAGAAGACATCAGCATATAAATATTTGCAAATCATTTTGTTTTCCAAATTAATATTTCTGATCAGAGGGAAGTGACACAAAATTTGAAATGTCATTGTTTCCGATAAGGGTCGATGGGTGTTTTATAAGTAATTAATTAATAAATATACATATATACCTAATGGTTCTCTTAATTTAGGTTAAAGGATCTAGTTCTTTGCTGAATTTAGAGTTAAGAAGATGATTCATAGCTTAATTAAGGATTGAGGGTATGATTCATAGATCAATTTATTGATTAAAATTCTAATAAATACCTTAGTTCCTTTTTTTAAATACAGTTTAAACGTTTTCGAAGTGTTTTTAGTAATCCTATATAATAAATTATAATCCTTTTGGTGATTAGACACCCATTTCAAGTAGCTTGCGCTTGATCATTAATGGCTAATCGTTGCTAAGCCAAGTTAAGCCTGTCAAGGGTAAAATGATTGTGTAGATAGATCCCGAAGGCTATACTCATCTAATCTTTAAGTTCAAAGAAATCGTTAGCACTTAAATGGCAAAGAAAGCCCTAATCAGGAAGCAGGTAAAAGGCGAGATCATTAACCTCCTTAAAATAAAAAAAAAACAAAGATTAACGAAGGTTGGTATCAACTTTACACAAATTGATGAAATTCCTTAACTTAAATTTTAAGATACTTAAGAAATAAGATATCCTAAATGATATCTAAACTTTATTCATATTTTCTAATATATTTTTTATAACTAAACAGATATACAAATTTCGGATTAATATATGAAAAAGTATAAATGATATATCTTTTAAAAATATGGGAAAGGATAATTAAAATCTCATAATTTATATATCTATTATGTTTTTCCTAAAATGTCGAATATAATTTGAATGTAATTTACACAAGAACTTTATATATATGTCTAAAAATGTTACACATTATCTACATGATGGGAAAGGTTAGAAACTCAGCTTTTTAATGAAATGATATAGATAATATTTTAATAATATTATTTTAAGTTAGTATTTATATATATATTATATATATATATATATATATATATTTTTTATTTTAAGTTAGTATATTCTTAATTTAATTAATTTTTAAAATGTTAAAACGGTGTGCTTATTTATTTATTAAAAACTTTTCAAATATTTCAGAGAACCATTAAATAATTGCTAAGAAAATTCAAATTGTTATTTAAATATTTTTTTAATACCTTAAACACCTGCTTGCATAAATTGAGATATAAGTTAAATATTTGTATAATATTTGTATAATATATAACCATTTTAAGTTATATTTAAATAGCTGAGTTGGAGTTGTGAAAACTTTATTTGTGAGACATATCTGGGAGACTACACTCGCCATCAAGATGAGATGCCTCTGGTTTATCCTTCTTTTAATGGGTGAGTTGAAAAAGGAATAAATCAGGACATTTATATTAATAACTTTCCCTTATAGCTCTTATTATTTTGGTGGTCAGTGAGGAGGAGTGCGAGGATACCTGTCCAGATGAATTTGATATCCATTGTGCCACTGATGGCACTTGCTATTACGCAGCATTGAGTGCTTGTTCGGCCAAAATGCAGTCATGTTATCGCGAGAAGAGGGGATTGCCACGTAAATATTTAATATATTTAAAATATTTTTTGAAATATCTTCCTAATGGGTTAATATTAATATTATATTCTAGCCTTTACCAACATCCACAGGGGATATTGCAGCTGGGGTTTGCCTAGATGCAAGGCTTACAAGAACTAGAATTTTTTAAAATCAGTTCAGTGAAATATTTTTGAATGCAATTTTATTAAAAAACGTATTAAATCAATGAATTCATGATTCTTATTATTTTTTCTCCATATAAAAGATATCTAAATTTTTTTTTTTTTTCAAAGATAAAATCTATGAAGTACAAAGCAAACTATGCTTTTTAAATGTATCCCACTGTAAACACATTTTTCAATTATTTATACTTTATTTTATCTTGGAATTGTTTATAAAACTAACGTAAATGTTTATTAATGGCACAGAAAATGGCAAAAAAATCACAAAAGCCTAAAACTGATCTCTGACAACCTGCCAGTCATTCATATATAGCATACTTAGCTAATCTTAGTATAAATCTTAGAGTAAAGCATACAACAGGGGGAAGCACTGTGATCCAGGGAACACACTAGACGATGGTTCAGATCGCTTATTAATTATATCCTTAAAGTAAGGCGTCTCTGGGGTGGTTTCTGGCGTTCCTTTACCGCCCGATCCTTGCGCAGACGCAGAAGCTCCTCAGCTCTTAGCTCTCGTTGCCTGCCAGGTGATAAATGCAACTCCAAATTGATTTTGGACTCCAGTTTGGGAGATCGTCGACTTATCACAAAACCACCAGAGTCCTGGGCAAACAATTTATGCTTTCGTAATTTAACACAACGTTTCGGGGTCTCTGTGTCAGAACCCGATCCCGATCCCTCTTTATTATCGGGAAGGGAGTCATCAACCTCTATTGTTAATAATTCCTTGAACATATCCTCGACGGCGGTGAAGTACAGCGTGGAATCGGAGGACATTGTGAACCTGATGCTGGCTGGCGGGCAACTGAAGGCCAGAAAGTGATTGAAGTCAGTCAAAGGACTGGGTTTCAACCCTCGGACCAATAATACTGGCTACCTACCTACCTGATCCCTAATTTAGGTATACATAAAAACTAGGAAAACAGCTGGGAAATGTGTGTAATGAGGGGTTTCCCTGCGGGCCGTCTCCCTCTCACAGTTTCGTTTCTTTTTTGTACAAAAAACCTGATTTATGCGAACTTAAGTCCAAGAGAAAATATTATTTAATGAATCAGTACTGTAGCTTATTTGTCATACAGGAAAAGCTAGCTGGAAAGCACACACAATGACTCACATTTTCCCTTAACAAATTATAATTATTATTATCAACAAATAACCGGGCAAAGACCCAACCTCTCTTTAAAGCGCATAAATAGCTCATTCAATTGAGTTGAGCCTACAATCTATTAGATAAGAAAAAATCCCATTACGATCCATAGATTAGATTAAAACAACGCTTTGGCCTGATTCAGTTTTGGTATCGGTTTCCGTTTCGGTTTCGCTTCGTTTTCGAATTATTATTATTAATAATTTAGCCTATAAATAGTATATAAATTCACATCCACAGTTTTAGTATTCCTTATGAAAATAATCGCGTATGCTGCGCTTTACAATTGGTGCCATTTGGGCTATCTGCTTCTGCACCTCGTCGTTATTCTTATCCTTGTGATAAAAGACTGTGAAGTAGACAATCAATCCAATAACAACGATCAGGAGGAGAGCGGAGAAGATGATGCTCATTAGCATTTTGCAGGCGCAATTGCAGCAGCTGAAGGGGTATAGAAGGAACGAATTAGATAGGGTATTAAGTAGATAATATAAATATATATCATTTTTAGAAGATATCTATATATTAAAAAAATATACTCTCCATGGATCAACTATGTTTAGAATATTCTGTTCTTGAAAGGTTTCCTTAGAAGAAAGAATCCTTAGAAGCCTTATCAATGCAATACCGGAAATGACTCATAATATCTTGACAAGGAATTGTTTATATGTTTATAGTATACATATATTCAACTTCCCTTTAATACCAAAAACTCTAATTATAAATACCTTTCCTAATAAACTAAAAACCCCCTTGATATATAGATTACCTCACTCCATACCCAAAAATCCTTATCGCAAGTGCTCTCTTCCGGTGAAGAAGGCATCTCAAAATCACAAAAAAGGAATATAGATATAGATATCTTCCATAATGATCGATCATGAGTCACAGGATGGGATTTATTGATGGAAACTTACCAGCACACAACTTTGCCGGGGCATTTTAGGCATTCACAGAGAGCGTTGCACATGGTGAGATATTTGACGTTTAAGGTGTTATATATACTCCAGTTGAGGTCTTCCGGGATCGCGTTGTGCTATTGACCAGCGCAAATTACCAACTGAAAGGGCTATGAGTGCCATTGGAGCATTTCGGGGCGACAGGTGCTTAGTATCGAAAGCTTTAATCATATCGGTTGGTTGGAAAGAACAATAAACTGATAACGAGCCTCGTTTATAATTAACGCCGCCATGCCAGGCTGTGACGATAGCGCTCTGAGAGATATTGGAAAATAGAGCTTACACTCTTTTGTGAATTTATATGTCTTGAGAGGAAAATAAGGTATTACAATCAGTCCGAAATAAGATTTATTTTTTCTCGCGACGGCTATCATAATACCAAATATATAGATACGCTATAAGAAGTAGTATAACTGAAGCAATTGTGAGAACTATGGCAACTAATACCATTCGTGGATTATGCACCTTGCACATTTAGTGTCTAGTTATTAAAATAAAATTATACCAAAAATGTTTACAATTAAAATTTTGATTAAGATAGCAAAGCGATGTCTGGAAAAGTACAAAATATACGGAGAGACAGTCCCTGACAAAGACAAATTGGCTTAAGAAAATCGGAAACAGATAGGAGACCCTCTGTCTAGATTGATTAAAAACAAGTCACAACATTTTTTTCTAGAAAATAAATGTTGTTTTTCCCAGAAAGTATCATCTATTTTTAAATTATTAGTAATCAGGAAAGTATATGGTACTTATCAATGACTAAGCCCTGATACTGGGTACTCGTAAACTATAAACTCGAAAACGATTCGGGGATTTACTCTGCCTATCCTTTTGGCAATTCCTCATGCTAGATTACTAAGCAATATTTATGAAAAAATAGGAAACTACAAAGCTTCAAAGCTTCGATAAGTAAATTTTTATTAGCAAGGCAGTTTTTTTCCGAAATAAACGGCTTTTGGCAAAACACTTAAGGTAGGTTCAGTGAATACAAATTTCATGCGAACTTAATTATTAAATGGCAACACTATAAACTTGATAATATTTTATGACAACTGTTTAAAATAGCATAGGATTTTTAGGTTTCTTCATAAACGGGAAAATAAAAACCATAAATGTTATTGTTTTAAGAACACGCGTGGAGTTGTAAAAGGCAACTGAACAGCCTTTAAAATATTAAAATTATACTATATTTTACTTCATTCTGTACTAAGAAGTGGTCTGATTCTTATACACTTTATAGATCAACTTCATATGGCCCTAATTTTATATATTTTATTATTATTTAATAGATTAATGAAGTATTTCTTAGGTGTCATAGAGTGCATTCATCCCAAATGAAGATATCAGGGATACAGAGTATAAATTTATCAAAAAATGCACAAAACAACAATGACATGACTTACTGAAACAGTAATAAGCTTGGAACCTATTTTATTTGAAATAAACTTCTTGTGAAAGCCGGCAAAAACGTAAACATAGAAAAACTCACGAAATTGAGTTCCCATAAATGCAGGTCGCCATCGATATTCAGGTTCTTTCACGATATCCGACACCAAATGCTGAGGTAAACAATTTGATGCACTTCTTCGTGCACCGGCATACAACGTAAGCACACCTCTAGCTCCAGAGCTCTCTGGCTCCCAGCTCAGTACGAAATCGCGTTCAATGATGGCCACATCAGATGTCCTCGTCTCCTGCCTGGCGATACTCCTTGTAGTTACTACGACATTAGCTTGGGAGCTGGCTGAATCCGGCTTAAACGAATCCAGCTACTACGTGCGTCATGTATCCATGCACTACTCCCGGGTATTCCTCAGTGTAAATGTGGAAAATAATGTCACGCCAACTTTGATTGAAGCCCAGTGGCCGGTTGCATACTTTCCCATGCCCACTGTGGTCTTTCCTCGTCCGGATGTTCATGCGAATGGCGATAATTCCGATTGCTCGAAGTTGCAGCAGGCCCACTGGTCCCAGGTGGATGGACTGAATCGATTGTGGGTCATGGACACAGGATTTCCAGCCAGCAAGTGCTCACCGCGGCTTTTTGTCTTCGATCTGATACGTAATAATGCAGAGCTCTTGAGGATCGACTGTGGACAGTATATTGGAGTGAATGACACTGAATCTCTGGTGGTGCAAATGGGACCCAAGCTTGGACCAGGCTGCGAGCAGGAGCGACACATTTACTTCGTCCTGGGCCATCACGTTCCCGAAATCATTGCCTACGATATCCTGGAGCAGACCTGGCATCGTCGAACATTGACTAGTCACAAGTTCGAGAATATGAATCAGTCGTTTCCCATCCAACCAGTGGATTTTACTTTTGGTCTCCAGGGTGAACTCATCCTGGCTGGTGAAGATGGTGAACTATACAGCACCGTGGATAGGCTGGAAATAGATGAAGATACGAACGTTATTAAACTCAATCACTTGGGCAGTCTCCTGGGCAGTAGTCGCAGTATGATAATGGATACCTCCGGCACCTTGTACTATGTAATCCCCAAGTTTGGAGCTGTGGTGCGTTGTGCTCAGCTGGAGAACATCACGGCCGAGGGCAATGAGATCATCTATCTGACATCGAAGAACATTCAGCAGATATTTTTTGGCTTCAATGCAGCATTATGGGTGCTCAGTGATCGGGTCTTAAAGGCGCAGGACATGTGCTTTCCAAGTTTTTAGCTATTTAGTATATATTTATTACAATAATTATTTAGAAAAACTTTTTCAGAAATTAATTTATACATTAACTCAATACAAAATACCCACATATTATCATCTTGTTTATTATTATTCGTTTCGTCTGGCTTGGTGATGTGTAATTCGTTCTCGTTCGTTTTGGTTTTGATAATAATTTCTATGTATAGTTTATGTTCCACATAAAAAAACAAATTAAACTAATGGCTAACAGTTTGCTTATTCAAATAACCCATCAAGGCCTGCAACCGCTTTTTAATATTCTTCTGATCGTCCAGGGTGCAGCCGAGGAGAACGCTCTCAAACTTCTTGTCAATGGGACCCATATCGGCCTCGGGCACAGTGTCCATGTGTCCAGATGTATCCATTGAGTTGCTGCAGCAGGCATTCAAGTACAATTGGCAACGCTGGCGTGCTATGACGGGATCGCCCATTTTGATCATGGTATCGATTAAAGCATTAATCTGGCTAAGTGAATCCTCTTGGGAATTGTCGCGCACAGTGCGTACATTTAGCTCCACAGTGCCCAGGCGTGAGTTGACTCGCTGTATGTACAACATGATCTCCTCACGTTCACCTGCAATAAATGTATACTTTAAAATTCATTAAGAGTGATAGGGTTAAGAGTTATAGGTGTATCTTTGCTATGAGTTTTTCTGTTTCAGTTTTTCTAAGTAACTCCTAAAAGTTTCGACTAGCGACATTATTATAACAAGATGCACAACACCCAAACATTGCCATAAATGGATACTCCTAGAGCATGCTCGAACCTTCTGGCTTTTGAACAACATTACAAGATAGTTCTATGCTTTACATTTCTTGCTATTACAAGACCTTTGATTCTCCTCATCCTTTCCTCACCTTCGGTCATATTCTGCATCATTTCATTACTCTTAATCAAATCCATGGACATCAGCAGATAGTCTTTCTTCTCTTGCAAGTTGAGTGCATCTTTGCGCAGCTTCTCCACACGGGCATCCAACTGATCCAGTATATTGACAAACCTGCACATAGACACCAAAAGATTAGTCATATAACAGAGATATTATGATTATGATTATTACCTCTCGCTGCCGTTATATGGTCTGTTGTCACATCATGTCGGTTAGAAGTTGTTTTTTTTTTTGGTTAAGAGTCATGAAACGAAAGACAAGCAGTGTTAGATGGTTAGATTCGGCTCGACGACTGTCCACTTATAGAGACTACGTAAAATAATAACCAGAATCGAGGTCTACGAAACCGAGGCGCTCGCACAACGCTTTTTACATTTTCAAATTGTGTGTTGTGTGGGCGTCCGTCAGCAGATAGTTTTTTGAAGCTATCACCATTATTGATTTGTTATTGGAACAAAAAGAAATCGGATACAGAAATAATAGTAGCTAAGAAATTATAGATTGTGCTCTTGCTACGTTGGTTGTTTTATGTTTTTTTTCTTGTTTGGTTTTATGTAGGATTGATTGGGAATAACAACCTGTCCAATGCTCTACTGTCGTCGACCAGTCCATAGGAGCCGCTGTTGCCACCATTCCCACCAACCGATCCTGCTGGGGATGAGGAGGCGGACATGGCGCCAGCTCGGAGGCCTTGCAAGTAATCGAAATTCATTGATGACTCCGAATTGTAGGCGCTAGGCGAGATCTGGTGCTGATGTTGATGATGATTGTCGCTGTTGTGCTGCGCTATTGGCGCATCAACTTCCATATCCTGCGGCTCCAGATCCTCCAGAGTGATTTCGCCAATTTCCGGCTGATGGTGTGTTTATTGCCTGCCCTGAATCGACGGCTGCCTACTGCTTAATGTTTTTCGTTTTCTTTTTTTTATCTCTCGCTGCTGCTGGCTACCTTTTTTTGGAATGTCTTTAAGCTTTTTCTGAGTGGGTGTCGGTGCGGAGCAGTGTGTGATATTTCTTTGACGTTTGTTTGTTGCTTTTATTTGTCTAACTCTTTTTTGTTCGAATTTGTTTATTGGTTTCACATCGCGCATACACACACGCACACGTAGGCAAGCAGGCTGCAAGAAATAGAGAGGGGGGGAACGTGAATGCGAAGAATTCAATTACCTATTATCGCCCTGGGCGTCCGACCAGGAGACACAATAGCCATCGTTGATCTCTGGAGACTCCTCGTCTGGGAACTGGGGCAGCAGCACTGGCCCTGTGGGCGGCTTTGGCGGTGACTTCGGCGGCGATGGCGTTGGGGGCGTGTCTTCCTCGTTGCGACGTCGTTTGCGGAAAATACCGCGTAAATTCTCAAACATTTGGACCAATGGTCAACTGGCGATTTCTCGAGAAGATTCCAGTCACTTCTGACCTGGCCACCTCCAGTTTTTTCGGCCCTTTTGGCTAAGTTGAAGTCTGGAAGAGATTGTTGGTTGGTTGAATAGATTACCTGCCGCCTTTGAACGTGGAGTTTCGTGTTCAATTTTCCCAGAGACCGAAACACAAAAAAAAATTTTATTGTTTTGACTTTTTGGGGTCTGGGGGTTTAAGTGGTGACAGAAAATTCGATATTCTTATATTATTCACTTTCTTAGAGATGGACAACAAAAATAAACATCGATAGTCGCAGCAGCGATTGCGGTTTAAAACTTATTATAATCGTTTAAAACCGTAAAATTCAGAGATTTGATTTTTAATCCATAAAGTTTTATAAAGCATCTCGAGTGAAACGAAAAATTATGAAACATAAACAAATTGTTAAGTGCATAGGCATGGTTAGCGATTCGATAATTTTGATAACTATCGCGAAGTGTTACTTGAAAGTCTTTTGTTCACACTGTTTCTCTGTTTTGAAATTCAATACCGATATATACCAGTGTATACACAAGGGTAGGAAATAAATATATTTCAAGTGGCGCCAAAATTCAAATCGCTCAATCATAAGTGTAAGATAAATATGATTTCTATTTTATTAACGGTGACAAATTTAAATCACGAACACACAACGCCGTTCGCGACCATTGGCAACTTTTTGTAGCAATGTCAAAGAAATAATAAAAGGGACACTGCTGCAGGCTGGCATGACCCTTCACGCAATAGATGAAGAACTCGCAGCGCTGCATGTGTGGATACAAGTGCTGACCGTAGGCCGGGCAATGGATGAGATCACTCGAAATGGCACCGCCCGGGCTGATGTTGGAATTACCATTGGAGGGCCTCTGTACCTCCTGCTCCTCCTGGGCCCCCAATGTGCACTGAGCTCTCTCCGGAATATCGCATTTGCCGGTCATCGCATTCCAGTGCAACTGAGAGCTGCACTCCTGCAGAATGGCCTGGCCGTAGTAACAAATGTAATATTTGCTGCAGCTGCTCGAACTGCCGACATAAACAATCCGATCGCTGGACTGTTGTTGCTGAGTTTGTGTAGCAGCACAATAGGTGGCTGCATCCGTGACCATGTTGTTAAGATCACTGTCACCAGCTCCATCCCCGCCTCCGGATGGAGTGCCATTGTTTGTGTTATTCCTGCATCGCACGTTGCCAGCAGTATCACAAAGTCGGCTCTCGGAGTTAAAGAGCATTGTGGGTGGGCAAGAGGCCAGGACAGCATCGCCATTCTCCACGCATAGGTAAAACATATGACAATCCTCCAGATGCTCCACAAATTCACCAACCAAATGATTGGCACAAAAGCTTCCTCCGCTTTGACGAATGGTCACCGAATTTGTGGGCTTTAGAAGCCGCCATTCTCCTCTTTGAGCCAGTGTTAAGGCCAGGAGGCAGCTCATTATTAAACAAAAAGCTATCAAGGGACGAAAACCTCTTATTATTGCTACTTCTTTGGAAATTACTTAATACTAACCTTTTATATATAGCATCATCATCTTAGCTCTTTATTCGTGTGTCAGAACCCAGTAAAGCGCAGTTTTATTCTAATTTCGTAATGCCTGAAGAGCTTGGCATATATGCCATACAAACGGCGCCATCATCAGTATCAGAAAATTAACATTTTCAAATGCATGTAAACAAAGTTGATAACGCTTCTAGCCAATATCACCATTCTTATTTTGTTTTTGCCAAAAAAAAAGAACGTGGTTACTTCGATAAAATATCTCATTTTGGCACTTAACTACATCTCTAATGCTGCCTGGTGTTTTAAAATTAAAACCGTGGCGAAAAGAGAGCAGCGATTAGCCTAGAAAGATATTTCATATAGAGATAAGTATTGTCCTTGTAAGAAAAAAGTATACCATATCGGTCATAGATTTTCATTTCCTATGAAACTAGTTGAAGGTTCTAACAACTACTTCTTTTGGCAGATGTTTTGGTACCAAGGTCTCAATCTTTTTGCAAAAGATATGAACCAATTGTCATGAATCACAAGATATTTTTGATAAAGTTCAAAATGATTCAAGGTTGAAGCGGTCTAGGAAAAGTAATAAGAGAAATTTCGATTTATTACTCATTAGAAAATATTACAAGATGAAGCAATTCAACAAGGCGGAAAAGAGGTCTAGGACTTTGACTTTTCTTTCTTTTTTATATAAGCAATTTTAAGGTCTACTAGTAGAATCTTTAATTCTGAATTTGGGAAGTCACAAAATCTACACTGTTCCCCGAAAAGTATCTTATCTTAATCCCTGCAGATTGCAAATTCCAGTTTTTAGCTTTATAAATTTCGGATTATTTATAATATGCAACCAATATATAATTTTAATAATATTCTGTTTATTTTTAAGTAGGGGATATAGTTTATGTGTTTATCTTTATTTTAATTTCATCTGCACTTGCACTTTGTTATAGCATTTTGCTTGACTTAGCGCTACACAGGATCGCTTCTCGTAATCCCATCCGTAAAAGAACGGGCACTGCTGCACTATCAAATAACCAAGACGACACTGATAAAAGTAATTACAATTGTCCGGATGGGGATAGACATCGATGGTGTTGCGTTTGCATTGCTCTCTAGGATTAGATGTCATCGTCTAAAAACATTTATTACTTTATTAATAGCTTTATAAATAATATATTGCTCATTGTAACCCACCATGCATTTGGCATTTTCCGGATGATCGCATTTGCCAGAGCGAGAATTAAAATGCAAACTGGCAGCACAGCTCATTGGTAGCGACTCGCCACGATAACAAATATAATAATCAGTGCAGGAGTTTTGATTTGGCAATAATACAATACGGCTTTGATTATCCAGTTGTGGACACATATTGCCTACAATAACGTCTATACTGTGCGATATAACTGTAGATGAAGTGGTTCCAGTTTCATTACTTGTAGGACGCACAGTAACAGCTGCCGATGTGGGTGCCAATGTGGAGTTTACCACTGCTGAAGTTGAAGGAGGATCCACGGAAGTGTCAGGAGCTTCGGAATTAACTTCCGTAGAGTTATTGGCATTATTGTCTGTTAATGCCAGTCCCGTGCGGCAATCAATATCTCCCATTGGCTCACACATTTCCATATCGGGGCTGAAGTATTCACCGTCCTCACATTCACCATCGTATGATTCATCACCATTGCAGAAAATGTAATGGGCGCAGCTCTTTGGTGAGGTAATGAATGCCAAATTAATCCCCTCATTGCATTCCTCAAATACATCCGCCAGGCATAGGCCCGGGAACAGGAAAGATATTAAGAAGGATCCAAAAGCTGGGAGCATCTTCTCTGGCTCGTTTCGTAAACTAAACTGAATCGATAGGGTACGAAGCCTTTGGCGTTTTCTTTTCATTCAAGTTCGGTTGGTTGGCTTTTATCAGAAATTAATTTGCTTAAGAACACGGTTCATTATCGACTTTATTACAGAGATACAAAGATCAGAAATTGATTACAAATGTAAACCCGATGAGCGATATGGTTTCGTTGAAATACACTGTCCCTGAGTCACATCGAAATGAAAATTCTGAGGGCATTGCTGTAGTAGAAGGTAACCCGAAAGACACTGATAATAGTAATTGCTGTTTGCTGGATACGGATAAACACCGTTTTTCCCACTTGTCCTGCAGATCACATGGATATCGTTGCTTGGTGTTGTAGTGGTACTTATAGTTGACGTTGAAGTCGAAGATGTGGTGCTCTGGGTGGTTGTGTTTACAGGCTTTGGTTGTTCATCTGGTGTGGTAGATTTTTCCGTAGATGTGCTAGGAGGCAGTGGTTTTAAAGTTGTTACTTCCTTTGGAACTTCTGTAGTTATGTCTTCAATATAACACTCTACGGGCTCCCGACAATCTCCATTGCAGTAGTAAGAATCATCTCCATCACAATGAACAAACTCACTGCAGTCCAAATTTGGGTTAGACACTTTATTAATAATCACTCCTTTGCATTCTTCAAGAAAAACCGCCCGCACCTGGTTATAGCCAGGTGACAGGCAGGCAAAGACAATCAATAGCTGCCACATATAGGCTTGCAACTGTCTCATCTTCCCGATCAGAGCCTTCTTTATAGGTGGTTCGTTTTGCTGGCTTGTTGCGATAAGACTCTCTCTTAATTCAGTTTATTTTCTAGCTATAATGATTTTTATTTGACATGACACAAGGGGCTTAATTAAAAGTTCTTCTTTTTCATTTGTTACTTGTTTAGAGTTATTTATTTCATTGTACAGTTGACGCTGTTCCGTATAAGACCACCACATGCTCCAGTTTCGGCATCAAATGCATATCCAAAGGGACATTGCTCCACAAGTAGAAAGCCGTCCACACAGTAATAGAAATAGTTACAATTTTGTGGATAGCTAAACCTTTTGGTTACACCTTGACGACACTGACGTCGCACATCCGAAGGTGAGGCGGTAGGTGACGGTGTTGGTGTTACGGGTGTTGTTGTTATATTGGGTGAAACCGTGGAAGTGGAAATGTCCAAATTAGTGCAAGTGAAATTAGCACTACAAGTCCTGTTGTCCGAGCAAAACAATGAGTCCTGGCCAGAGCAATTTATGTAGGCATAGCTACAATTGGGACGAGTATTGTTTATTAATCCATCGCGATTATTACATTCTGTAATGTTTAGACCATTAACTCCCCAAACGACGACTATTATGCCGTATACGATCACGAGGTAGTCTAAGCGCAAAGATTTCTGCATTCTTGCTCTCTGTGTGGTGAGTGGAGGTGCGCGCTAAGCTTTTTATAGCTCAGCCCAAAAGGCAATCAAGGTTTTGTCTTATAAGTTATATTTAATTAAGACGTCTCATGTTGCTACAATCTTGTAACTTATCAATAAATAAAGTCTGCTTATCAGCTAAATGTAGACAACACCCCCAAAAAGTAATGATGAGTTTGGGAGTTTCCGGCCCTAAGTTCGTCGGGAGTTTCCGTAACATTTCGCCACATTTATCTGCACACAACTCCTTCGCTCGATATCCCATCCATAGTAGAAGGGACACTGTTGCAAAGTCAAAAAACCTTTAATGCAATAATAAAAATAATTGCATTTTTCCGGATGCGGAAAGAACTCGGTCATGTGGGGCAGGCACTTATGATCCCGCGAATCTTCCAGCTGCAAAAAGCATTCAGTATAATTACAAAGATTGATACAAATCTTGAATCTTGAATCGAAAACCTACTGAACATTGAACGTTCTCCCGATGGTCGCACTGTCCGGTTAAGGCATTGAAGTACAACTGATTCGTACAGTGCATTTCCATGGCATGTCCGTGATAGCATAGATAATAGTTGGTGCATGATTCGTTGCTGGGCATCATTATAACCTGACTGGGATCATCGCTGATCGGACAATTTGGCTTTACAACCGGTGCAATATTCAGGAAATCCACTTCCGTAGGTGCCTCTGTTGTTGGTTCCGTTGGCTGTAGAGTGACTGGTGTCACCACCTCGTCCTCGTCCTCGGGCTCCGGTTCAGGCTCGGCTGGTTCATCGACTTCGTCCAGAAAACACTGAACATTGGCAGCCACATCGCAGCCTCCAGTCTCGGCGTCGAAGTATTCACCTTCATCACAATCACCTTTCGATGAATCCTCGCCCTGGCAATACACATAGGACTGGCAACTATCCCAGCTTTGGACAAATGACTCGTCTTCTGCTCCATCACACTCATCAAAGTGATCGGCACTTGATTGCTGACTCCACAGGAGCAGAAAGCACAGGTACATCAAATATTTGGACATTTTGGTGGTTACGACTTGAATCTTCTACTGAGGCAACTCGCTTGTTTCACCATTATATTTATGCCCGAAAATATCACAGTCGACATGCATTTCTTTTTAGCCTAATTGAATATCATTTTATCAAGGGGTAGGAGACCTTCAAGATAACTCTAGACTGTGCTAGGTTCATTGTATTACAAAATATTCTGGTCTCCGTGAATCACATGGCCGACAACAGCATTCCTCTCAGCCTTTTAAGACTATCTTCCATTATGTCATCACCGTTTTCTTGCAGAATCGACATTACAGCGGTCGTCCACGATGGTTCCACTTATTATTTTGCTGAATGTGTTTACATAAGCCGCAAAACTTTTAAAATTAATATTCAATATGCTCTCACATACAAAATACACAGACACACAGTAAAAAGCGTCAAAAGCGTGAAAAAAAGAGACAACGCAACAGAAATCATTGACCTCAACAACAAACGCCGCATTTGGCCGTATTTTGTTTATGGATAGCCAAAAGACGTAAAGGCCAGGCAAGAAATTATGTTGTTGGTTTAAAAATAGACTCGACTTGAAGTTACCCTGAAGTTATTATCTATACAATCGTTAAAGGAAGCGATATGGCAAGTGTGGAAGATGTAATGTAAGATTGTTTTCCATTTTAAATCATGTTACTTAATGTATATTTTTAATTGTTGATTATTTAATGGACTATCAAAAGAAGTAGTAGTTTATATAGTACCAATTTTGTCCTTAAACAGTTCAGGATAATCTTACCTTTTGCTCACTTAATTTAAATTATAATATTGTTATATGTATATTCCTCGATAGTATAGTGATTATTACCCCATTTGCCCTACTCTGCTGATCTAGAGTATTAAATCTTCGATCTGGCATTCCTTTTTTTGCTTTCCAGCATTTGTTATGATATAAATCACACGAACCTGCGATTTGCCTGGGGTGTATTTCTTCTTTGGTATTCGTATTCCTTTCCATTATTTGCACCATCATGGCGGACACCATTGAGTGGATCGATCCAATGGACGGACGATAGAATTTGCACAAAATCTAATTTATTGTCAAGCATTTCCAATAAGACGATAAGACAGAAATAAGCACTGGTCTCTGTCGGTCTATGTTGGTTAACTTTATCGTGCACCTGTAAGAGGAAAGAAAATGAACAAAAAATAATAATAAATATAAAAATAAAATTAACAAGAAGCACAGGTAGTGAGTGGGGTTGAAGTGAAATTCTCTTTCTGAAATTGTGTTTAAACAAGTGCAAACGTAACCAATCTTTTGTTGTTGCCATACAGTCAGTATTCTTTTCTTTATTATAGCCCATTTCTTATAAGCGATATTTGCTTTAAATGCAATTGACAGATGGGGACAGAACGGATGACGGGAAAAACATCGATCGAGCTAGAACAAAAGACTGGCTCAATGCACATGACGAGGCGATACGAGACAAGTCCGTAGCGCTGACGTTGTGGATTCAGTTGTAACGACAACGACGGCGAAATGTCTGCGACGTTGCGTATGTTTACACACCGATATTAAATGCTACGATCGACGAATTGTATGTATTTAATTTACCATTCCACATGCACCGACATTTATTTACAATCGTGGTGTTAATATTACAATTGCCACCGTTAAAAGATACATGACGATCGATGACACCATATCTTTCTTCCATAAAATGTCCTGAGGGAGATGATAAATTCAACAATGAGATCATTTATTATTTTTAGAGACAAAAGTAAATGCGTATCTCGTATCTCTCGAAAGCAGGTACAGAGGTACGAGATACAGCAAAACGATCTGCTGCTTTTTGTCAAAAAGTGATAATGATGAAACTAGGTCAGAAGAGTATTCTATAGCCTATTTTGCTGTCGCTTTCAGCTATTCAGTAACTGGAAAATGACTAAGTGCGGAATGTCTAAATGCAATTAACAACTTTTGCGAGAGATCAATGTCCTGCTAAATATTTTGTTTTGCATTGGAAAGTCATCAATTTATTTGTGTAAGCTAAAAGCATGAGAGCATTCATATTTTTAGATGCCCATCATGGCATATGTTTTTTATGCATTTCGTATTTTTCCGAGGAACACACAGCTGCTTTTTCGTAGAGCTAATAATAGTACATCATTAAACAAAAGGAATTTTTGAATAAACAAAACACATATCAACTAGTACTCGAGGAAATAAGTTTCGAATGATACTACAATCCAATCTCTTTGTGGCCAAATTGCATTTTAATGCTCGAGGAAGAGTGCACGAAGGCATGAACGATTTATGCTAAAAATAATTAACGATAAGGAACCTCTGACCCCGCTGGGAATATGAAAAGGGACGGGCCCTAAACCCAGATATGGACTGAGTCATTAGTGTTCCCAAAATGTGATAAGCGGTCCTTTGTGTCCTTAAAGAAGGAAATCCTTATCTCAATATTGAACATGTATGTTTTTGGTGAAAGAAACTTGCATTCTAGGTTAAGATATCAGACCCGGAGTGCATTCAACTACCTCAGGAATTAAGCTTGTTTATAGATTTACAATTACACGAAACGAAAACATGGGGTAGCCAAATATTTATGAAGCTCTGCTGTGCTTTATTTCGTTAAAGCAAATCACAGAAATGATAACACCAGGAATCCGCAATAACAAAAATTCATTCATACGAGGGGAAGTTGCTAAATTATCTAATCAAAAGTCTCACTGGCATAATGCTAAATTATATTTTAAAAGAAATCTCAAGTATCTTTAAAGATTAAAATGTTAGTGCAGATAAACAGGAACCGTTCAGTGTTCAAGACTAACAGACACCTTTATAGTAAGTCGTCTTGTCTCCGGCTTTCCGCTCCACAACAACAACAACAACAACAGCAACTGAATTATATCTTTATTTTTCCAGTGAAACACTCAAACCCAACCACAACTCACTCACACTTACTTAGTTCAATGTGATTCACAAATCAAATACAATATATAAAAAATAATAATAATAAAAGAGAAACAAATTATGAAGGAAAAAAGATATACGTATAAAAGCGTCAGTGGCGAAAAATATTTGTGCCAGCCATAAGATACAAATGTATCTCTCTCTCTCTTCATATATATATGAATACTATATAACTGTAAAAACCACTTGAACCATCCGCAGCGAGCACGATCTCCCGAAGAGAACCAAAGAGAGACGTAAGAGCATTAAGTCATTCAGTCACTTTTCTGCCTCGCTAAATTAGGGGCGGTGTTTGGGGTACGTACGGAATATATATTGGGAATGGCCCAGCCCGGCTAGGTTCGGCTTTACCCGGCACCAGAGGCTGCGACTGAGGCAGCAACAGCAGCAGCAGCAGCGGCTATGCGGGTTCAAATGCGGCCAGCATGACGAATTATTACACACAGTCTCGCAGCTCGCAAATGAAATTTAATGTACAATCCAAGCAGCATTCATACACACACACACATACAGTGGTTGGGGGACTCCACAATGCACATTGATGATGTTGATGGAATTGTGATTCAAGTAGGTACGATATATACATATATAACTTGCCATATATTGGAACAAGAGGGGAAAGGCTATTACATTTCGCCTGGCAAATTCACCAATAAGCCCTGATTGATGCTTTTAAGCCTGGAAATCGATCATAATTCCACAAAGAAGATCATGTTTATAACTGTTTCATAAAAGAAAGTGTAACAAAAGTGTGTTATGGAGAATGTGAGAGTGGAATGAAAGTCAATGATCGTCATACAAATCAGAGAAATTCTTTGTGCATAAAGCAGGAATGTCAAACTTGCAGTCCTTCAACTACCTAAAGACACAATTAGCAAATAAACCAAAGCTTAGCAATGTGTGTTCAATCCCTAAAGCAAGTTTTCTTGTAGCAAGCAAACCTTTTCAAACAAATCAATGTACCCTCCACTCATAGATAGAGTATTAATATAATGATCCCTCTATCGCAGCTTATTGATCTGTGAGTGGAGGTCCCAAGTCCCGGTGATATGTCTAGGGGGATTTTCAATGCGATAATCAAACCGAAACCGAACCCGTTTACCAATTTTTACTATGTAAGCCATATTGGGGATTTTTGTATATTTTTATACTCTTACAGAGGGTTATTATAATTTTAGTCAGATGGTTATAAGTTTTTTAAATTTTGATTTGTCAATTAAATTGTCATATAACAAGAAATGAAGCTAACTTCGGCACGCCGAAGTTTGTATACCCTTGCAGATTGAAATTTGATTAATATAAATAAAATTCTAGATTAATATAATCTGTCGAAAATTGAAAAAATAATAATATATTTAATATTATATTTTTCGATCGTTCCTATGGCAGCTATATATGAATATATACATATATAGTCCACCGATTCGCCACCCTCCGACTTATATACTAGTAAAATTATATAGAAGAATAACTCCATAGTTTCATTCAAAGAGCTTGATCTTAAATTTGTTCCAAAACACATCGCGCACATCCGTGCATATGATTCCCAACTGGTTCTAACATCCCTGGAACGAAGTGACTGCTGCCGGCCACGTCTCAGATATGTGTTGTGTTACAAAAGTTGCAAGTCATTGTTTACTAGTGTTAAAAGTTAGTAACTGATCATACATACTTACTGGTCATAGATACTTACTGATCATAGTTACTTACTGGTTATAGATACTTACTGCTCAGAGTTAATTACTGATCACAGCTACTTACTGATTATAGTTACTTAATGTTCAGATTTACTTAATGTTCATTGATACTTACTTATCATAGATACTTACTGCTCATAGATACTTACTGTTCAGAGTTACTTAATGCTCATTGATATTAACTGATCAGAGTTACTTACTGATCAGAGTTTAATTAAATATCAGCTCGCTGCTCCTCTCTGCCTCTCCCCCTCTCTCGCTATGTTAGTCGCTCTATGCTAATCTCTAGAGGCAACTCCTCTCCCGCCCACTCACACTCACTTTCTCTGCTCCTCTCTTTCCTCGGGGACTATAAATAGATGCGCTAAGGGCCCGCGCGCCTCAGTCTGTCCTAGGGGTACCTAGTGTTAACATCTCAAGTGATAGTGATAGTGATTACCTTTCGATCCCAAAAATATGACGTGGCCAATGCAATACATCTGGATGACCAGGAAGAAGCTCACTTGGATAAAGTCACCCAATCTTGGTCACTACACTAGAAGGAAGTAAACAATGACGTGTCCTTTACTGCGGTAAGTCTTAACCATGACATTTATATTATGTATGAAGAAGCTATTGGTGGTATCAGACCTAGGTATAGAATTTAGACTTTGGTCCCCTTTACATACTTACTGGTCATAGATACTTACTGTTCAGAGTTACTTAAGTTCATTGATACTTACTGATCATAGTTATTTACTGGTCATAGATACTTACTGGTCATAGCTACTGACTGATCGTCGTAGATACTTACTGTTCAGAGTTACTTATGCTCATAGTTACTTACTGATCATAGTTAAATAATGTTCATTGATACTTACTGATCATAGTTACTTTCTGGTCATAGATACTTACTAATCATAGTTACTTAATGTTCATAGGTACGTACTGTTCAGAATTAATTAGTGTTCATTGATCTTACTGATCATAGTGCATATGATTCCCAACGCGTTCTAACATCCCCGGAACGAAGTGACTGCTGCGGGCAACGTCTAAGAAATGTGTTGTGTTACAAAAGTTGCAAGTCATTGTTTATTAGTGTTCAAACTTAGTAACAGATCATACATACTTACTGTTCAGAGTTACTTACTTATCATAATTAATAACTTATCATAGTTACTTAATGATCATAGTTACTTAATGTTGAAAGATACTTACTGATCTCTACATTTAACTTAATTTAAAAATATCTATTTTAAGAATTCGAATATTGTAGGTTTATGTTATTTATGTTCTACCCTATAATTCATTTAAAAACTGCAAGGGTATATCAACTTCGACTTCCCGAAGTTAGTTTCCTTATTACTATGTAAGCCATATTGGGGATTTTTGTTGTTTTGTTTTGTATATGTTTAAAATAAATACAATCAAATCAAAATCAAAACAACAACAACAACAACAAATAAATAACAAATAACAAATTTTGTGGCCAAAAGCTCTTCTCGTGTGTCTCTGTATCTGTGGGATACATGACATGCAAGGGATCCGATCCGTGATCGGAGAGCTATGCCTCTCCATATGTATTACACAAGCGTTTTGTGAAAACATCGCCGTCGTCGTCGTCGTTGTCATCGTCTGACGCTGTATCTGTAGCTTTAAACCGGATCTTTGGTTTGAAAGTACATTCACTTTAAGCCGTCGACGCTGACGCTGCCGCGTTGCAGCAGTAGTAGCAGCGGCAGCGGCAATGGAGTCCAGGCACCAGGTTCCAATCCCCCAACCCAACACGAAAAAAAAAAAAATAAAACTAAAACCCGACTCCGGCAAACAGCCTTCAAATGACTGAGCAAAAGGCGGCTTAAGCTCTCTCGGCATGGACTGCACATGTGCATAGTTCAAATAACTTGGTCAAGTTGACAAGATCAACAGAGCGCAAGACCACATAGCCAGAGTCTAGAGCCAGAGCCGAGTGTTACCAAGCGGCAGCCGGAGTTTGGTTGGGTCTCTAGCTGCAGAGAGAGCGGGGAATCCGCTGCCTGCCCCTTTCGGCCATCCTCCTTCCAGCCAGGCCAAAATCAAATACTCGTCGTATCCACAAAAAAAATCTATAATAAAAAACAGGTTAACAAATGTGTTGCCGCAACGGCAGCAGCACCAGCAGCAGCAGCGACGTCAGCGGCCGATCGGCGCGTCGGAAGAAACTTGTTTTCCTTTCCTATGCGACTCCGGGTCTCGAAGCGACGTCAAAGCCGGCTTACGACGCCGACCGTCAGCTTACATTCACTTTACACAGCCGCAAAGAGCGTGAAAGTTTCTCTAAGAGAGCGGGTTTCTGAATATAGAGAGATACAGAGAGAGAGAGAGTTTGGAACCGAAGCCGGCTGCCCGCATATTACACAGTATCTCAGGGGTAGATTTGTGGGTAAGAACCATGGGAAAAAATTATAAGAGCCAGGTTTTTAAAAAGGGAAACTATACAAGGGATTGCAGCATGTGATAATAATACTTTTTTCGTTGTTATAATAATAAAATTAATCATTGTTTAATTTATGATATTATTGTTATAACTTCAAATATACGTTCTATATAAAGTTTGTTATACAGTCTCAAGTAAATTTTAGGGTATAATGGCCTTGTGTTTCTTTAAACAATTTATGGCACATATAAATTCTTCAGATATATAATGTTACTCATAATCCGCTATTGCATAGTTCAGGAATCAAATAACATTCTTCCAGTGAAAGTATCAATAATTCGAGCTTTTTGCCCAGAAAAAGTTCTGGGCCGCTGTTTGCCGGCATTCAGAGAGAGTCAGAGATAGAGAGCGCGTAAGCAACAGTTGTGGGGGAGAGCGAGAGAAGCTGATAATTTAGACATTTTCTCTTAACCCTAGGTGGTCGCATCGTGTGCGTCAGAGTGGGACAGAGAGCCTCGGAGAGAGATAGAGAGCTGAGCGGCGGCGACGTCGGCAGCGGAGCGACGTCTCGATTTGCTCGTTCGTTCGCATTCACAAGAATTTCACCCGACATACCGTTTATACCGTTTTTGGCTGCAGTCGCACTACGGACGTTTATTCTAATTGTGTGCTACCATCCCATACAAAAAATTATTGTTAACGATATTAACTACACATTTTAAACGCTATTATCCACGGGCCCACGAGCAAAGCCATTTTGAAAGCGGTTCACTCTTCCATTCAACACATACACTTATACACGCAAACAAAAACACACGAAACACACATAAAAATATTCAATTAAATCAATTGAAATCGCAATCAAGTCCAAAACTAAATTACTAAATGGTAAACGTTGAAATCCAAATAAATAATAACTATTTTCTATGAAAATCAAGTGTTTCCGAATCGGGAAAGAAAAGAAAATGTTAAGTTAATAATTCAATTAATGTTAACGCCAAATATATAATCCGACAAGAAAGAGCGCATGCAACAAGTTAAATCCAGCCGGCCAACAGTTGTAAACCAAGTTAGATCCGTACACAGATACACCGCCCCAATACCATCAAACGAACGAGCGCCCGGTATACACACACCTGCACACACCACACCACACACACACACACACACACACACACACACAGACTATAACAATGTCAAGTGAAAACATTCTCTGGAAGCAACAGGTTTCCCCTTAATAAGTGTTATAAAGAAGCAACCAACAGTCATCACCCAGAACTGTTCGTTTGAAATAAAAAAAAATAATATAAAGTAAAGTAAAGTAAAGAGAGAGAGAGGTAGAAAGAGAGCGCGAGAATTAAAGCAAGAAGATAAATACGAAAAAAAAGTAAAAAGCCAGAGAAAAAAGAGAAAGAAAGAGAGGAGCCAGGCACAATAAAATCATATGAAAATAATAGAATAATAAGCAAAAAATAAAGAAAAGAAAAGCAAAGCAAAGAAGACAGTTCTTAAGTGGGTTAAAATACATAGAGAAACAAAAACAACAACAACAAATTAGTGTGACTGCAAACCAAGTGGAACCGAGAATTAAACCAAAACCAAAACCATCCCCAAAACCAACCGCAAAAGAGAGTTCTTAGAGCGCAGAGAGATCCGTACAACACACCTCCAAGAACCATGGAATTCTACGATGGCGACCTCAAAGATATATGGGACTCCGACTTAGATCCGGTAAGTGTTTCCTTTCAAGCAAAAAAATAAAACAAAAACAAAAAACTTGTACCCAAGGCAGGCCACACACTATACTCTCTATCAGGCAAGAACCATTGATACTTGAGAGCTTTTATTACAGCAGGTAATGCTTAGATATGAAACTACTGCAATATATGTGAAAGTTTGAATTGAGCGATAAAAAAATGTTCGTTAGAGATAGCTAACACACTTTCAAGAGTGTGGAAACCAAGACTAACCTCTCAGTGAACCCTAGAAGCCGCTCGATCTTTGACCAGAGATCACAATTATTAAGTCATTTTTTTATAATTTCTGTGAGAGTCCGATGTCGATGTTGCTTCTAAGAAAACGAAATTGCATTTAAAAATGTAAAAGAAAAACACTTTAATGACCCACATTAAGCTTATCAGTTTCGGGAGAAGAAACGTGAACTTACATATATTCATGAGCTGAATTCCAAGTATAATGATCGATGTGAAACACAACAAATTAATGCTAAGAAAGGGTCCCCCTTTCTCCCCACTTGTAGACTCTTTAGCTAGTTTTCTTTTCTTTCTCTGCATATTAAGTAGATCGACAGTATTATGTATATATTTATTTATATGTATATGCGATCACCTAAGAGAGCTGCCCCACGATCACCAAAACTGGCCTACGATCAAACCTGTCCCAAGGCAGTCTCATAAAAATGTCCGCTCACCGAATAACCAAAAAGGAAAAAAAAAGAATAGTGAAAAAGAAACCAAAATCTAATCGAATTGCCCTGCTACCACCAGAGACACCTAAAAAATACAACACACCCAGAATCAGTCTATTTTTATACCCTTACAGGGTATTATAGTTTCAGTCAGAAGCTTGTAACACAGTGAAGGAGTATTTCCGGCCATATAAAGCATTTGTATTCTTGATTAGCATCAACAGCCAAAGCGATCTAGCCATATCCAGTAGAAAAATTCATTTTCGAATTTTTAAGCTTAGTTATGATAGATTTCTGATACTATTCTATAATTCAATTGCAAACTGCTAGGGCAAATAAACTGCGGCGTGCCAAATTTAGTTTCTATTCTTGTTTTTTGTTTGGTTGTTTCTTGTCTTATGGGGGACGTTTCTAGAGCGCCCAGCCCAAAAATGGCATTACCCAATCTTACCAAAACTTTTGCAAAATATGATATGATGTGATATATCTCTTAGAACCGAACAAAGGAGAGGCAGAAGAGCTTCCCTTTTCGAAGGAAAAGACAATTTTAGTGTCTTTCTATGTTCAAATATATCGATTTACATTGTTTTGTCTTCATTGTTGTGGTGATAAGATTCTCCTCTGGTTATATATCTGGCATTCGGGAAGTATGTATTCTCTGTTCGTAACTTAGAAGTTTCGCGCTGTCCTCCCACACACACACACACACTTGTTTCCCGTTTAGCGATAATGATAATTGGAGTTTTCCAAGAAATTAAAAGAAATTTATCATTAGCGAACGATACTCTCGGTATCTCGAAACAAGCTTGAAATGTTTCAATATAATGAAATGTGGTGTATGCCCTGTTGAGCTTCGTTTTTTGGAGTACTCCCGCGTCGTCTATTGCTTATCGCTGCGGAAACAGTAATGAATACATGTCGTTCGTCCGTCTGTCCGTCCCTGTCCGTCGGTCCCTGTCCGTCCGTTGGTTTCACTTGCTGTTCTTGCTTTTGTAGAGGAAACACTGCTGCTGCTGCTGCCGCTCTGGCCGAGCACAAAAAGAAGAATCTATTATGGCATAGTCGAAGGAGGAGGTGGAGGAGGACACATGCGGAGTTGATAAGCGAGTCGGCGCTATCAGCTGGTCCTAAATGCAAAGTAATGACTTTGCTGCTGCTGCTGTTGCTGCAAGTCAACAGAATGTGTGGCCCGTCAGTGTCATTACTATTAGGAGATAATACATGACTCGTACTAGTCGACTACCCGACTTGACAATGTAAACGTAGGGACGACAGAAATAGGCCCATTGCCCGGGAAAATGCGCGTGCAGTTTTTTTTTTTTTTCTGCCTTGTTTTTGTTGCGTTTTTCCCGCCGTAAGCGGTACAATGTACCCGTAGCCGTACCCGTACCCGGGGCGTGCGCTCAATTACCTCATAAGTATCTCAAGCGATTGCGTGTGTGTATTTTTCTCTATAATAAATGATTGGTTTCTAGGGTCGAGTCGCCTATGAGATACTCTTGAAACCTTAGAAAGGGATATCGTATCCATCGGTATAAGCTTATATTCCTGCTAAGTTTTTATAAACCTCAAAGCAATTTAACTTTGAATTTTCGCATTATTTTTAATAATATTAACTATCACATTCTAAAGCCTCTTCGGGGCGTATATCAACAATCTTATCTCAAAGTATTTTGTAACTAGAAAAGAAAAAAAAACAAAGCAAAAAATAAACCTTCGCCCCAGATAAGACGTGAAATGCCCAATTTTGATTAGGCTAGTGTACCGTTTTTCCACTTAAACGGGGGGAAAAAATAATATAAATAATAATTATGATGCCATGGGATTTTTGTTGCCAAATAAACCAAAACAAAAAACTAAAAATAATCTATAATCAATTTTAATAAAGAAGCAAGTAGGCAGGCAGGCGCCTCAATAAGGGTATGAAATTGGCCAGTATCATAAGGGGTTAGCAGGAGAAACCTCCGATAATGTCACGTGCTCAGCATTGCCGAGATTCCGATCATTGTTGTTATCAAAGCTACAAAAAAAAGAAAAAAGAAAACCCCCTTCCCGTTCATTCAGAGATCTTGGCTGGAGTGGTTCCCCCTATCAGTTGAGAGCAATGAAGAGTTGACATAGCAGAATCATCATCATTGCCGGGCCCCGCACAATCTTTAAAGCTACGTATAAATACATACTATATGTACAAGTATATATAAATATGATAGATCGGGGGAATTCTATGGAAATCGATTTGCAGGGAAAAGCCAATACGGTATGGATCGATCGGGTCATCCATTTAAAGCTCTGATGGGACTTTACCGAGAATAACAATTCCATGGATTTTTCATGGCAAACAAAACAGTTTCCAGTGCAAATATTATACATGTTTAAGTTTATATTTAACGACTTTCGATTCCTCTGGTCCAGCCTTGATAAGAAAATACTAAATATTTGCTGTCGAAAGTCTGAACTTTCTGTTTAAATTTTCATATACTGACGATAAGACCCGTGTGTGGAAGCACATGGAAACACAAAATGCTTAATTAGGCGGATTTAGAACTGAGCTAATCTTCTATATAGCTATTGTCGGACTAGACTTAGATGTTATATATATTCACAGTCATGTCCGAAAGGGTTGACTTCGAAAGAAAGGGAAACTCGAAGAGGAAGTAGTCGCTGAGAAGATCGACTCGAAAGCCAGAAAGCCTTGAGATCGTAGCCAGTCAGTCTTACCTCGAAGTAGAAACTCTTGATGGAAGAGTTTACCTTGGGTAAACTGCATTTCGCCTTCACAAAAGAATGCTGACCAAAGTGGAAAGATGGCAACTTTCCTAAACATATATACATACATATATGTTATGGCCAAATCGGAGAGGGGAGTTCCGAGCCAAAGTTCCGAATATTGCAGCATTAACAATCAAGTGGAAGCCAAGAAGTCAGCAACTTTTTTACTCTATATCTTCTTTATATATATTCGTCTTTTTTGTTAACATTTCTAGAGCTCAGTTTTGTTTTTTATGTGGGTTAACTTTCGCTTATATAAGCAGAAAAGGGCAGCACTCAAGTTGGCAAAGAACCCATAGGCCAAAGGGGGCGTGCATAATGGTATTAGCAATTTTCTTGTTGGCCAATTCGATTCACCAGTGTGACCAGTGCAGCGTGCATTGGAATCTTTGAGGTTAGACTGAAAGTTTCTAACGGGGCCCAAATGCAAGACCCGCTACTTAAAATGCACATGAGAATAGATACGCGCAGCAACAACAAGAAGCGGAAAACAAAAAACAAAAAAAAGGAAAAACAACAACAAAAAACGTGCTTGGCAACAGGGTCTCGAGACTCAATAACTGAGAAGGTTTTTTTTGTTAAGAGAGCGTCAGCAGCCACATTTGAATAACTAGTTCGAGCTTATGCACAATACTTTCAATATGGTTTGGTCTATCGGCCGCCTTGGCGTATTGCTTAACTTTGACATTTCCAATGAGCGTTTGGTTTTCTGCCGGTGGAGTTGCAATCCGCGAAAACAGGTTAAAGCCCAAAGCGAATGCAAAAGACCCAGAGAGACTTTAACCACTACCACTTGTGCGCCTCTCCTACCTCTACCCTATTGCAAATTTAGCGCGCTCCAGCGACACAATTTCTATGCCAAAAGTCCAAACATATGGCGGCTCAGAGTAAAAAGCGCGCATAATTAAATTTGTGCAAAGGCACACACCACACACACACACACACCTACAATTGGACGCCCACCTACATAGTATTCGCTTACATGTGCTCCGGTTCGCTCCCCATGCTCTCCTCTCTTTGTATTCCATCTATTTTGCCCATTCATTCGTCGTTCCATTCATGCGGACTTGCACGCGGTGCGCCATGCAGGATGCGCACTGATGTCCACTCTTTCTCTCTTTGGGGCTACCTCTCTCTTTGGGGGACTCTCTCTCTCTCTCTCTCTCTCTCTCTCTCTCTCTCTCTCTCTGTCTCTGTCTCTGTCTCTGTCTCTTAGGCAAGAGTAGTGGGCGGGCGGCCAGCTGTTTGGGTTTTGTTTTTGACGTCAATGTCAGGGGACGACGACAGGACGCTGTTGGCAGGCCAGACTAGAGTGTGAATTATTCATGGACTTGCACTGAATTTACAATATGTTACATCTTCCCAGGATGAAGAGTATGAGAGAGAGAGAGAGAGAGAGTGAGCAGCAGACCGCCTCGGGGGACCTTCTTGGGGGCGTCAGTAGTAGTGGTGGGCGTGGGCGTAGCAACATATTGCCAGAGCTAATGAAGTGTTATACGATAAGTGTAACAGCAGGCAGCAGGCAAAAGGCTAGTACCAGGAAGCAACAGTTGGGAGGGCTTAATAAAAGCCAAAAGGCGGTGGAGTAACAAAGGACCTAAAAAAGTTGACTTTAAGAAATGAGGGGTTAAATGTCTCACAGCATCCTTGCTATTATTAGATGTGCTCCTAACTCAAGACCTTTATGACCTTTTATTACTATTTCTTTAAGATCAATCCTTAAAAATCAACAAACCTTGTATAAATGCTTTAATTAATAAATTCCAGGGAACCTTTAACCATTAAATAATAATGTCACTAGACATGACACCAAAATCGATCATTTAGAACTTCATTTTAGGGAACCCCCCAAAAAACTAATTTCAAAAACAATTAGAGGAGTCATAACTTTAAGGCCTAGAATATCGTAATTACCCCCACCAACCACTAGGCTGACATGCTGACATTTTTCAAGCATTATCTTTCCAAAGAAACCTTGAAAGTGAATTCATTATGGGTTCCACCAATAAGGTCGCCCCCGTCAGTCAGCTCTCTGTGACTCATCCGAGCATTGCCAAATTGGGGGTTATGTCTATTTTGCATATATGCAGATGTTCAAAGCGTTTGTGAAAGGCAACAAGCCAGACCCGACCCGACCCGACCAGACCAGACCAGACCAGCGTGGATCTTCACAATGAGCCCCCACAATCAAATACCCGAAAGATAGGCTCTCTGGTGGTTTAGGATAACTGCAAAATTGTGGGGGCATCAATGGAGGAGTGTTTGGGTTTCAACTTTGTACGCATTTTCCTTCTCCTTATTTATTTCTTGCTTGTTTTTATTATTTTTGGTTTACTTTCACAACGATTTCCGTTTGGCAAATTGTTGGCGATGACGACGATTGTTGCTACTGCTGCTTACGTACTTTCCTCGCGCAAACATATGTTGGCGATAAGCTAAGCCCACCCTCTGGACACACACGCCCCCGCATAGCCATCTCCCTTGGCTTTTGCAGTCTATTTTTATACATATTAGGTTATATTTATAACGAAACCAACGAGGACGTCACTGTGAGTCCCTATGGTTATTCTTGCGCAATGCAACGCTGCGTATACGTTATATTTGACATGTTCTCAATTAGCCAATTTGCATGGCATTCTGTCCGGCAGATCGCTTTGGCCAATTCACACTTTCTTTTCAAGGCAAGGCAAAAGGCATTTGATGATGATGATGATGGTCATTTACATTGTAGCCTCATTTACCATTTACCATGCTCACGAAAAAACGAAACCGAAGCGGGGCCAAAACCGTAGCAATTTTTCAAGTTAAAAGGCAGTTCAGTTTGGTTTCTGCTCTTTTTTTGTGTTTTTTTTTTTTTTGGTGAATTGTGGGAGCGCACCTTTCACTTTACCAACACCAACACCAATCGGCGAATGATGCAGCCTGGGCATAAAAATTGAAAAGAAATAAAAAAAAAGAGACTCTGCGGCTAAAAAAATGCTGTGCACAACCAACTCGACACAAAGAAAACGATACATACATAATGATCTGCACACGCACACAGCTGCAGTTTTCGGTTTCAGTCTTTTTTTTGTTTCATTTTTTAAATGTGAAAGGTTTTCGCTTGCTGCAACATTATTTAATCAATCCAAAATTGTGGAGCAAGCAAAAAAATGCTTAAAAATCGACAAAAATGTATAGACAAAAAAAAAAAACAGAGCCAAAAGCAGGAGATAAAGAGGGAGAAAGAAGAAAGAAAGAAAAAAAACTATAACCAGTTTAATTATTTTATGAAATTGTATGTTTGTGTAGCTCTTTTTCACCCTTTCCTGGTTGGAAGACAGAGAGAGAGAGGGAGAGAGCGGGACCCCAAAGACTGGAAATTTGAATAAAATTGTATAATGGGCAATCCGGGGACCCGGCAACACCAACACCAACATACACCAACACACACCAACATATACTCCAACACACATCCCAACATGTGTATGTTAATTTTTATGCCGTAAGATAAAGAAAAACCCCTCTGGCGGCTATTTTGATTATTTCACCTTTAGCGTTTTCAAAGTAGCTTGCCTGATTGGTTCCCAAAAGTGACGTGTGACACCTGAGTTGAGAATCCAAAAACTGAAAGAATTGAGTAGCAGAAGAACCGTTCTCAGAGAGAACAATTCTTTGGCTCTGCACGTGACAGTCGCAACAGCGCAACAGGTTTTCTTTTTTTTTTTTCTTTTTTTGTGAATTGCCAGTCGAAATGGGGTCAAGCGATTGCATTTCACACAGGCTCAGAGCTCACAAGACTCAGTCTCCTCGACGGATCGCCTGTTAAGCAATCGATTGCCATCAAGTTGGAGTTAAGCCGCTCAAGCGGTTTTTGTGGCTCAAGAGTCATGGCAGGCCACTCAAAAACTCCACTGCTTTCCACTTGAGAAGGCGCCCTTAGCCATTTCTCCCGGTAAGCCGCCTCGCCGCGCTTTCATTGGAACACTCACACAAACACACACAAATTGGAGAAGTGGCAAGTCAAAGCCCACCTGAAAAACGTGCAACAAACGATGCTTCCAGATACACTGGTAAAAAAAACATCATTAGAGCATAGCATTTATAACTGTTAACAAAGTAAACCTGAGCCAGGTTTATTTTCCGCAAGAAACTGGCTATAAATAGCAGGGAATTTGGATATTTAGAAAGGAGTTTTCATTATATGCTATTTGCTCTTGTAGATAGCTTAGAAACACCTATAGATACTTTGGTGCGTAGCTTAGATACATCTTATGCATAGCTTAGATAGTTTTATATAGAATATTGTAACTAGGCTATGCAGAATCAGCATTTCCTCAAGTATTTTTAGATAATAAAGCAGAGAATTAATAACTCTATTTAAAAGTCTAATAAATAATATACATTTTAGTTTATATTTATGCATAATTGTCATGATACCTCAATTTATGTTGCACTTTTAACGTGGTATCATATAATTTACATAGATTAACCGTGTAAAACCTTATTAACCACCTAAATCAGGTCTATATCTATATACACATTCGGGAAAGTAGCTTTAGAACTTGCTTTCGGCTTTTCCCCAGGTGTATTTTTGCTGTCCCCACCTGATCCGCAGCAGCTAACAACAAAAGAGGTAGCTAAAATGCCTGTGAGCATTTTTCGCTGTCTTTTTCTTCTGGCTTTCTTCTTTCTTTCTTTCATCATCATCCTCATCATCTTCATCATCATCATCACCATCATCATCATCGGCAGCAACATGCCAAGCAGCATACATATTTGTATACAACTCGATGAGTGTATATTTGTACGACTGCCTGTGTATCTGTATCTGTGTTGTGTTGCCCGTTTTGGTAGCATTTTTTCAAGAATTGCTAATTCTCAACAATTCCCCGAGGTTCGTTGAACTCATCATAAACACACACAATACACACACACAAATACACACATTTTATTTACGCTTCTCAGTGCGCGTATACTGCTTGCTGATTCTTGGCCCGATGTGTACCGGTGACGGCTAAAATGCGGAGAAAGCACTTGTGTATTTGTGTGCTTTAATGCACTGGCCAAAAGGAAATACAAAAAAATATAAATAAAATAAAATAAAAATGCGAGGGCAGGCCCACCAGTATTAGCATAATGAGCAGCAACTCTCCACAATTCTTTCAACATTCCATACACTTTCGTTGGCTTTTGAGAATTTCCGAAATTATATAGTGTAGTCATCGGAAGACAGTAAGTCGGATTTTGGCAGGTGAAATTCCAGCTTTCTTTAGCATATTGCCAATTTTTTTTAGTTTGTTGGTAATTACATAAAGCTTTTATTACTTTGCAAGCCGATTAAGGAAATAGTTTATAACGACTGCCTGTGGTTTAAGGTTTACTCAAAGCATTAAAACTGAACGAATAACTTTCTAATTTTGTTAACTATTATGTTGTCATAATTTTAGTTACGCTACCAATCAAACTTAAATATTAATAGAGTTCCTCAAAGTGTTATTTATCCCCAATCTACTCTGGGGCTCACCTTAGAACTGAATCACTACATTCTTCATGGGTTAATCAACACTTTTGGGATTGGCTAACATATATATATATGTTTATATCTATATCATTTAATAGGCTGACTCTACTGACACACTTTTCCACTTCCGATTGAATCATTTTCATTTTGCCAAAGCAAACAATAAAGCTTACTATAAACCAGCCAAGGCTTATAAGACAGTCAATGATTTTGCTAATAAAATGATTTTTGCAAGAGATATTATACCAAAATGTTAATTTAACAAAGCCATTGTTCATTTATCAACTTTAAATAATAGTTTAACAAATGGATCAAGGTATTATGCTTATAAAGATGCATTTTAAACAGAAAAAGTAAGAGTACTATTTATGTACTTGTTTCAAGAAAAGAGTTCTCTTAAAGCTTATTAAACATGTTAAAAAGTAACCATTTAAAGCCGGTTAATAATGAGCTATTCCTCGACTAGTTAACAAAAAAATGGTTCTCTAAAGGTAAAGCTAATTCTTAACCATAAAGGTCTGGCCGTAAAATAGGTTGTTTAATATGCGGGATATAAAGAAATCCTAATTGAATTTACGACCAGTTTAACTTGTCATTAAATTTAACTGTCAGTTAGGAAACTTTAAAGTTTTTGTACTCCTTGTTACCTGAAAATATCCAAGTTGTTTTTCCCCTGTGTGCATAACGATCGCTCGACAAGTCTGCAGTGATTGGAACCGCCCTCGCACATATTCCTTGGGTTGGGGGGGTGTTGGTAGTACTACCCATAAAACATAACATGGCTTACAAAAATGCACGCGTGCAAACGGTAATCAATGTTTGGGTTTACGGGCATATGTATATATGTACATATATGTCTGGGAGTGAGTGGTGTGCCGGGCAAGAAGAAACTGAAGAGTAGAGAAGACCCACCGAGAAACCTGGAAGAATTGTACCTGCTTAGAGAGCCACACAACAATACTAACAATACTAACATACTCACTCACATACACTCACATTAGGCCCGTCGACGTTCCCTTTTTTTTATGGCCAAAACTGGATTCCATTTGGCTCTTGGCTTAGAAATGTGAACTTTGAAGAGTTGGGGCCGCGCCCGGCAATTTTACATACAAATGTGTTTTTAAAGCGTAATTACATGCACTTCTTTATCGCAAACAGACAGCCTGACTGACTGACTGACAGACGGACGACGCTTGGAGAATATGTATAGTTATCCGCGTGCATATTTGCCACAGAATGTGCCGGGGCCGCCTTTTAAAATGGGTCAGCAATTTATTGCCGTAGATTGCCGGGCGGCGACAATTAAGCAGACGGAGAAATCCAGTCCAAAAAATCTGGCACAAACGGCATTACATCATCGTTCTGGAGTCTTTTTAGCAAATCCAAAAACAAATTTGCATGTTTCGGTTGTTTGTTGTTGTTGTTTTTTTTGTTTTTTCTCGCCACTCCATTATTTTTGGCGGCAAATAGGAGAGCACCACGAGAACTTGCTCCCCTCAGCGACATCATTTGACTTATTTGTGCTGCACTTTGAGTGATTTTCAAGGTCCCGGTACTCAACGCAGCATCGAAGCACTTCATTATAATTAATTACACTTTGCGCACTTCACTCCACGCGAGGTTTAATTAAAATTCGTGGCAACAATTTATCAAAGCGAACGCTTGGGCCAGAAAATCTCGATTAACAACTTTAGTAGGACCAGAGAGGGGCGATGACCGCTTAGTCCTATCGATAGGTCCTTCATGTCCTTTCGATATTCGCCAAAGAGGGCGGTAGTTTTAAAACATGAATTTGAATTCAATAACTTTAAACCGTGGCTAGAATTTACTTTTCCCCCAACAAACAAATTGATATATTATAAATTAAATATATATAATCACAAACAGGTGGTTTAATCTACCCCACCTAGGTGAAAAAAAATAGAAAACAAAAAAATTCCCATCACTGATTTGCAAGTCTCCCCGAAATAATGACTTAACAGTTGATAACTTCAAATACTGATTGCCAAGCCCAACAACAATTATTTCAAGGGTACTGGATCGCCGGGGAAACGGAATCGTGGTCGGACGTTAAAATGTCTTCTGATAAGATTGACAACAAAAATATATTGCATAGAAGAGGCCACCACATGCATGGGGCACTACGATCTGCGCTATATATGTATTCAAACCAAAGCCAAATCAAATCAAATCAGTTTTATATATATAAGAACTTATATAACTTTTGAGCTATCTGCATGGCTCGTGTACCTGCGTTGCGTTTTTTGGGCGTACGTACAATTCTCGTGTGATTTCGCCATAGGTCGTATATATTTAGGTATATTGCCAATTGTACTTTTGTTTTTTGTTTAATTATATAAGCGTGCTATCGCTGTGCAACACGACTATGACTATGAATGACTTTTGTACATTAACTAATTGCTGAACCATTTGTTTGTTTCCATTTTTTGTTTCTGTTTTTTACAGGAATCCTTGAAAATTAGCCCCGATCACGATATGCACGACTGGCTGTTCGATCGCGACGTCAAGGATGATACCGTCATACTCCACGACAAGCTCATCTCGGATGCCCTGCTCAATGGCACACAGCCGATCAAGACGGAGCACTCCTACAGTCTCAACAGCGACGTTGATTCCCTGCCCGATTCACCAAAAAGCCTTCAGGCTAAAATCGAGGGTATGTATTTGAAAAATATAATCCTTTTTCATTAAAGAACAAACGAATACGCAATATATCTTAGGAAAAGAATAATAAAATTTAATATTGAGGTATGGCAAGCTAATAAAATAATAATAATAATAATAATAATATTGTTCCGGTTTTATTGCAAATATTTAAAATTCCAACTAGGCGATTACAAATAATTCGATTACTTGTAAAACAGCTGGGACTTATATTTTTAAATTAAAACTTATTTGAAGTCTTGAACTATAGCATATATATGGTTACTTTTTTCTCTGTGTAAATATAGCTACTGTGTTCTGTTCAATTTAGTTAAATTTAATTCACGATTGCAAACAATTTTTCGATTTAACCGAGGCGGCTTATCGATAATTTCTTCAAATTGCATCGACTTATTTTTTTGGTAAACAGACTTTTAGGGCCCCGCCGAAAAGCAATTCAAACACAGTTGGCAGTTGGTTTAATTTAGGCCATGTACATAGTGAAAACAACCCGTTGACAAGAATAAAAAACAACAAAAATAATGAAAACAGAATAAAAAAAAACAGTTTCTGGTCCGCTCAGTGCTCTGTTCTGTTCTGTTTTTTAGTGTCGCGGTAGCATTTAGCAATTTAACGCAGTACTCGTGCATGAAGTTCTGTACTTTGACGCGATATCAGTTGTTCATATGTATGAGAGCGCAAACTGTGTATAATTGCTTCTCTTTTTTTTTGCTTTTTGTATTTTTTGAGCTGTTATTATTTGTAATTTTATGGAAACTGTACGACAACTGTGTAAATAAAATTAAAACGAATTTATTTTCGTGTAGTGGGTGTCGTACGTGTGTAGGGTGGAGGGGTGACAGTTGGTGGTGAGGTGAGCAAAGTTTTGCCGGAAAAAAAAGAACAGAACAACAAAAAAATTGTATATAAAACTGAAACAACAGAATTTTAAAGGCAAACACAAGTGCAGGCCGGGACACTGACGCGTGCGCCTAGGAAAAAGTGATCCACAGACTGTGAGTGTTTGCACAGTTACAGGCGAAGAGTACTTAGAACTCGGATTCTTGCATAATATAATATACATAATCATAAATGTGGGTTAGACGCAATAACATTTACTTAGCATATTTGCGCACATTCTGTGCCATTATTTGAATACCAAAAACAAGAAAACACTCGTGAGCTAATTATTTTATTTTCGAAAACAAAAACCAGGCATTAACCAATTTTAACCGCCTTTAGCCAAGGCAAAGTAATTAAAGTAGATAATCGAAAGTGTGATTAAAATTAAAACCAACAGACGCTCTTTGGATAATACCTTATTTTTAATGCAGATTCAGCTAAAAGATCTAATAAATAATTTTACAAATTGTAGAGTGTAATTTATTTTGGTTGAATAATATGAAAAGTACAATGAACTTGAAATTGTAATTATAAATTTGAGCCAGGAGTTCCTTAACCTTTTTTTTTAACCCCTTACGATATAACGATATGTAACGACCTTTTATCCTTTCGATATCTGTGTAATAAACCGATATTCTTTATCGTATATTGGAGTAATATAATCGAAAAAGCCCCTAGTCCCGAAATAATGTTTAAAAACGATTATATTAAATTAAAAAACCTTTCTTAACACATTTAAAAAATGTTTGTATTATGTTAAAACCTTGCTCAGCATTTGTTTCCCTTTTTTAAGGCCCATAAATTCAGGCATAGGTTATTTTCTAAAAGTAATAACCACCTTAGTGTGCTATTAAAAAGCAATTTGAAAGTTATTTGGTATAAAATGTAAAAAATTTGAATCAAAACAGGCTCACCGGAATATTAAATAACATATTTCAGCTGTCAAATTTAAGGTAAATTAGCTTTACTATAATTAATTTAATTATTTATTAATGCTTTTACATCAAAAAATATTTCATAATGAAAACTAAATAAGTTTCTAATTGATTTTTATATTTCAACTCCCCACAGACATGGACGACGAGTGCTATCCCGCCATTTCATTGAAGACGGCCACCAGCGGGCGTGCGACCATCGACCCCAAGTGCCTCACCCTCCACGTCCCGCCCACACATGCCACGCCCAGCAGCCTAAGCCGACTGAGCAGCAATCCCGCCCTGAACGCCTCCGTTTCCGTCGCAGAGTTGACGCGATCCGGACTACAGAGCCTGCAGGCGCAACAGCCGCACGGACATGGCTCCAGTTCCGGCCACGTGGTGGTGGCCTCCCTGGAGCACTTTCAACTACCTCAGCATCTGTATCACAATGACTGCAGCTCATCGGTGTCGTCGGTGCGGGACGGCAGCATGTCGCCGGATATCTGCTCGGACATTGAGATCGACGAGTCGGCCATCAAGGATGAGCCCATGTCGCCGGACTCTAGCTGCCCCGCCAGTCCCACATCGCAAGCGAGCAGCTCGCAGCATCAGCACCAGCTCAGCCTTAATTTGGCCCACCTGCAGACGGAAATGCTATTCGAGCAGAAGGTGAGACGAAGGTCCTTGCCAAGGAAACCTTTCCGTATAGAGAGAACCCTCTGAAAGCTATTGAATATAGTTTGTGGCATTTTTAATTTGACAATATATCTGTTTCTTTTGCAGCATGGTGACCTCCTGCTAACAGCCAGCAGCAGCAGCAGCAGCAACAACAGCAACAGCCTCATCAAGTCCCAGCAGCGGCAGCAGCAGCATCTCCTTGGCCAGGGTGATCTCCTGATGACCAAAATGGAGATCAAGAGCGAGAAACAAAACGCTGGCAACAATAGCAGCAGCAGCAGCAGCAGCAGCAGTGCCAGCAGCAGCTCGGGGAAGTCCCATGGCCATGGCTATGGTATCCCATTGACGCCACCCTCCTCCCTGCCCAGCGATGACTCCGAAGGTAACTTGACACCGGAACACTTGTTTTCGCCACTGTCGCCCAACGCTTCCGTTTCTATATCCGTGGCCAATGCAGCCGGCGGCGAGTCATCTGTCCGAGTCAGCCGCAATGCTGCCGGCATCACGCGCTCCGCCAGCGCATCCGGATCCGGATCCAGCTCCAGCTCTAGCACAACAACGACAACGACACGGCAACCGATCCATACGCCGTTGATAAGCTCACAGCCGGTAAGTTTGATCGATAAATTCCAGATAACAGATGTGGAAAAGTAAATAATTAATATTACACAAAATACATATGTTTCCTTAAGAAATCGAAAGTATATATATATATTTATTTTGTGAAAAAATAAGAGGAGTTGTTAAACTCTGAAACTAAAAGAACGTAAGCTTAAAAGTCAAAAGATATAATAGTTTTCTTATGAAATCAAATTGGAATGAGTTCAATGTTTCCTATATTTTAAGGAATTTTATTGTATACTATTTATTAACCCATTAATAACAAACCAATATTAATAAATATTAAAATATATATATAATTTGCAGAAGGGCTCCACGGGTACACTATTGCTGACGGAGGAGGAGAAACGCACTTTGCTGGCCGAAGGCTATCCAATACCACAGAAGCTTCCACTTACCAAAGCCGAGGAGAAATCTCTGAAGAAAATTCGGCGTAAAATCAAAAATAAAGTGAGTTCCCTCAAGAATAACACCAGTCCAAAGAAATTGATTTATAATATCATCGGAAACATTTTCAGATCTCTGCTCAGGAAAGCCGGCGCAAGAAGAAGGAGTATATGGACCAGCTGGAGAGGCGTGTCGAGATCCTGGTCACCGAAAACCATGACTACAAGAAGCGTCTCGAGGGGCTGGAGGAGACCAATGCCAATCTACTTAGTCAGCTGCACAAACTGCAGGCCCTAGTTAGCAAGCACAATGTGAAAAAGTCCTAAGGCCCCAATGATTCTGGTTTCCGGAACTTGAGGTTCAACTTTGCCCAACCCCCGCCTTTCCGAGATATTTGTAGATTTTAATATCAGTTTTTCGTTCGATTTGAGAGATCAGTCCTGGAGTTCCACGAGTGTGTGGGGGAGTCTTTTGTTTTTTTTATTGTATGTATGTTTATGGAAGAATTTATTCAACGACCACACGATGGTGTGGAATTTTTTAAATGAGCATTTTTTATGATCGGCTTTTTGGTTAGCACAAAGCGGTAAACATTCCCCTCGCCCCGGCCCCTCCACTAAAAAAATCAAATATATATATTCCGCAAGATTTAGCTCGTATATTTAATGTATATGTATGTCCTAGCTACTACTTGTAGAACCTCTATATTATATTATAGCTACTATATATATGTATATTAGTCATGCATTCCTGTTATATAAACTTTGATCTAGGCTGCAACTAAAACAACAATTACAATTACAATTACAACTACTATTAAAATCGAGAAGCTCAAAACAACAGAAGCAGCCAATAAAAAATATCCAGAGAAAGAAGCGTCTAAAGAGAAGCTAAAGTAACAATAATTGTAATGAAAAACAAAAAAATCGAAAACAACAGACCAAAAAACGAAAAACACATACAAAAAAAAACAGCAAACAGTAGTAACAAAAAGTTAAAAAAAAATAGGAAGATGCTGTGGAGCTCTAACTAAATATCCAAGAGCCACAGCCACAATTATGTGTGTACATTATGTTTTAATAATGATTGAATGATTGATTTGGACGAAGGAAAGACGACTCTCGGAGCCTCATCTCTGTGCTTTGTCTTTTGGCATATGACTCTTGTTCCTTTAAACGATATTTCTCAACGAAAACGAGCTGAAAATGAATGAAAAAGCAAATAAATACCTAAACAATTCCATAATATAGCTCTATTTAGGAATGATTTTACATAACGAACTCTATATATGTCAGCATTTAAGTTTCATTTCGTTTTGTTTACTACCAGCAGGCCTTAGATCGAAAAGCACGAATTTATAAAGCAGAATTCGCTTCCGTTTTTTCCACCTGTTGCCGAATTATTTCAACAATTTCCGAGCCAATTATTAAAATCAATTATATATATTGTTTGTTAAGTTTTATATAATAAGCACACGACGAACCAGAAAGAGCGAGTGGAAGAAAACTGATCAGAAACTCAATATAATTCAATCAATGATTTATTGTTTCGTTATATTTTTTACCCATTTTGAGCTTTACGTTTTTTTAGTGCAATCTTCTTTTCGGGCAACAATCATATTTTCTCGCAGCGTTCTGAATGAGTCAATCTAGTTTAAATTTTAGTTGAATTTATTATAAACAAAATTACTTAAACGAAATTTGTAAGCGTAACACGATGATTTCTTATTCATAAAATACACTCTAGTTTAGCTATGTTTATTATGTGTGTCTGTATGTGTGTATAAATCAAGCGGACGAAGTTGTGCAATTGTTAGTAAAATTATTAAAGAGAAGAAAAAGAAAATGGAAACTTTAGAGAAAATGGAAATGAGAAGGAGAAAACGCTTGTGTGCAATGACAAACAAACATTTTTATTATAAAGTGCGTTAAAAATTTAAAACTCTAAACATGGAAAGTAAATAAATACATTATTATATATTTATATGTACATGTATATACAAGTATAAATAATGTACAACGACTATATACAATTTTTTGGCTATACCATTTTTAACGCAATTATGCATATGCATCCATACATATATTGTACGTTAAAAGTTGAAATTGAGAAAAAACAAAAACCAGAAAATACATAAAAAAAATTGTAAAACTTTTGACAATTGGTTGCTGTAATTTTTGGCAAAGGTAAAAGTGCAATTCCAAATAAAATTCATACGAACCATAAAAACAGCAGCAAAATGCGATTTGTTTCATTTAAACTTAGTTGTAATAATATAATAATATACCTATTTTTTTCTCTATTTTAATTAATGAAAGTAGCACTAGACTTAACAACTAAAATATTAATTATGTGCTTAGATTATTTTTCAAGTTAAAATTCATATTTGAACACGCGCCCTGTGACTATCGTCGTCCAATGAATCGATAACAGCTATCGCACTGCTTTGTAAGATGTTTAAATCGATGCTTGAAATTATTCGATTTTAGGTAAATCGATTTTTATATCATCGCAATTTTCGCACCACAGAAGATCTTCACGGAATTGTTATAAATTTTTCGTATTAATACAAATTCCAAGTTTACAATGGGCAAGAAAAACAGTAAGTGGCGAAGGTCAAGAGCTAAGTATTTAGGGAATAAAAATACTCCATTGCAAATGCAGAATATAAGACAGAGGAGAAGCCGAAGCCTGTGGCTGCTGCACCTCCGCCCGCACAGCAACAACAGCAGCAGCAGCAGCCACAACAACAACAGCAGCAGCAGCAACAACAACAAAGACAACCACAACCAGAACGTAAGTGCAAAATATCTATACACATATAACGTTTATGCATGTATGTATTGCAAGTCGTAATTACGACTGACTTAAGTTCCAGAAGTTTCATATTTGAAGGGGAATCACCATATTTTATGCATTTCTGATGAAATTACCAACACTTGTCCATTTGTGTGAAAAACCTGTTGGAAACTGCTATTGGTACACATCATCATTCACTGCACAAATATTTAGACACAATAACAAAGAGCAAATTGGGAATAACTATTTAAATTTTTCTGTTATCAGAGAAAAATGAATACCAGATGTTTTTAGATCACTATAGATTAATATAACTCTTAACAGGCTCCAGCTCCGGTACGTCTGGTTCTTCGGCCGGCCCGCAGAGCCGAGGCGGCCCACAAGACCGAGGCGGATGGAAGAGCCAAGGCGGCCCGCAGGACCGAGGGGGCGCGCAGAGCCAAGGCGGCCCCCAGAGCCGAGGCGGCCCGCAGGACCGGGGGGGCCCGCAGAGCCAAGGTGGCCCGCAGAGCCAAGGTGGCCCGCAGAGCCAAGGTGGATGGCAGAGCCGAGGCCCGCAGAGCCGAGGCGGCCCACAAGACCGAGGCGGATGGAAGAGCCAAGGCGGCCCGCAGGACCGAGGGGGCGCGCAGAGCCAAGGCGGCCCCCAGAGCCGAGGCGGCCCGCAGGACCGGGGGGGCCCGCAGAGCCAAGGTGGATGGCAGAGCCGAGGCGGCACGCAGAGCCAAGGCGGAAATCAGAGCCAAGGTGGCCCGCAGAGCCAAGGCGGCCCCCAGAGCCGAGGCGGCCCGCAGAGCCAAGGTGGATGGCAGAGCCGAGGCGGCCCGCAGGACCGAGGAGGCCCGCAGGACCGAGGAGGCCCGCAGAGCCGAGGCGGCCCGCAAGACCGGGGCGGCCCGCAAAGCCGAGGCGGCCCGCAGGACCGAGGTGGCCCGCAACAGCAGAGACAGGGTCAAGGTTCTTACCAATCTCGTGGACCGCCTCAACAACAAGTCGCTTTGCCGCCACAACCTGCCGGCAGCATTAAGCGTGGTACCATCGGCAGAGCCGGACAGGTGGCCGTTAATTATCTGGACATAAACATGGAAAAAATGCCACCTAAGGCTTACCATTACGATGTAAAGATCGAACCAGAACGGCCCAAGAAGTTCTTTAGGCAAGCCTTCGAGCAGTTCCGCGTGAATCAACTGGGCGGAGCCATTGTCGCCTTTGATGGGAGAGCCTCTTGTTATTCGGTGGACAAGCTGAACACAAAAACGACTAATGCTGATGTGACTGTAAGTAGAAGTATTTAAAAAACAAGAGGAACTTAATCTTTTACTTTTTATCAGTCTTCTGTTAATATTTACAGGTTATTTAAATCAATTTTGAGTTTAATCAGAATGGCACAAGTAATTTGTTTGGTTTCAAAGAGATGGGATTCAGAAATCAGTGATTCTATTTAAGTATTTACCTTAGGCTCCAGAGTCTAAGGAGTAAATATTCATTCTAGTGGGGAAAGTGACTTATTAACAGTTCATTAAGCATAGAAAGAATCCGCTCACTTACTTAAAATCAAAAAATCAAGCATGCTTATTGAAATATAATTAGTTTTCAACTATTCTAACGGCTCTGCTGGAATGCATTTCAGGTAACAGATATCCAGGGTCGTACACTGAAGTACAGGGTGGAAATCAAGGAGACTAATGAATTGGAAGTCGATCTAAACTCATTAAGAAAGTTAGTAAAGATACATAGCTGCCATCTCTACCAATATTAAAACACAATTAATTTACAGCTATATGTCAAATAGAATTTTTGACAAACCGATGCGGGCCATGCAGTGCCTCGAGGTAGTGATGGCTTCGCCATGCCACAGCAAAGCCATTCGGGCCGGACGCTCCTTCTTTAAGATGTCCGAACCGGGCCAGCGTCGGGAACTAGACGATGGCTATGAGGCACTGGTTGGCCTCTATCAGGCCTTCATGCTGGGCGATCGTCCCTTTTTAAACGTCGACATATCGCACAAGTCCTTTCCGATAGCCATGTCGGTGCTCGAGTATCTGGAGAAATATGGCTTGAAATCGAAAATTAACCGAGACACTAACTTAAGTAATTCACGTCGCTTCATCGAGCCGTTCTTGAAGGGAATCAATATAGTTTATACGCCGCCACCATCGTTTGCCTCGGCGCCGCGAGTCTTCAAAGTAAACGGTCTGTCAATGAATCCGGCCAGCAGCCAGACGTTCGAGGTAGACGGCAGGAAAATGACGATTACTGATTACTTCAAGTCTCGCAACTACGTGCTGCAGTATCCGCAGCTCCACTGTCTACACGTTGGACCTCCCATGAAGAATATTATGTTGCCCATCGAGCTCTGTCGCATTGAGGCCGGACAGGCATTGAATGTAAGTTCTTTGTGAGAGTTTGAAGTTCTTCTACCTACATTTTATAACTATTACTTGCTTTGCAGCGTAAGGATGGCGCCACACAGGTGGCACAAATGATCAAGTTCGCTGCCACGTCGACAAATGAGCGCAAGTCCAAGATCATAAACCTACTCAAGTTCTTTGAGCACAATTTGGACCCGACCATCAGCCGTTTTGGCATTCGTATCGCCAATGATTTCATTGTTGTGTCCACCCGCACCCTCAATCCGCCTCAGGTGGAGTATCAGGGCAACAGGTTGTGCTCGGTCAGAAACGGATCATGGCGCATGGACAATATGAGGTTCTTGGAGCCCAAGCCCAAGGCGCACAAGTGGGCCATATTGTATTTTGATCCACAGCACGGTCGCAAGATGCATTACAACCAGGTGAGCGACTTTGAGCGCCAAGTGGTTTCCCAGTCCAAGATGGTGAGCGTGAGCCTGGAAGACAAGGCCTGCATTAGGGGCTTCAAGGACGAACGCAATCTGGATGAGTGCTTTGGAGATCTCAAGAAGGGCCAGTGCGATCTGGCCTTTGTGATCATACCGCAGTTCGGTGCGTCCTATGACGTGATCAAGCAAAAGGCCGAACTGCAGCACGGAATCCTCACGCAGTGCATTAAACAATATACCGTGGAGCGCAAGCTTAATCCCCAAACCATTGGCAACATTTTGCTGAAGGTCAATTCCAAGTTGAATGGCATCAATCACAAGATAAAGGACGATCCTCGCCTACCGATGCTCAAGAATGCCATGTTCTTGGGCGCGGATGTCACACATCCGTCGCCCGATCAACGTGAAATTCCCAGCGTTGTGGGCGTGGCAGCCTCGCACGATAAATACGGGGCCGCCTACAACATGCAGTATCGCTTGCAGCGCTCGGCTCTGGAGGAGATCGAGGACATGGAGTCCATAACCTTAGAGCATCTGCGTGTATATTACCAATACTGCAAGTCGTATCCTGAGCACATTCTCTACTATCGTGACGGTGTCAGCGATGGACAATTTCCGAAAATTAAAAATGAAGAGCTGCGAGGCGTAAAGGCAGCATGCGCCAAGGTGAGTTGTGTGCTTCAAAAGCCAAGTCGAAAGGATCGATTGATAATTCGTTACTATCTTTTCTAAGATGAAAATCAATCCAAAAATTTGCTGCGTTATTGTGGTTAAGCGCCATCACACTCGATTCTTCCCGAACGGTGAGCCATCGCAATACAACAAGTTTAATAATGTGGATCCCGGAACTGTGGTGGATCGCACCATTGTGCATCCCAACGAGATGCAGTTCTTCATGGTCAGCCACCAGTCGATTCAGGGCACGGCCAAGCCAACCCGTTATAATGTCATTGAGAATACGGGCAATTTGGATATCGATCTGCTCCAGCAGTTGACCTACAACCTTTGCCACATGTTTCCACGGTGCAATCGCTCCGTTTCGTATCCAGCACCAGCCTACTTGGCCCACTTGGTGGCTGCCCGTGGACGCGTCTATCTCACGGGGTACGTAACTCAGTTTACCAGTCCTAGGTTTCGTTTCTAACAATCTTTAATGTTTATTATATAGTACTAGCCGGTTTCTGGATCTGAAGAAGGAATATGAGAAGCGAAAGATTGTGCCCGAATTTATGAAATCTAATCCCATGTACTTTGTCTAGGCAGCGAGTGAAACTTCAAAGCCTTTTTTTTATTGGTATCACATTTCTTAAACCATATACATACATATATTATATTGGATAGAAGGTACATACTTTGAGGATTTCATTAAAAGTGATGAGTCTTTGGTGGCCTCTAAATGGAAAATTGCATATTTTTTATATAATTTTTCTTTTTTGAAGCCACATAAGTTGGATAGAAATGCTCTTAAAGTAGTCGACAAAGTACGTACATTCTTTTAAATAATCATTTAATAATAACAAAACAAAATTATTACGTTAAACTTAGTTTATATTTATAGTTTGCGACCCCTTTACATCGCATCGAAATGGAATCTGTGGGACTCTTGCAAGCGCTCCTGCTTATCCTCGCGTTTCTCCTTGATGTATAGCACCAGGATAATGAAGACGATGACCAGACAGGTGCCGCCCAGTGCCACGACACTCATCAGGATGAGTTTGCTGGGCGTGACAAACAGCTGGGCCTTCCAGTGCGTTGGCTCATTCAGTGGCTTGGGCACCACAATGATCTGGGAGTTTGGTATCAACTGCGTCCAGTTCCGCCACTTGCTGCCCAGGCCAACGGCCAGCTGGTCCACAAAGTTCGGCGTTCGCCCCAGACCAAAGCATGTGTACGGTAGCTGCAGGGCGAAGTAGGAGGCCTGCGGCAGTTGCACACTGCTTCCGCACTGCTGATCCCCGTCCTGGGTGGTGGTGCTGTAGGTGATGCGGGGTCCCGGCAAATTTGTGCCATACGTGCGCTTTTCCTTCCCAAGGCGGTGCGTCGCTCCGGATTCTGCTTGTTGTCCAGCCCCGTCAGTACTATCACCTTCACAAAGTTGGCGTCGTAGTCCAGGGTGTTGCGGAAGGCCAGCGGCTGGTATTTACCATGCTCATTCTTCCGCGTGAGTATCACGTCGAGAACTCCATCCTGGTAGAAGTCATAGAAGGCGCCAGCCACCGTATTGTTGCCTATTGGCGACAGAGCGTTCCAACGTACCTCGAATGTCCGCTTCAGCGGCTTGTTGCACGACGTGCAGGGCACATTCTCTAGCAGGAACGTCTGCATCACCGGTTTCTCCACGTTCAGGGGCTGTAAAGTGACCAGCAGATCCGGATAGCCGTCTAGATTAAAATCGCCACTTCTCGCCGTAATGGTCCTCAGGTAGACATCGCCCGGCACGGGCGGCACAAACGTCCAAGTAACGCCCTGCGGGTCGCGGAAGATGACGTGAAGATTGCGAAAATCGGTGCCATCGTGCACCATTATCGATGAGTTTCGGCAGCCCGAGTGGATGCAGAATGGCACCACAATATTCTGCACGCCCTTTAACTCAAAGTCCATGAAAACGGCCTGACCGAGGTGGTAGTCATTGCCACCGATTGGCTGAAACTTAATCTGGTGGTCGTAGCTGAAGTTCTCCTGCGTGTCGCGCTCATTGATCCCATACCAGATCTCGTACGAGTCCTGCGTCTGCAGGAACAGATCGGCCAGGAAGTCTTCGTTGAGGTCCAGATAGGCGTTTGCATTGGGAATGCTCAGCGAGTTCCCTTTGATCTCCGTAGGCTCCGCCTGATGCACGACCAGGGGCGGCTGTCTACTGCTGCTGAATATCCAGAAAGTGCGTACTCCATTTTCGTCCAAGCCGTACAGATCGATGATCATGTCGCGATTGAAGTCAAGGGCCATAACCTCGCCCCTGCTCCTAAATAACGTCTCCTTAGAACAGTTGAGCTCGGTGGTATTGCCCCAGTTGATGAGCACATCGTATGTGTCGCCATTGCTTCCGCTAGCCTTTAGGTTGACCAGCACATCCATCAGCGCGTCGCCATCGAAGTCCCCGGGAATGACGCTCACAATGGTCTTATCGGCGTAGTGGCAGTAGGGTCCAATGGTGAGCAGGGGCTCCGTATCGTGGCCTAAGAAGAGATGGAAATGAAGCTGTAGCAAGGGCATATTTAACTGACATCACCTACCGTAGAGAATCTCCAGCGTCTTCATTTGATCGCGAATGAGAAAAACGTCCGTCAGTTCGTCCGAGTTAAAGTCTCCGAACGCTGCCACAATGCCTTCCTTTTTGGTGCCGAATACCTTGTCCGTGATGTCGCTGGCGTGGCTGGCTATACAGCCCAGGCCCAGCACGAGCAGCAGCGTGCTGTGTTTCGCCATGACGATGTTTTATGATTTTTTTACACTGACGATTTGCGTTTCTTTTGTTATTTGTACAAAAATCAATAGTGAATCAGATGTTGGGCTGCCAACTCGACGAGCAAGGGAAAGAGAAATCGTGGTATCGATAACAACTAGAGCCTTCCACCTAACCACTGGCTCAGCCATGCGTATTTGAATTGGATAAATATAGGTTTTTGTCTTGTTTCCATTTTTTTTAATAAGCAAATTTATAGAGAAAAAATTAAAAATATACAGTGCACGACTCTGAAGAATGACAGGATATCGATACCTATTTTAAAATCGAGTATTCGATACGTTGCACTCGATTTATTTATCAGTTAGTTTACATCGAAAAGGTCATAAAAAAGAATAAAATGAAAATCGTATAAATTTTCAATCATCTCCGCAAATAAACTGTGATTTGCAAAATCAAACTGATTTAAAATAGCGTGAATTAGGCGTTTAGTTACGTGAAGTAAAGTCAAGCAGCGTTTTCCAACACCTGCGTCCCGCAGTTGGAACGTTTTCCAACAAAGTTTTGTGCCCCGTAAAATAAACAAATAATAACCAATTACTACCACAACAATGGTTAGTACCGTTGCAAATTGTTGCTAAATACACTCGCCAATCACTAATTAGTTCAGGGAGCGCGAGAGAAAGTGGCGGTTGCCACTTTGTTTTGTCGACGGCGCAGCCTCTTCTTCTTCCTGCAGCGCCAGCTTGGGCAGTATAGTTGTTGTCGTTGTATTTATGCAATTCGTTTTTTGGCAGCTCCAACTCCTATTCGACGGTAACTAATTAATCACAATTATCTCTATATCGTTTTTCAGAACAAACTAAAGTCCAGCCAGCACCGTGAGAAGGTGAAGAAGTTTATATCTCTAACACATACAGGCGAACAGACTGCGATCTTTTGCCTGCAACAGAGCGACTGGAAGCTAGACCTGGCCAGCGATAACTACTTCCAGAATCCCGAGTACTATTACCGGGAGCTCGACCGCAAACGCATCGAGCAGCTGTTCGTGCGCTATCGCGACCCCAGTGATCCGCTCAAGATCGGTTCGCAGGGCGTGATACACTTTTTGGAAGACCTAGACCTGAAGCCAGACTCCAAGCTGGTGCTGATCATTGCGTGGAAGTTCCACGCCGAGGTGCAGTGCGAATTCTCCCGGGATGAGTTCATTAACGGAATGTGTGATCTGGGAATTGACAGCATCGACAAGCTGAAGGCCAAGTTGCCATTACTGGAGCAGGAGTTGAACGATGCCGGCAAGTTTAAGGACTTTTATCACTTCACCTTTAACTACGCCAAGGATCCGAGCCAAAAGGGCATCGACCTGGACATGGCCATTGCCTACTGGTGCATTGTGCTCAGCGGGCGCTTTAAGTTCTTGGACATCTGGTGCCAGTTCCTCGAGGAGAAGCACAAGCGTGCTATTTCGCGGGACACCTGGAACCTGCTGCTGGACTTTGCCACCAACATCGACGACCGCATGAGCAATTATGATTCGGAGGGCGCCTGGCCGGTGCTCATTGACGACTTTGTCGAATGGTGCCAGGAGAATAACCATCTGAAGGAGGACCCATCATCGCCTGGATCCGGCTTCCAGCAGCAGTCCAGCTCGAGTTCTAGCTCCCAGAAGAACATATCCAGCGCGTACCAGACCTCGCACAGTACAAACATGAATTATGGCTAACGAATTGTTACAACCTATTGTATTCTCATTACCGATAGATTTGCTTTTATCTTGATTATTCTAAATAACGGAGATACTAAGCAAGGCCGATAAATTTACATTTTCTCTATAAAAGCGTCGTCATAAATAAATAAAGTTAGTAAATGTACATTTTCCTGTGTTTTTTCGAGCATGGCTGCCAAACAGAAGGAATCTTTTTAACAAATATGGTTTATTTGTTATAAAACATATCTTTAACTTACTTTAATTAATAATGTATTTATTTAAAAAGAGCGTCTTCAAATTCTTTTTTTATTCTAGGCCAAAATCTTATACTCTTGCAATATGTTATCATTTTATTTACAAATTTTTGACACAGATAAGGAGTAATTTTAGCCTTACAAATCATATATATTCCTGATCAGCATAAATAGAAAAGTTGATTTTGCCATTTCCATATCCAGAAAAATGCTGATTTTGTCATATTCTTTGTGCTTGCTTTTTCCAATATATCGGTAAAACCAAAAATAAATATCATATCATATTATTTTGTTAGATAATTATCCAAACTGTATTTTCTACTAATTCGGCATTGTATTCTCAAGTCTCTAATGTTAATTTTATTTATATAACTTATTTATTAAAATAATTTGATGAAATCAGTGCAAAAGTTGGCAGTTCCGTTCACGGGCTCCAAACTACTGAAAATATATCTTGCAAAAGTGTCATCTCTAGCGGTGTGACCGTTCGGCTGGTTGATATTGTTGCAACGATTTTTTCGCTGTTAAAAATATTTAATAATAACCATCGTAGGCGTGCTAGGCACGCTTGTGTGTGATTGTTAGGCACAGCGCCTATACTGTGTATAAAATGTAAGGTGCCAAATCAAGTGTCCCGGGCAATTAAAGTGAAAAATCGCCTTCTTATTTGACACTGACTGGATTGCCATTGCCCCGAGCCGAACCCCCGTCGTAATCGGTGTGCGTGTGTGTGCCTGCCTTTGTGGGTGTGTGTGTGTGTGGGTGGCCCGTATGTCTGTCATGGCTATCGGTGTTTTTGTTGTCGTTGTTGTTGTACTTTCTGGCCATAATTAATTTGGACTCGAAAATCCTTTGCCCTTGGTGCTGGTGCTGGAGTTCTGTGCAATATAAATATAATCAAATCTGAGCAAATAGCGAACGTTGTGTTTGCGAATCCAATTATCATGTGAATAACTCGCGCGTCTCGCCCTCGAGTGGGCGAAATTTAAACAAATACCCCCCCAGACGTGTCTGTGCATATGTGTGTGTGTGTATTAGTGTGGAAATAAATGCCACTAAAACCAAAAAAAAAAAAAATAAATAAATAAAATAAACGAAAACAAACGCGAGCTGATAACCGCACAAGTTCGGACTACGACAACGTCGAGACAACCTCGGAACACCATTTGCGACCGCGAGCAGAACAGCAGCTATAATACCCCCGCATAGCCCCGACCCATTTCCAGCGGCGTGATAGATCCCGATCCCCACAAGCAGATGATAATCCGGTAGATAATTTAGGGGCCCCTTTCTAGAACTGGTAAAGGGTAAGCAAACGGGGCATAAACCTACATAGGAACTCCGGGTAACAAAGCCCTGAAGATATTCAACAGAACAAACATTTTAAAATTTGTAAACTACAATTTATATATAAATCAACACATAGCCTTTGACTTAAATTTAAAAGCTATAATATTTAACATGTCAAGTAATTTTTCTATAATTTCTTCTTTGTAATATAACCTATTTGAACCTGTTTTCTGGTTATTAATTAAATTGATATAATTCTAAAAACATCAATATAAATCGTGGAGATTACATATATCGAAAAATAATATTAAAAAAATGCAGTTAGATAATACAAATAGTTGAAAAATAATATTACTACATACATATGTCAACATATTTTTCATAGATGATAAAAAAATTATTACAAAATAAAAGACTTAAACCATTGATTTTGTAATAATTGGTGTGTTTTAAACCTTTAATTTTGTTTTCATTTTTCACTAGATATATAATTTATTACTAACACAATCTTTATTAAATAAATACAAAAAATTAACTGGAAACGTACACAAACTATATAATACGTACCTAAGAAAACACGAATACTTTTTGAAAAAGTGTACAGCTGATTGAATAATTTATTGATACCGCCACGCCCCTGCTTATACAAAGGCCTTTCTCCGGGTATAATCACAAAACACTCACGACATTCGTTGGATGAAAGCTCCCTTTCAGCTCGAAGTCATTGTTCAGCCTCCGCGGGCACCTGTTCGTTGTGAAAATTCTGGGCTATCTCACCCCGCAGCCAAGTGGGCGAAGGCTTCTGATGTATGTTTTTATACATATGTATGTATGTATATATGTAGATGTAATACATATCAATTTATTTCCATTCCACTTTAAACAGATTTATTTATTTATATTGCCCCTTTTTTTTGCATTTCGGCTCGTGCAAAGTGACAACTCAACGAGATTAATTAGCTGAGGGGGGTTGGTTTGTGTGTGAAAGCAATTGCCAAGTGTCTGGGCATCGTCAGCGGGGCAGGAACTGAACTGGGAAACGCTTTGCCATTCGTATGCTAATTAATTTTCCCTTATTGCAGCCGCCGCCGACGACAATAACGCCATGTCCAAGACCTGTAGCAACAACGCTCGGGAGATTAACAACAACAACATGCGGGGAGTCGCCTGCTAATAGATCCCAGATCTGAGAGAACGAAGCCCAAGCCCGAGATCATGAGCCAGCGCCAGGAGGGAGCTGCAGCTACCGCTGCCGCTGCTTCAGCAGCAACATCGTCATCTTCAACATCATCGTCATCGTCCCATTCAGTTAGCGCCGTTCTGGGCAGCAAGATATCCACCTCTACGCCACAGAAGGGGGATGAGCAGCAGGAGCAGGAGTTTATCAACCGGAGTGTGGCCAGCGAGATCGACGCCATGTCGATATCTGGCTCTGCGTCCGCCGACAGTAGCACCACCAGTGGCACCACTACCACTTCAGCTGCTGCTGGCGCTTCGGGCAGTCCGGTGGCCAAGCGGCATTTGAGCACGGCCAATTTATCGCGGATACGTCCGCAGTCGAGCTACTCGGCGCGCGTTCTCATCTTCGACGACTCCGATCAGGAGGCAGCTATGGCGGCTGCCGCTTTGGCCGCAGCCTCATCCTCCTGCAACAGCAGTGTAAAGTCCTGCAGTGGCCTCGAGCTGCTGCCCATGTCACCAGCTAAGCTGTCTATTGGACACAATGACAGCTCAGTGAATGGCTCATCGATGATGCGCAATTTGAATCTAACCAAGAGCTCATCGGGCGGTCTGTCTGGAAGTTCCACATCGCTGCACTCTCGAGGATATACGGCCTTGCTGCGAAAGATTTCCTATCAGCAGCACACCAACTCGCTGCGAGCAGTCAGCAGCGGTAAGAGTTATATGTACACATTTGCTAGAACTATATATTGTCATAATAATTGTTAGAGTACTCACAGACTCTCAACTTAGGAATTTTCGGTTTTATTTTTGAAATCATTCAATAACGACAATATTATTACGATATAAGCGTGAACAACGCATGTTTGCGGGCTATTTTTAACGCTGTTACAGATAAAGGCGTGACAACAGACTTCATTATGTGTATTTCGAATTAGCATCTGTATAATATCTATATCTATATGGCTGTTTCGATCATCCATCATTCGTCTGTCGGGCTGTTAATTTAAATACTAAAGATACAAAATATTAAGAATAACTTATTATTAAATAAATATTTTTGACATTATAATTTCCACTTGCAGAAGCCTCCAATTTGCTGCGCATGCGCCACTCCTCGCTGGGCAAGTCAGCACCTTGTCTCACTGGCAACTATTTCCGCCACGAACTGTCTGCCCCACCGCCGCCACCGATTCTGGCTCCTGGCTCAACCATGGGTCAGCACAACATCTCGCGATCGGGCAGCTGTGCGGGCATCGGTCTGGGTGGTAAGCATCATCATCATCATTTGCACGGCGTCGTGATGCGGGGCTCTGGAGGTGGAGGTGGTGCTAATGCTGGCAACACCTCGTCATCGAGCGGTGTGGCTCATCATCGCCTCAGCTTGGTAACGAATGCGGCTGCAGTGGCAGCTGCAGCGGCCGGCGGTTCGAGAGCCCATTCCCCATACTCGGCCAGTCCCATGGACAGTCCGCGCCTCAACTCGCCCATGCCATTTGCATTTGCTCCGATCAAAAGGATAGCCTCCTGCCGTGGCGTTGTGGATGGACGCCGATGGTCGGTGGCCTCATTGCCATCCTCTGGCTATGGCACCACACCGGGTAGCTCCAATTTATCGGTGAGTTTCAGGAATTTTACAGAAAAATAAATAATAATAATGTTGGGTCTCTCTGCCACACAGTCTCAGTGCTCCAGTCAGGAGGGTCTCAACCAATTGCCGTCGCACAACAACATTCCGCCCGGCGTTCAGGAGGCGGATGCCGCTGCCGTGGCCGCTGGCGCCTGCTGTGCCGAGCACCTTAAGCAGCACTGTCCCAAGCACTGTGCTCTGCTACTGGCAGTGTCTCAGAAGCAGCCACAGCCACCGAAGCCCGTTCAGCCACAGAAACTAATTCCACCGGCGGCGGCGCCGGCGGCGTCTTGTGTCAATTGCTGTGCCGAACTGAGCCTCGCCTGCGGTGGGCAACAGCAACAACATACTGGTGGAGGATCTGCCAACAGCTCCGCCTCGACAAGTGCAATGCCCGGTGGGGGACGGATGTCGCCATACTTTCGCCCACGCTCCAGGTCGCTGTCCAGCCCATCACGGTCGCCGATTGTGGACAATGAGATTGCTGTCATGAACACATTGTACAAGGAACGCTTTCCGAAGGCCACGCAGCAAATGGAGGAGCGACTGAAGCACTTCATCAACGAGAACAAGAGTGCAGCATGTAATAGCTTTCGGGACTCTCAGCCGATAGTTCGGTGGGTGTACTTTTCGCTTATACAGAACTTGAATTTACATTTAATTAAATTCGACTACCCCCTTTAGGTTCGTGCACCACCAAGTGCTGGAAATGGCCAGGGATTGTTTGCACAAATCGGAGGCCAAGCTGATAACCTCGCAGTATTTCTACGAGCTGAGCGAGAATCTGGAGCGTTTGCTGGTGGAGACCAAGGAGAAGTCACCGGAGGCAGCCGCCGAGCTGAGCGGTGTGATCAAGAAGCTATTGCTGATTATTTCGCGACCGGCTCGGTTGCTGGAATGCCTAGAATTTGATCCGCAGGAGTTCTACGAGCTTTTGGAAGCAGCAGAAGGTCAGGCCAAGGCCATGCCGGTGATCAAGGCGGACATACCGCAGTATATTATCCATAAGCTTGGCCTAAACCGGGATCCCATTGCCGAGTTGCAGCAAGAGTTGCGGGAGACTCAGCAGATGTGCTCGGAACAGGTCACCGTGATGGCAGATCCCACGCAGCCAGGCGGAAGTTGTTTGCTCCTCAATTCGCCCCTGACGAGTGCAGCCAAGCAGTTGAGTAGCCTCGCTCTGGATTCAATTGCTTTGGATGCAGGAAGTGGAACAGCAACGCCCCAACAGCCACCCCAGACGCCAGTGGCAACGGGTGACACGGCTCCCTCCTTTGCCATGGCCGTTGGTCAACTAAGTGAGGAGAAGGCAGGAACAAGCAGTAGTAGCAGTGGAACTGGGCCGGGCGCCAGTGCTGGAGGATTAACAGGAGCGCCCGCCCAACAGCAGCAACAACCCTCACCCCACGAAAACGACTTTGACATCGTCAAGCTGATCTCAAATGGTGCCTACGGAGCCGTCTACCTAGTGAAGCACAAAACCACCCGTCAGCGCTTCGCTATGAAGAAAATCAACAAGAATAATCTCATCCTGCGCAACCAGGTGGAACAGGTGTTCGCCGAGCGCGACATCCTCTCGTTCGCGGACAATCCCTTTGTGGTCAGCATGTACTGCTCGTTCGAGACGAAGAAGCACCTCTGCCTGGTGATGGAGTACGTGGAGGGCGGCGACTGTGGCACGCTGCTCAAGAATATCGGTCCGCTGCCCGCGGACATGGCGCGCTTCTATTTTGCCGAAACAGTATTAGCCGTGGAGTATCTGCACAGCTACGGCATTGTCCATCGCGACCTTAAGCCGGATAACCTTCTAATTACGGCCCTGGGTCACATTAAGCTCACCGACTTTGGCCTCTCCAAGATGGGTCTCATGTCGCTGGCCACGAATCTGTACGAGGGATATATTGACTCGGAGACGAGACAGTTTTCCGACAAGCAGGTGAGGAATTTAACCCACTTATCACTGGGCAAGAAGGATTCTTCTTAATTTATTAAGTTATATAGAAGCTAACTATAAATATTCCCTTTCAAGGTTTATGGTACTCCCGAGTACATTGCTCCAGAGGTTATCTTACGCCAGGGCTATGGCAAGCCAGTCGATTGGTGGTCCATGGGCATCATTCTCTACGAGTTCCTCATCGGTTGTGTGCCCTTTTTTGGTGAGACAACCGAGGAACTCTTTGCGCACACCGTCAACGATGACATCGAGTGGCCGGACAGCGAGGATTGGCCGGTGCAAACGGAGGCGAAGGACATCATTTCACAGCTGTTGCAGCAGAATCCCCGTGATCGTTTGGGCACTCAAACGGGTGCCCTGGAGATGAAGGAGCACGAATACTTTTTGGGCATGGACTGGAACTCACTGCTGCGTCAGAAGGCGGAATTCGTGCCACAATTATCCCACGAGGATGATACCAGTTACTTTGATAGTAAGTATTTTCTATTCACTGGCTACGTAACTGCAACTTGCTTGCTCAAACAGCTCGCATGGATCGCTATAATCATGATCTTGGTGGTGAGGACACGGACGATACGGATGACACACCCGTTTTTGGCAGCTTCAACTCATACACGCCGCAATATAGAAAGCAGCATTACAGTTGGTCGCGACATGCCACACCTCCAACGGCCACTGATGGAACCAGGCCACCACCCCTTACATCTGTGCCATCGCGTGCACAGGAGAATCCCTTACCCATCCCGGGAGTCTCTTCAACTGGAGCCATGCCTAAGCTTAAAACAGGCCTGGCAACAGGAAGCGGTAACAGCAGCAGCAGAGGTTCTGGTTCCAACGAGGGAGTGGTCAACAAATTCCTGAATACGCCGCAGTTGCGTAAGCTGGATGTGAGTATTGCCTTTGGTTCTGGTGTCTTCTTTATTCTTACAACCCCTTTGTGTCCACAGCTCTCATCCAGCTGCCTGAAAGTGCCCTCCACCCCGGATGCCGATTACTTGCCCGAGCTCTTGCATAATGTCACCATTGGCAATGATGCAGAGCTGCGCATGCTGAAACATTATCTGCAGCAGCCAACTCAGGGGCCACCACAGCGTCTGCAGCAGCGCCACAGCATGCCACCCAATACCACCACGATTATAAGCACACCGTCTACTCCGCCACCATTTCAAACACAGGCCGTCATGGTGGCCACACCGCCGCCGCCAACAGCCAGCAGCTTCTCGCGCAGCACACCTGAAAGCTCGCAAACGGACAGCGATGACTTCTCGCCGCAAATTAACCGAAAGCGAAAGGGTGTCTGCGCACGGGACATTTTGCCACGCTTTTCCATCTCCATTGAAGATGAAACCATTTCCGCCGGCAGCTCCTCCACGGAGAACATGAACTTGCCAAGGGAACAATCTCCGCTGGCTCTGCAGCATCAGCCTAAGTCCATGGACGGCACCAGTAGCGGCAGCATGAAGCACCATCGGTCCCGGTCGATCGTAAAATCGGCCTCCGCCTTGGGTCTCTCCCTGATGACATCGCTGGACAACAGTCAATTGGCCGCTCAACTATGCGGCATCCAATCTCCGGGCGGCGGTGGCAACGGCTCTAGCACAGCCAGCTCCAGGGATACCTCGCCGTGTCGTGAGCTCTCCCCCTTGGTGACCAATCTGAAGCCACCGATCATCATTCGACGAGGACCACGTGGCTTTGGCTTCACGGTGCATACCATACGGGTGTACTACGGCGACACAGACTTCTATACGATGCACCATTTGGTTATGGCCGTGGACGAGGGCAGTCCGGCCTTCGAGGCAGGCTTGCGGCCGGCGGATCTCATTACCCATGTGAATGGGGAGGCAGTGCAGGGTCTGTTCCACACGCAGGTTCTGCAGCTACTACTGAGTGGCGGTGAGCATGTTACACTAAGGGCCACGCCGCTCGAGCACACCAGCATCCAGAGCGGTGGACGAAAACGGGATCTCATGCAGAGCAAGCTAGCCAAGAAGGGGCTGAATCGTCAGAAGAAGCAGACGAAGCGGGAGCACGATAAGAAGCGCAAAACTTCGCTGTTCCGCAGGATTAGTAGCAAGCGTGCCAATGCGGAGATGCAGCAGGTAGAGTCTAGGATAAGATTTTAGTTATAGTTATTAATAATTTAATTATCAATTTCTTGTTTAGTTCTCCGCGGGTACCAGTTCACCCACCACTCCCTCGGCCAGGAATCTGTCGCCCCTGGACTCTTCGTATCACAGCAGCAGCTGCTGCCAGTCAGCAGCCAACTCGGCCTCCTCGCAATCCACCTCGCCCTCATCGTCATCTCCCAACACACCCACCGGTTCGAGTGGCTCTAATGCAGGAGCAGCTCCCGCTCCCTTGGCTCCCTCATCTCTCATTGTGGCTGCCCCACCGCCAACGCAGGTGGTGCTCCTACCCCATGTGGGAGCCGTCGTTGGGAGTAGTCCCACCTCAGTGGGCAATGTGCCAGGTTAGAGGCCAATGCGATTACTTTAAATAGTTTCAAGTTTGTATATAACATCTTCTTTATGCATTCAGTGTCACCCACTGGCGTCGTTCCGCAACTGTATCAGCGTCCATCGACCCTACATGGTCTCAAGCACAAGCTGCACGCAGCCACCGCCGTGATTGCAGGTGGCGGTGGCAATGCCAGCAATCCCGCCGGAGGGTTGAAGACCCTTCATACCACAAGTAACAATTCGCTGCCCAACCGCCGGAAGTCAGTGGGTCACATCCCGCTGTCGCCGTTGGCACGAACTCCATCACCTTCGCCGCTGCCGTCGTCGCCCACAAGATCTCCATCGCCCTTGGCCTTTCCATTAGTTGGACATCAGCCAGGTGCCTCGAACACCACACAGTCTTACAGTCCGGGCAGCACCCTGCCCACACTGCAAACGGGAGCGGTGAGTGCTAACAGCAAGAAGGGCGGGTTCGCTCGGACAAAGTCAGCAGAACCCAGTTCGCCGCTGCTGAGGAGAGCCTTGTCTCCGGATCGACTGCATCCGCGCAGTGCGGAGACAAAGATATCACCACTCTGCTGCTCGCCGCCAATTAAGCAGCCAACACACACACAGCGCGTGGTGGCTACCACTTGGCGGTCAACGCCAGGCTCCAATGGAGGAGCAGGGAGCACAGCTCAACCGCCACAACAGCAGCAGCAAGTGGTGACGGCATCAGCACCGCCTGAGGAATCTCAGCGGCAAACCCAGGGGGAAACAGCCGCCACGACTGCCACAGAGGTCACTCTGGCCAACTGTGAGCCATTGCCACGCATTGCCGAGGAAAAGGACTCGCCCACCAGCAGCACTCAGGACAACATCAGCTGCATATCCGAGGGATTCATGCCAGCCATCGAGGAGTATGCCGAGGGTGAGTCCACATCGTCATCGCCAACGCAAACACTGGAGAAGCCGACAAAGGTGAAGGCCACCGAGCAGCCAGAGATGGAGCCAGCTGGCAAGGCCAAGAAGATAGATCTAGGTGAGAGTTTGAACACTTAAAATTTAAGGAAACTTTAAATATATATTGTTTGCTTCACAGGAAAGCCCACATCCAAAGCCAAGCCTCCGAACATCAGTGGCTGCAAGACTTCGATGACAACGACAAAGCCTGCCAGTCCCAGCGTGACCATTACCACGGGACCACGCAAGGACTCGACGGGTGGAACTGCAACAGCATCAGCCCCAACAGCAGCCACTTCTGCTGCCAAGCAGAGGAAGTAGCGCCAGTGCAGCAGCCGCCGTGATGGATACGGATGCTTGTGCTTTAAGTTCCGCGTTTAAATATTTCAACTTGGATGTTCTTTGGAGACAAAGGATAAAGTGGAAGGAAAGAAGGAGGCAGCCGCAGGAATTCAATATATATATATATAATTACATATAACAAGGGATTGCGTTTTAAACTCCTTTTTCTTCGATGTAAGCTTGCTTTTACACAACTCTAGCAATGCAAATTAATTAGAGAATTCTTAAAACCCAGTAGCTTGTAGCATGTCAAAACTAAAACCTAAAACATAAAGGAAAATCGCTTGAAAAACAAAAAAACAATTCTTAGTGTAAATTATAGTAGGCACGAGACAAAACGAACACGATATTCCAGTTGAAGCAAATCCAAGAGGCACCCACGCAATTATGTACTGTATATAAATGTGAAACATTGATAGAATATTAACGAATTGTGGACTACGGATAAGAAACGAAGTCTGTCTAAAGAAGGAAGAGTAGAAGCAGGAGGAGCAGAGTCATTTGGAGCGGAATGCGCCCAGTCGTGTCTCGTTTATAACATTTTTTGCGAATCTATACACTATGCCGAGAATGCAATATAAAATCTATATTAAATAAATGTGTTATATATGTGTGTGTGTATTAAAAAACAAGATTTTTAAATTTCTGGACTAAAGGGAATATTTAGTTTTCAAAAAGCGCTATAGTTTTAACATATTTCCCCATTTGTTCAACATTTTCTTATTACCTTTTATATCTATAAGCCATTATTATAATTATTCACCATCAACAGCAGTGTCGATCTAGCCACGTCCAGTAGAAAAGTGTAACTCATTTTTCTTTTTTAATTAAAGTTTTTAATTACAAACTCAAAACTATGCCGAAATTAGCTCCGCTCTTGTAGTATTATAATTTCAGTCATAAGCTTAAAAATCAGTGAAGGAATCATTTCCGACCCCATAAATTATATATATTCTTGATCAGCATCAACATCCGAGTCGATGTAACCATTTCCGGTCGAAAATAAAATTTACAAATTTTTAAAATTTTTCAAAAAGTTTATAAGAGGTTACATTGTTCAAATTGTAAAAAAAAATGGATAAAAATTAAAATTTTCTAAAATTATAAATTGAGTATGCAGATTTATTAATATAATAATTTATAAGCATTCCGAATTGAAATTAATGTACTTTTGGCCTCTTTACGATGATTTGCTTAATTAAACTGCATGGGTATACAAACTTCGGCTTCCCGATGTAAGCTTATTTTTTCCTATTTATTGTTTTTTATTTTTATTATTATTTATACTTTATTATTATTAATACATTTCGAACCCTATATGGAAACTTAGCGGGGTTTTATTTTATGTGTTGGTTAATTCTTTAATTAATTCTTTCTTTCAATTAATATTAATTATTAATTAACTCCATAATTCCCAAGGAACATATTATATGCATAAGGGGGAAATGGATTTTAAATTAAATTTCCAGAGGCTTTCTTACCGCTTATTGATCCCTTTTCTCTAAGCCCCTGACGATAGGTCTAAGGCAACAGTGTTATCGCTGTTATCGATAAATGTAAATTTTGCCAGCTGTGCAATTGCGCTTGTGGCCGCGTTTACTTTATCTTCAAATTGTTTATTTTACGCAAATATGCTGCCCAAACTGAAGATTTCCGCATTCCTACTTAAGGTAAGGCCTCAACAATATCCTAGATCGAGGATTCTTAATCTGAAGCTTTCCGATTTTAGCGTTTGGAGCGAACAAAGCAACAGTGCAGTGGCTGTTTGTATGGAGTTTTCTACGGTGACGGGACATTACTCCTTTTGAGTTTCAACATTGAGTCCAGTTTGGGCCAGTTGAACTATGAGCAAATCCAGCACAGATTCCCAGCGGAGCTGGATCTCTGTGGTTTGGTCAAATTCGGCGACTGCAGCGACGGCGAGGCGCACCTTAATGAGGTCATCAAATCAGTGGATATTACGGACAATCCCATCTTGTTGCAGTGCCAGCTGGGCACTTTGGTGGGCATGAGAGCCTCATTCTTTGTACACGGCAAGCTAGAGGAGGTGCCCTACGAGGTGATGGAGGCCGAGCAGCTGTACAGCGACTTCTGCTTCACCCGGCTGCAGTGCGGCTTCTACCTGCAAACCGCGCCAACCCCCGAGTCCGTGGCACGGGAGATGCATGTGCTGCGCAAGCGGGTGGCCGATGGCACCCTGGTCTTTAATGTGCCGCAAACCAAGATCTTTATCAGCAGCTGTGGTCCGCTAGACACGCGGTTTACCGGTGGTGAATCGCAGATCCAGGATCTAATTGACGCCATTCCCAATCCCGGGCAGCCCGAGAAGGAGAACGAGAAAAAGAAGCCGTCGAAGGCGAGCCAGAATGCTGCGCCAGCGAAGCACCTGGCCCCCACTGGCTGTGACTACGAAGTGATTCCCATCGATGTGATGCGCTGTCGCAGCCGTGACCCCGTGGCTCGAAACTCACCGCCACATCCGGCTCTCAGCATTGCTGTGACCACCGAAGAGCAGACCCGTGTCCAGGTGCCATTGGAGATAGAAGCCATGGCCATTCTGTGCAGAAAGACCAAGCTGCAGCGGCTGTACGACGTCCTCATCGAGAGCATCTGTCGGGCCCTGCGGTTATTCGAGTTGAGCCTAATCGAACACCTCACCGAAACGGAGAGTGGCAAGCTGCTGGTGCCGGTGAGCTATCACTTCTATCCCCAGGAGTTTGGACACTTCGTGAGCTGCGCGTATCTTGAGGATCTGGGTGACGACGACCCGAACATGCAGGAGAGACGCAAGCGTCTCCACCGGCAGTTCGCCCTGCCTGTTAGCCGTCCCTATTTCCGCAGGGCAAACCAGATGCGATTCCTGGTGGAAGCGGAGGATGCTCCGTGGGCCCCACTGATGAACACCCACATTGGAGTCCGGCCCAGCGGCGTGACCGATGGCAAGGAGTACTTAGTGAATGGAAACTACCACTACTACCACTACCTGCAGCAACAGGTGCAGGATAAGGGATGGGGCTGCGCATACCGCTCCCTGCAGACGATCTGCTCCTGGTTCGTCCTGCAGGGTTATACGAACGCACCGATACCGACACACTTGGAGGTGCAGGAATATCTGCACAAGATCAACGACAAGCCGGCCGCCTTTGTGGGCTCCTCCCAGTGGATTGGCTCGACAGAGATCAGCATGTGCCTGCAGGGATTCCTCAACGTTGACTCCAAGATCCTGCATGTGGCCTCTGGTGCGGAATTGGCCACCATTGCCTCTGAGCTGGCCATGCATTTCCAGACGCAGGGCACCCCAGTGATGATCGGCGGCGGTGTGCTGGCCCACACCATTATCGGCGTGGACTATTGCGTGCAGACGGGTCAGGTGAAGTTTTTGATTCTGGATCCTCATTACACAGGTGCAGATGATCTGGCTACCATTCAAATTAAGGGCTGGTGCGGCTGGAAGGGCATGGATTTCTGGACTAAGGGCAGCTACTACAATCTTTGCATGCCCCAAAGGCCGATTTTGTATTAAGTCCTTCCCGGGGAAGAGGGTTATACGTTTCCAATGACACTCTTAGGTAGGATGGGGTCGATATATGTCTACTTTTTAAGAAATATCCCAAGGAGTTCGTGAACAACCCATAGTTTGGTCTTCGGTTGAGTGTTCTCTCTTTCAAAAGGAATTTATTGAGAGATTTTCTTTAATTATAATTGAAGATGTTTAAGTTTAAAAGCAAAAAAAAGGTCAGCTGTCATTTGTACATAAAATTATTTGAGCGAAATATTTATTTTTGTATTTAGTTTCATTTTTTCTTAAGTAAACTTAATTTCCGAGCCTCTTTTACAAGGCAAGAGTTATAAGTTTGCATGAAACCCAGTTAGAGGGACTTTATAGATCAGCTTTTTGGCTCCTGAGGTATTCCTAACCAGATCTTATACACAGAAATCGAACCCAGCTTAAAGTACTAGCTTTAATGTGGTCTCTTTGCGTGTAATTTCTTTCCATATTTCTCTCTGTTTTAATTACTGCAATAAATTAAATGCTAGCTTATATATCATACGAATTAGACACCACTCTTTGAGTACTTCTTCCAGTACCGCTTGACGTCGTCATGGCCATTCTTCTGGACGACCATGGTACGCGTTCGTTCGTTCTGCCACACCAGAACATGGATCGACTGGGCGTAGTCACGCAGCGTTACAAAGTCGGTTTGAGACAGGAACTGATTATAGACAACGCCCTCCGTGTAGGTGAAGCGATTGCGCTCCATTTCCCACAGCTTGATCTGATCGACGACCGTCGGTGGCAGGCAGGATTTCGACTGAATGGCTGACTCGACCAATCGCATGTTGGGATGCGCATATTGCTCCAGATACGAGACAATCTGCTCCGCTGTGATGCCACCACGCAACGCCTGGCGCACCGAATCGCGGGTTAGCACGCCCACGACGAGATTGGGGAAGCGGTAGAGAAGCTGCGTAAACAGACCGAGGACAGCCACCTGAAGTGGGGAATCCGTGTAGGCGTACACACGGTAATTAGTCTCCACAACGATGTAGCCAGAGTCCTGGACGCCCTCCTCCTCATTGGTGGCCACTGTAGCGGTGGCCGCTGCCTCCTTGCTGGTCACATTCAGGGCCAAGCGGGTGGGATAGAAGCGTCCCTCCTTGCGTTTCCGCTGGAAGACCAACCCAAACTCTCTTAGATGCTGCAGGAAGGTCAACATCTGATTGTTCATGCCCTCCGAGCTGTAGTCCCGTCCCAAAGTGGAGAAGCTCAGCTGGAACAGCATGGAGAGGCATTCGGGCAGAGAGATGCCTCGCTCCTCGCACGTGTCCAGATACTGGAGCATAAAGTGCCACACCTGCGCCCGTGTATCCAGCAGCAGGAACTGAAATCCTTGCCTGGTAATAGTGATTCCATCCCGGTCATCACGCTTCATCAGATTGGCATGCAGCAGAATCCGCACAGCATCCGGACTAATTGCCTCCGCATCGGTGCCGTTGCGATTTCCCGTTCCCACCATGTAGTGGAGGACACAGCGCCAGCGAGACATGGCATAGGTATCTAGGAAGGCAATGTCCCTGGGCTTGGAGTCCTTCTCTAGCGTGTTAGTCATGGGCCACGGTTTTCCACCGCCGAGCAGCACTTGGCGCACGCTCTTCTTAAACGTGGGCGAAAGTTCCCAGGCTGTGAGGCCTCCGGGAATAGCGGTAACCCGCCAGACATTCAACGCTGTCAAGCAGCTTGTGGCCTCCGATTGATCCCTGTAGAAACAGATTTAGTAGAATTCTTCCAAGTATTGCAAGAGATCGATCTCACTTGGCAAAACGTTGTGCACCCCAGGATGTGACTACCGCCTGCGGCACTGGTTGATCCACAAACAGAATGCGTATGATAAACTGCCTAGCCAGCTCGGGCAGCTCCCGGAAGACGGCCAAGCAGATCGGCGGATAGTTGTATAGCTTCTCCAGAGTCTCCGGCGTTTGCCGGGTGCGCAGATACTCCTGAAAGTCCTTGCACTCCAGGTTCTCCGGTCCCTGCACCAGGGGAGTAAGCCCACTGGTGCCACTGCCACTGGCCGCTGCATGGCGTCCAGATTTCGTGTCGGCCATGGCGCACACACCGTCCCCAAAATAAATTTGTAAACAAAAGAAGGGCAGCGATAATCGGTTTTACTTTTGTGCCGGTGCCGGTCACCTATCGATAGTTTTGAGATGGCCCACAGGCACTGCGATTTGACATATGACATCGAAATTAAAAAGTTACATAAAATCACGTAAAACCACGTTAATAACTTAATTAATGTCATTAAATTAAATATCTATATTTTAATATACATCCAATATTGTGCCTACCGTTGAATTGACAAACGATAGTTTTTATTATCGATAACAATCCAGCTGTTGCCTTGCACACGTGCGCTGTGAATTCACTCGTTTATTATTGTTGAATTTAGCCAATAATTTAACCTAATCATGAGTGACGATGAGGAGCAATACGATCCAAAGGCACACAAAAAGCTGCTGCAGGCCATCGGCAGTCTGGGCAACGTGCAGCACATCCAGAAGTCAACGCGCGACGAGCGTCAGACCCGCCAAGATGAGTTCCAGCTGGTGAAGAGCGTGTCGTCGTCCGCAACTGATCGGGCTCCCAGGGCGGTGGGTCTCAACGACTTGGTGCAGATCCTTCGCACCTCTACCAAGCACAGCCAGACAGGCAAGAAGCTTAAGAATGTTCAGAGCACCAAAAAGGTGCTGGAGAAGCCACTAGAGAAGCCAGCAGCGGATCGCATTAAGCGAACCATTGGCTACGAGGGAGTGACCAAGAAGCTGGGCCGCTGGGACGCTGTGGTGGCCCAACAGCGATCGGCAGAGACGCAGGTCTTTCCCATGAAAACTGATACGATTTACGTAAACACTGCGGCAAATGCGCGTCCGCTGAAAACAAGCCTTAAATCAGAACTTGCCAAGGAGCTCGAGGACAGCAACCTCAAGCTGCGTGAGCTACGCAAAGCGCAAATTGGTGACACCACGGATGAGAAGGCACTGGCCAAAAAGGAGAGCCAGCTACTGCAAAAGAAACTCACTAGGGATGAGCTCTTCGCCCGCCGCAAGGAGTTGGCCTACCTGAAAATGCGCGAGTCCCAGAAGTCAGCCAAGGAGCGCATGCAAAACAAAATTAAGTCCAAGAAGTATCACAAACTGCAGAAGCGCCAAAAGATGCTGGAGCAGATGAAGGAGTTCGAGCTTTTGCAGAAAACAAACCCAGAAGCGGCTCTCGAAAAGCTGAATGCCCTGGAGAAGAGTCGTGTGCAGGAACGAGCCAGCCTGCGACATAAGAACACCGGTACCTGGGCCAAGAATCTTCAGGTCCGAGCCAAATACGACAAGGATGTGCGTAAGGATCTGGCTGAGCAATTGGCTGTTAGCAGGGAGTTAACACAGAAGAAGCAGGAGTCTGACAGCGAGGACGAGTCGAGTAGGAAGCGAGTGGCTTTGGAAGAGGAAAACCAGGAAGACTACGACCCCTTTAATCCCTGGACAAAGCGAAAGGCTGCGGATAACACGGAAAGCAATGGCAACGGTGATGATGAAGGTGGCAATTGGCGACAATATTGGACGAACCGAAATCACAATGAGAAGTTATTAGAAGAACATCGTAGAGACATGGAAGAAGAGGAGGAAAGTCAGGAAGATGAAAATCAGGACTTACCTAAAGAGGATGAAAAGCCAAAAGCAAAGCCTGCTAAGAAAATAGTTAAAAAATCAAAGGTTAAAATAGAAAATGGCTGGACAGTGGAAGAAGTTGAACCCAGTGTCGCCTCCGAAAGTCAATCAAAGGAGCAAACCCGAAGCATTGATGACATCTTCGAGAAACACGACGACCAGATGAGAGCCAAGCTAACCAAGAAGCTGGAGAAGCTGAAGCAACGTGTAGATAAGCTCAAGGCAGCTCCTGCCAAAGGCAAAAAGGCGAAAAAGAAAAAGGATGCACTGAAGAATCTGAAAGATCTGGAACTAAAAAAGACCAATCAGCGGGTGGAAATTGATGAGCCTTTGAATTATGGAGACGAAACGGAAGAGCAGTCCCAGAAAATAACTCCCCCCGTTGAGGAGAGTAAGGAAACCCCACCGGCAATAGTGGACACTGTAGATCCCAATAAGGTGACCACTCTGGTGTTCACCCAAAAGAAGACCAGTCGTTCAGCCGGTGGCATCGGTGATGCTCTGATGGATGATGATGAGGCGGACTATGATGATGAAGACGATGCGGCGGCAGCCGAACATCAGCTAACTGTTAGTCAGGCCTTCGAGGACGATGACATTGTGGCCGACTTTAATCGAGACAAAACCAAGGACTCGGAACTAAAGAACACAGAGCTGCAGCTGTTCATGCCGGGCTGGGGTTCCTGGGCTGGTGCTGGCATTTCCAAGGAGGTGGTCGAACGGCGCAACAAGCGACTTCTCCTGAAGCTAGCTGCGCCGGAGAAGCGTCGCGATGACAACAAGGACAACCTCTATGTGAACGAGAAGAGCTGCAAGAAGGCACGCGAGCACAAGGTCTCCAGTCTACCATTTCCCTTCCGATCCGTGGCCGACTACGAAGCCAGTATCCGGGCACCCATTGGCCGCAACTTTGTGCCGGAAACGGCCTTCCGGATGCTAACCCGACCCTCGGTCATCACACTCAAGGGCCAGGTCATCGAGCCGATGAACGAGAGCGAGCTGGTCAAGCCGGATAGACGTTTGCGCCACATTGTAGACAAGAGGATACAGCGCATACCGAAAGTGCCGCCCAAGCAGTCGAAAGCTAAGAACTAGAATGTAAATACGGGAATAAATTTCTTTAAAACTTTAAGAGAGTGAAGTGGCTTAATTATGGATTTCTTTTTAAATTAAAAATGATATTCTAAGCACAAAATTAAAATTTGAACTTCGCTACATTTTGAATTAGAAACCCGTAACTATCATAAACAATTATCGATATATCGATACTACTAGAAATCGGTTCGTCGGTATCGCAAGCACATTTTGCAAAAATAAATTTCCATAAACTGTTTAACTTCTTGGATAACCATTCGCTGGGGAGATGTACGAACTGAAGACCTTGCTGCCCCAATTCGACATTAAGTTGCCCACCTGCATGTACGCCCTGAAGAACGTGAGCCTGGCGGCGGATGCCCTGTCACCAACTGCGTCCACATCATCATCATCATCAACATGCGTAAGTTGTGAACTTGGAATTGCCGCCTGTCCTGGGTATCGCTGGCTAATTGAGGAGAGTAAACATCGAATATCAACATCAATGCCATCCCATTCCATTCCCGCATGTGTGATCTTTGCCAGAGATGGGAGGAGAGCAGCAGCTGGAGCCACAAAACAAGCGGTAGCGGGAGCGGGAAGGCTGCCACATGCGCACTCGATTTGGACACTTTAGGCCGACAAATACAACAACTGCTAAAGGTTAAGACCACCAACAACAACAGCAAGAACCCACTACTAAATACGAAATTCTATTTATAAAACCATCGACTAACAAAGAATGAATATGTGCATCCACGCTCCGATTTGTGTGTTGCTTGCTCTGTTCTCGAGTGGTCCAGATGACCTTGGACACCCGTGGACGCCGTTTGCCATTTAAAGACAACACCTCTTTCTTCTTAACTTGCAGGATGACACGGCAACAGTGGCCGCCCGACAGGAGAAAGTGTTGAAGCAGCTGGAGGAGCTCAAGGCGCAGCTGGGACAGATCAGAGCCGGTCTAGGAGTGTGTGGCAAGACCTACCAGCATACGACGGCCTTCCAGAATGGTGGACTAAAGGAGGTTAGAATAGGTTGGCTTCTGTTCAATTTTACGGGTTACTTATAGCATTTCAAGTATAGATACCACTCCAGGACGTTGTGATCAATGGCCATCCCAATTTTATACCTTACGCTCTGTTGGCCCTGAAGAATGCCTGGCGGGATCTGTACACAATCGATGTCAAGACCTTCACGCACTCCACGATGGCCGATATTGGCCCAGCAGCCCGAGAGTTCGAGGCCAATTTGGCCAAGGTACCAGTGAATCCGGCCCTGCCCAAAATAAATGTGACGCTCATCTGGAAGAACTGTAAGTGGATTTATTGGTATAATCTTAAAGGATTTATAGATAACTACTATAATTACAGGCGAACATACTGAGATGATCAGCTCGCCGACCATGTACGTGCCCATTTACGGCGAGGTGAACATCATCCGCTACTTGGGTCGCGTTGGTCCTGCCGAATACCGCTACGAAGGCTCCGCGCTGTGCAATGAGATCGATCTCGTTCTGGACATTTGCTATCAGCTTTTGCGTTGCAACACGCACAAAACACAAGTGGCAATGGTGCGTCTGTTGGACAAGCGACTGCAACAGCAGCAGTATTTCGGCGGCAGCCAAATGTCAGTGGCCGATATCGGAGTTTACAGCTCGCTGATACGAATGCCGGCCATTACCGACAAGGATTTGACGCCAGCGCTGCTGGCCTGGCGAAAGCGGGCAAAGCTCGTGGCACAAATTTAAGTTACAAAACAAAACCGAACAAAATAAATTAAAGAAATGCTTCAAGGGAATATAAGCTGACACTAATATTTTCATAGTTCTGAGGAGTTTTTAAGCTCCAATCGATTGTAAATTTCCCCCCAATATATATTTCAAGATCCTCGTGTTTTTCCGTAATTTTATTTGGCTTATTTATCTTTGTTGCAAACTCTGTTCTGTTTTATACAATGCGTGGCTCTCTCATGTATCTATATTGCAATTGTTGGTTTCTCATTAACTTACACTCTTTGTGGATTTTGCACTTAAAAATGGCTTAATGGCTAGGTTTTTATATTTGCTTATATTTTTTGAAATCCATTGATTGTTCTCTATGTTGGTTTATGGATGAACTTCACTCAGCACGAACGATAGGATGTTGTAGAGTTTTTTCTCTCATATAAATGGGTTTCATATATAATATTTAAATGTTAATTTATACCTAGTACATATGCTGCATATATGTATATATATATATCATGTATATGGGTAATCAATTTCTGTGTCATTATTAGCTGCGTAAAATGGGGAAACGGACAAGTCCCTGAACTCTATTAATTGCTTATAGGTTTTACGACATAAAATTGATTAAAAGTCAGATCGGAACCATAATCATGTCTCTACCCTCCAGAAAAAAAACAAACGATACTATTGCCGTATAAACTACATTGGTAAATAATTCGATTTCTCAGTTGTTCGGTTTTCAGTTGTTTAAACATGTATAATTAGCATTAATTATAATAATAATAATGTTGGAGAAATGAAAAGGCAGGATTGCGGGAGGAGGAAGAAGAAATGATGAGCGGTTCTCGCCTTGGCTGCATTATGTGGTCTCGCCCTTGCCGCTATCATCTGCCGACTCGGCATCGGCCGCATCCCTGCCCAGCAGACCGTTATTGTTCTTGTTCTTGCACTTGCCACTGCCATTATTTTTGCTTATCGAAGCCGTGGCACTATCCTCCTCCTCCTCGTCGTCATCCTCCTCATCATCGACGTCATCGTCATCATCCTCATCGAAGTCATCATCGTCGTCATCTGTGGGAAGATCGTCCTCCGTCTCCAGATCGAAATCATCATCATAAAAGTTGGCATCCAGGCCAGAGTCTGTTGCGGGCTTGCGCGTGGGCTTCAGGCAATAGTCCTCCAAGGTCATGGGCACCACAATGCCCTCACGCTTGGCCTCGGCATTGGCTGCCAGAGCCTGTTTGCGTATAATGTTCGGATACTCATTGTCCTTACCCTAAAGTTAGTAAATCCTTATTAAAACGCCAACAAGGGGAGGGTGTAAATGTCTAGTATGCGGACTTCTGGTCAAGGTATATACAATTTGTAATTAATTATGAAAAGTTTTAATCAAATAACGATTTGCAATAATCGCAAATTGGCATTCTCTACTTTACTTAGATTCCAGGGGCTCAAGCCCGCATACTAGACACTTACAAACAGCAGGAAGATGCAGTCTCACCTGTGAATCTCGCCACCGACGATACATGACCGATGCGTCCACATTGGCCGGCGAGAATGTGTTGGGCTCGTTGAGTAGCGATATGACCGACAGCAGGATGGTGCGCACATTCTGCGTAGGATTCCAGCGCTCGCAAGGTAGCTCGCCGCTTTGCGGATCATCGACCGGCGGATGCAGTATGGATATGCACAGATCCCCGTTCTCGTAAACATTCGGGTGCCAGACCTTCGTTAGGAAGCGGATGGATGGCGGTGAGTAGGGATAGTCGTGTGGAAACTTCATGTGTGCCTTGAAGTAGCCGCCCTGGTAGAGAGTATCTGGGGGACCAAATATGGCCACCTCCCACTCGAATAGGTTATCATCGTTGATCAACTTGACGCGGAATCCCTCCACCGGCTCCTCCTGTAGCGACTTGTACTCCATGGCCAGTGCTCGCACAGCCGAGCTGCTTGGCGTGCTGCTTGGGGCGGACGACGAGGTGGAAGAGGTGGTAGCCAGGGAGCCCGATACCGTTCCAGAGCCGGCCATCATCGTTGCGGTGGACGCATGCTGCGATGTGGAGGCGGCGGTGGCCATTTGTTCAACCAATTGCAGTCGTCCTCGCGGTCTGTCGAAGCAAAACATGTCGGTAAGAGATTAAAACGGAACTATGTGCGGCTATATGGCATTTGGTGTGCGGTCTGCATGCGTGTGTGTGTGTGTGAGCGCGCGAGCAGGGTCAATATCTTGCTGCTGCTGGTGAATTCAAGGTGAGCACGTCGTCGTTGTCGCAACACTTCACACGACGCGCCGATGACTGTGTATCAAACGAAATCGAAGGAAAAACTGCGGAAAATTTCGTCTCGAAAAACTGGCCAAGTTTGGGAGAAAATACAACATATACATATGTATATATGTATTTGTTGATGGAAAAGGGAAACTATTTCTGCTCTCTTGACATTACTATTGTTGTTGCTTTTGTTCCTGTTCTTGTTATTACTGTCACGAAAGACGAACTCAAAGAGGGGAAATGTGTGTGGAAAACCGATTGCAGACTACCACCAACGCCTGTCGCGTATATACGTACTTCTTTTGAGATTACTTTACGATTTAATATGCGTTTTTAATGCTTTGTGTTATTGTTGTGTTTGACTTGCAACAATTTCACTCTTTACAAAAAAAACAAAGACCAGGGTTGTGGCATTAGTGTGACCAGGGCTGGCGTTGGTGTTTGTCTTGTCAAATGATGAAGTTAATTAAGAAGCTATAGTTTGTTGAATTTATAAGGAACTTGTTATCCCACTGTTTCATAATCGTTTATTTACCGATTTTGGTAAACTTTGCCTTTGGAAATTGTTTTGGTACGATCAAATGGTCAACAATCGAATTTCAAGATCATATCGATATTTTTTCCGATGGCTGCTTGAGGCATTGCGAGGGCGATAGGTTCATGTCTGCGCTAAATTACTATCGGAGATCTCTCCCTTCGTGCAATCCATCGATAGTTGCCTTAAAATATCGGGAGTTTATGCTCAAAAAACCAATTATGTGTTTCTTAATGCCATATAGCAAATTTAAAAAATATATATACTTTTGTAAAGTATTTACTAGGAAATAACATCGATGTATCTACAATTGAGTAATGGTTGTGCTTACGTTTCCTTATATTCCCTTCTTTCAAGTGTGACCAGTTGCCGTAGAGGTAAAAATACCGAAATTTATTTAAAGTTTTTAGTTTTACGAGCGGAACAAAATACAGTCACACGCGTAAAAACAAAAAATCGAATCGCAGCGCAGCACTTTATTAACACTCGCGAATAACACAACTAATTTAGGACTTAAAAGTAAACCGACAGCAAACGCGAGTGCCGCGGATGTAGTGAAACCGGGCAAGATGTAAGAGTGTCGCGTTTTAATTGAAAAGCAACCCACAGAATCGAGAGAGAGGCGTTGGCCAAAGAAGAAGCCGAGAAACGAAAGACGGAAAAAGCGAATAGCGAGAAAAGACAACGGCAAAGAAAAAATGCATACAGGAGTGGTCGCGACCCGCGAGTAGCAATCGAGTTAAATCGCTTAAGTTTGATTGCAGCGCAGCAGGCCAAAACAAGTGTTTCGTTTCCGTTCAAAGTGTAAAAACAAGCTAGTAAGCAAAACTCAAACAACGCCCAAGGAGCCAAATAGAAAAAAATACAGCGAACAAGAAGAAGCAGCAGCAGTAGACGCGAAGCTGCGTTTTGTTGATTTTAATTCTCCTGTGTGTGTGTGTGTGTGCTGCTAAGCTGTGTGTGTGGCGAAAAAAGTCATATTTGTGAGAGGGAGTGGAAGAACGGGAGAGTTGAAGAGTGGACAACTATCATTCCAGGCAAAGTGAACATGCTTTTGGCCAGCATAAAACCATAAATCTGTTGAGTCGAGCACATTTTTCCCGTGAAAAACTCGCATACATACACACACGCGCACACGCACGCACGCACTCACGCAGGCACGAAGGCAGGCAGGCAGCCAGCCAGTCAGCCAGGAAAAACCAAGCACACGAGTGAGCGAGAGAGAAGCGTACGCGAAAAATCATGTCCAGCTGGGCTGAACGCGTCCACAGGCGTGCCGCCGATCTGGGCAACGTGGTCACATCCTGCGGCCATCCCGCCACCGCCCCCGCCTATCCCTACCGCCTGGAGAAGGTCAAGTTCGGGGTGCCGCTGGAGGAGGTGTGCAAGCATAACAACAACATTCCAGGACCCTTGCTCGTCCTCATCCTCAAGCTAAACAAGGAGTCTCCGAATCGTCGCGATGTATTCCGCGCCCCCGGCCACCAGGGCACCATGAAGAAGCTCATACACTTTCTGCAGGCGGGTCGCTTAGTGAACGTCGACAACTACTCGGTCTTCACCATCGCCAGTGTCCTGAAGAAGTTCCTCCGCAAAATACCCAATGGAATATTCGGGCGCAGCGGCGAAATGGAGCTGTTTGCCATCAACGATCTGCAGAATGAATCCGAGCAGACGGAGCGCCTGCACAGGTGAGTGGCAATCGAGGGATTGGGGTGGGGAGCGACAGTTCAGGTTAGGGATATAGTTAAATATAGTGATATATAGTGAATTTATTATTGGGAATTATTGGTAAGAACTATTTTTATTGTGATGGAATATGTAGAATCCAATAACTTTTCTTTAATCTTTAACAACATTTGTAAAATAACAGTTTTAAATACTTACCTTAAATCGTAGTAATTAAAACGCTTTAAAATAGGAGTTCATTTATATGTTTATTAGTCATGTCTGTCCGTTGAAATCATTACATTAACCATAAAGTTTCCAAAGACATTTTAATATATTTTTTACCAAAATCATAAAACAGATGTTAACAATTTACAGGCTGTGTCACTCCTTATTCGGTAGGGAACATATTAGGTATTCCACACCACAACCAAAGACACTCAATTTGCCCGGGGATTACATGAAATTCATTCATTTTAACTACTACTATTATTTCAACCGCAACTGTGTGGCGGTATATATGGTTGTGTGTTTGCTAGTGTAACTAGCTTGCGGTAAACTTGCTGAACCGGATCTATAGATGTAGATTCGGTAGATGCAGCACAAGCAGTCTCAAGAATCTTCAGGGGGAGTTAATTCACTGGAAAGCCTGCCTCTTACACTTATATGTATGTTGTTTTCATAGTTCGCGCTCTTCTAGTTTTTTTTTCTGCTTTTGTTATTTGTTGTTTGTGGTTGTTGTTGTTGCCCGGCACTTGTTGACACATTTGTGTGGATTTTCACCAATTTTCACTTGAGCGTTAAGCGTTCGCTTAACCCTTAGATGTGCCTGCCAATTTACATAATTTGTACGCTGAGCGAAACGAAAAAAAAAACACAAGCGTCAAATGTTTGGTTTTATAATAAACAGTAAAGCATACAAATATTGAACTTACAGGTGAAAATTATCTGTGGGATTTTTGTAATGACTAACTAAGGAATTAAGAAGTGATTTTAATGTTTAGAAACTAGGGACTTATTAGTAAAAAAAAAATGGGTTTGTAAAGGTAATTAGTTGAATAGATCTCTTGGGAAAGTTAAGAGAGTTCAATTAAAGATTTAATACTTAAAATAAATTGTAAGACTTTAAATTACCTTTGCATTTTATGTGATTATGATTCAAAATAATGCTTTACCGTAAGAGGTGCGTCTCTTTATATCGATTGTTAATAGTTTGATGGAATTTTAATAGTTTCGCTTGTAGAGAATTGTGACTGTATTCAATTTATTCTGATTTTCGCTGATTCACTGCTCAGCCTTGTATGGGTTTTAAGACGAAACTCGTCGGCAAGTGTAAACAGAGACCGTTGGAAAGGGTTAAGCTTGGATTTTCGGTTCGCTTTCGGTTAGCTGTAGTCTTTCGCTGTTGCTTCTGTTGTTGTTTGTAGTTGGGGCAATCGATTTCTAACCATCTGAATTAGAGCATAAAGCGTGGGCTAACACACACACACACACGGACAAAGGCCCAGCCAACGCAGGTCCAATTAAAAGTAAACGAAATATTCGTTGCTGCAATTCGCAATTGTTTCTTCTTCCTTCATGTTTTTTATTAACGAAAAGTGAGCGGGCTTGCGAATAATTAACAAATCGGACATTTAGAGCCGATGATCAATTGCGATTGACAGCCAGAAATGATTTGTCTGTTCTGTTTTTGAGGCTGGGGCTCCTTCCTTCTGGCGTTTAATTTGCTTAATTTGTTAAACATTTCAACTGATTGAGATGGATGCGGCACTGGGGATTGGTTTGCGATGCTCTGCTACTGCGTCAGCAGTAGATCCGATCCAATCCGGTCGGATCAGTACACAACCATTGGTTACATTAAATGCCCGAACATCGCCTGGCTAAATGCTAAATGTGCGTGTAAACAAATAACGTCAGCAATAAAACATAAATTTAAAACTTCTGCATGCGTAGAAATCGACCGCCAAATTATTTTCATTTCGCGGGGAGGCTGATGTACACTGAGCTCTTTCTTTTCAGTTTGGCAACCTGTGCGTATGTCTACAGATATGGGGAAACAAATAGTTGTTTCTTTACAAAAAATTATTATGATTATTGTTATTATTATTTTAATTTAAAAAATATTTCCCTTCTGCCATGTACACGTCTGAAGAGAGATTATTTATGAATGAAAATATGTTCTTTCTTTACCGAACCTTCAATTTATTAGCATTATGCGTAAGTTGCTGTAGGAAATCCATTTAAAATTCTCAAGTACAAAGAGTCATTGATTAATTGCTAGTGAGTGGGGACATTAATGGGTTAAATTAAAATTAATGAGATTTTTTTCCTGAGGATATATTGTCCCAAGTGAATTTAATTTTAAAAATACGTTTATCCATTTTCTAAATCGTATTTTATTAACTTTATTCTTTTTTTAAATATTAAATTTACATATTTTTTCTTTGCATAATTTTACTATTTTAAATTCTTATGCAAATCCATCTTACATCAATAATATTATTCCAAATGAATTTCGAGTTATATACATTTTTTAAATAGTATTTTTTTCAACTTTAATGATTTATTTAATACTAAATTAACATATACGTTTTCTTTGCATAATTTAAATATTTTATATATATATTATCAAAGTTCGCTAACGTATTGTTTGCGACTGTAAGTGTGTGTAAACATTTTCAAACTTGTACAATTATATACACACATTTTGTTGTAATTGTTGCTCCCGTTGGCTCCCTCTTTTGTTTATTTACCTTTCGGGGCAGGCGCAACAACAAAAACAACAACAACAACTGTAGCCACAGCTACAACTACAAGCACATTGGGCAATCACAATCGAATCAAACCAAAATGCGCGAAAATAGCGCCACAGCCGCCAACATCAAGCAAGCTCCAAGCAACCAACATACACACACACGCATACACCTTTATAAATAGACACGCGTTGGAAACTTTGTATCAATTAAAACGTAAACGCTGAAAAGAGAAAGGTGGCGGAGAGAGGGGGCTGGCTGGCTGGCCGTTGTATATCGTATCTCTTCCCCCTCGCTGTCGCTTACTCGCTGCTCACATCAGTTGGCACATCGTTTCGGTGTGTGTTTTTATTCCAGCTGTTTTTTTTTTCGGTTTCTTTCCAATTTCTTGTTGTTATTGCAGAGCGCATCGACGTCATTGTTGCACGTTTTTGCAATAGACCAAAAATACAAATGAATTGTATATTGTTTTTATCGCCGTTTGCTTTTGTCTTGTGTAAATTACAAGCACACATCGCAAGAAAGTGAAAAAAAAGTGGAAAAGGCAGAGGCGAGCAAGAAAGCAAAGCAAAGGCAGCTGCCAAAAGAGAGTGTGAATAGCGCTTTCTCTCACTCTTGGTCTGACTCTCCAACTCTACCTTGCACTCTCTTTTTCTGCTCTCTCTCTACCTTGGGTTCGTCCTGTTATTCGCAACTTGTTGCCTGGCTAAGAGGAAAGCTTTCGCAAGCTTTTTCCAACGCCTGTTGCTCTTTTTTTCGTGTGACTTTTGTCAATTGTTTCATCTTTCTATTTGTACAGTTGAAAATGTTTAGTTTAAGCTGGCATATGCAGTGGGTATTACTAAAATATAGTCAACTTTAGTAAACTTTTATCTTTTTAAATTACCAGCTTCTTAAAGTCCAGTTCAGGTTCGAACTTCTTAATAGTAAGTCACTGTTAACTACCAGTTAAATTGCATTTTAAAAAGATTTAGTTTATCAAATAATAAATATTAACTAAAGGTTAAAGTACAAGACGATTTTAAGCACACAGTGTGCGGAGTTAAGATATATCTATAGTTTTTTCCCTAGCTGATGAGAAATCCAATCAATACATTAAACAAGAAAGGCAATAAATTTCAGAAAGCCGAGGTTTACATTCCCTTGCAGTTTCGAATTGAATCATAGGATCAAACCGAAAACCAATCATAACAAAGTTTAATATATTCCTTGAATCGATATGTTTATATTTTGTCTTTAAGTCAAAGATTTAAAATCTCGTAACTAGGCCAAATAAGCATTAATTTGATTTCGGAAAGCTTTCCTATTTTAGTTTTTATTAGCATGATAAATTTGAAAATCAATTAAAAATTACACTTTGACAATTTTTTGAAAATTTAATCGTTGTAACCCATTATAAAATTTTAAAATTTTGAAAAAACAAAATTCGAAAATGTATTTTTTTTTACCAGACATGGCTATATCGATTCGGCTGTTGATGCTGATCAAGAATATTTGTGATTTATACGATAAGAAATAACTTCTTCACAACCTTACAAGCTTCTGTCTAAAATTATAATACCCTGTAAGGGTATAAAAACCGGCTTTAAATAATTATAATTATAAGTTTTATGTCTTTATTAGCTCCGAGTTTATCTAGGTTTTAGGGTTTCTTTACGTATAAGAAAATAGCAACAATGGCTTTCAAAATTCATTAATTAAACATTTTACTGAATTAATTTCTTGAAAATATTAAAATTTAAAATTAAAAAAATCCTACAATAAAGTAAATTTAGGTGTGAGTCACCAAACACGTGATTTTTTATAGTTGTTTACATATTTCGCCTCCTTGTACGTCATCAATAACAATCGGTAATTGCCGATAAGGTTTTTAGTACTCCCCAAAGAGTAGTTCTCTTAGCGATTATTATGAGGGCAAACTAAACCTTGGGGAAATATGAAGTTAAAAATTAGTTTTGATATATTAATTTTATTTCATTTGGGAATTTTGTTATTTGCTAAAAACAAAAGCAAACATTGATCTGGCGTTTTCTGATCCTGTTGTGGATCAGCTGTCTTTTAGCAGATGTCCTTTCTCTCAATTTTCAATTTCCCCTCTTCCTATCCTTTCTTCGTTTGTCCTTTTAATAGTCTTCATCAATTCTGCACACTTTTCTTATATTCTCAATCGTTGGCCATAGTTAATAGGCTATTTAGACAATTGCCTGCTGGACAATTGTTAATGGCAGCGGCGAATACTGATAAGTGCAAAAAGTGGCAGACGAGGAAAA